CAACACGCAAAACGCCTGCTTGTCAGGCATGTGCATCAACAGCGGACCAACCAGAAATGCCAGCCCCTGGCAGTATCCAATCTTTGTATCGTAGAGACTGAAGCATTTCAAGACCTTGCCGAGCATACGTTGTCCGTCGCCTTCAGGGTCGCGGAACATATCGACGCCAGGAAAGCTCCGGCCGAGGTCTTTGCCAATGATGGGCTCGTAAGGGCTCGACTCCCCACTGAACCGGTCGTATTGCTCCTCCAACGATGAATCGCGAGCGCCCGACATGCTTTGCCATACGACCCCTCGCAAGGGCGGAGGGATGCCTTTGCGGATCTTGTTGGAGAGGAGAGTCGGCAACCGAGCCGCCGTCTGTTGGTAGTCCTTGACCAGCGCAGCGTAGAACTCGAGGTCGGTCATCGGTGGCGGCGGGAGCATCGAGTATCGCAAGGCCGACGGCGTCGGTCCGTGGACCATGTGTCGTAATTGTGCCATTGACGGCGGTCTGGGGCGATTGGAAGCGGCGACTTGTTCAACAGCTTGTACTTTGATGCTCTTGGGGTTCGTAGCTAGCTTGTCGTTTTCCTGCTCCAGCATTGCAAGCAACATGGCTGTTGACTGTCAGGATTTGTTAGCCTGGTTGAGCTTGAGGTGGAAAGCAGCAGAAATGGCGTCTTCTTACTCTATCGGTGTCTGCGTCCCTAGGCTCCTTTGCTTCTGATTTCTGCAATTCGTCCCAATTTACCTCTTCGTCGTCTTCTTCTTCTTTTTCTTCCACTACTTCTGTTCCTGTTTCCTGTCCCTGCTGCTGCCCGGTGATAGTCTGGCGCCGAGGCTCTTCCGGGCTTCCTTGAGCTTGTGCCGAAACGACCTGGTCCTCTTCCACTTCGTCGACCTCCTCCTCGCAGTCCACGAGCTCGTCTTGGAGATTCCTATTGGCGGTCGTGTCAGGTAATGGCGTAGCTGGGTCACTGGGCGAGCTGTCGTCGGCGTCGGTCTCGGGCGTGTCCTTAACCTCGGCTTCCTCTACCTCTTGAACAGGATATGGCAATTTTTCGATTCGAACTGTGCTGGGTCTCCTCCTTGGGGATGAGTCGGGGCCGATGCTCGTATTGACGGTGGGAACAGGCGGCTCGGACAGCCTGACGGTAACCATGGAATCATGGGCCAGCATCTTGGACGTCTCCCGGTGGTCGTCGTCGTCGTCGTCGTCGTCAGTGGCGGTGGCGAGTCGGGGTTCGGTTTTGGCATGTGTTAGCTCGGTGTTGTTTTCCACTTCATGATGCCGTTGCTGCAGCGCCAGCTCCATGGCCAGGCTAGCCCCCCCGACGGGTTTGTTGGTATTTCCCGGCAGATAGTGAGAGAGAGTAACCGCAGCAGTGATTGGAATGTGGACTCGTCGAATGTGTCCAGCGGTAGGACAGTCAACGACGAGTACGCGCAACTGCGACCCTGTTTCCACGACTCATAAATCGCAGGATAATCTCGCCTCGCCGTGTTCGAGGGCTCGACGTGTTGGAAGTGTTCGAGGTCGGGTTATGTGGTCTTCTTTTTTCCTCCTCTCTTTTCTTTTTGTTCGATTCGCGAGTCGACGGGGATCGGTCGTACCCAATACGTGGCGATAGGGAGCGCGAGGTCAGGCGACACAATGCAGCAAAGCAAGCAACGCAGATCAGGGATGTGCGACAAGGTTGGCGACGGCAACACGGCAGCCAGAGGGTGGGAGGTGGGGGGGTGACAGATACCGATGGGAGAGTAACTTGGATGGCTTGGGTGAGGTAAATGAGAAGGACGGAAATGTGTGTGTCAATGTATATGTGTGTGTATGTGCGCGTGTGGCTTTGGTTCCGAAATAAATTGTCCAGCAGTTTCCTTGCACGCGAGAACGAAGGTGACCAGGGGGCACCAATGACATGACCAAAGTAACACCCCCTCCAAACGAAGCCCTTGTAGACTGCGACGTTCGGGAATAGAAAGGGCGGCTTAAGTTAGAGCTGCTGGAGGGAGGCAAAGACAACGGGCTCAGGGTCGAACGGCGCAAGAGGGGATTGGCCTGGTTTGGCGCGTCGAGTGCTGCCACTGGATTTCTCGTTTCATCGAGGGGCCGAAGACGCTGAAACGCTGGGGTGGGCGGCTCCTGGGTGGGCGCTTGACTTGGGCTTGACTAGCACTTTCCGAACAATTACAGCCTGCAACAGTGTCTGGATTTGGGGGGAAAGGCCGCCCTTCTCCTTGTAGCCCCTTTCTGATGCTGAAGCTGAAGCTGAACCCCAAGGATACTCGCTGCCAAACACCTTTCGGCTGCGGCCCGCGGTGACTCGCCAGATTCGGTGAGGGGGCGGACGGCCGCCTAAGCTAAGAACGGTGGGCCTATCGTATGTATGTATGTCCAGACGTCACTGAGCTCTGGTAATGTGCTCCCAAAAGCTCCCAGGCGCTCTTCTAGCGCAGGTAACACGGATTGTGGGTGGGCTTTTAGAGCCCGATTGGCGTAAGATCACCGCGTGTGCTACACTACACAGAACTTCGTTCCTGTCCGAGAAATCCGAGAAATCCAGGGCTTGCTTGGTAGAGGTGGCTGTGGCTTGTCGGGAGGGAGGGAGAGAGAGAGAAGAATGCGGGATGTGCAGCAGGGGAAAGGGAGAATTGGTTGATCAGACGAGATTGGGTTGCGCTGCCGCTGGGGATTGGGCGAATGTCGACTGGTCTGGAATGAATCGAGCGGTCAAGGAATGCTCGTCGTCCGGGAGAAGAGGAAGGGGGCAGAATATGTGCAAGGCGTCTCCTTGATTCCAGTCTTCCCTAGACAGCAAAGATATGTTCCAAAGACTTAAACTATCCGCAGCGCCATTCATCCGACATTTGACACTCAATGACAATCCATGCGGTCGGTGTGCAGCTGGTTGCTCGGACTTTCCGCCGGGCAGGTAGGTTAGGCTAGATGGGACGGCAGGAACGAGCATAGCAGCAAGCTCCGAGCTTGATTGACGGGCAGCATTGTCATGTAAGCCTAACGGCAAGAGAGGAGAACATTAATTTCCCAGAGAGGTTTGGCTGCGAATAAACGATGCGTCACTGAGAAACCACACGCCGGCGCCCATTCGTTGTGCCTCTAAATAATCTACAACCATTACCTTGCCAAGAAGGGGACGGTCACTTGACTGGTACCCCCGCGACGCCCATGTCATCTCCTCTTCTTCCTCAAGAGTCCACAATCGATATCACCATCAAGCCCAGCCCCCCTATTTCTCGACTTCAAACCAACCCGTTCAGCGCCAATGACTGCCGCACACCCCCATAGATGGTCGTCGGTGCAAGCCATGGTGGATCAAAGCTTGGTCGAACAAAAGCAGCAGCGCCGACATAGGGCGAAAAGGAGGGAGATGGAAATATGATCGATTAAGAAAAAGGAAAAAAGGACTAAAAATGATGCACGAATCAAAAGGCAGCCACTTCCTCATGCAAGGTACGGTACAGGAGTCCCCCGTTCGTGTCCCGCCCCTCCAACCATCCGCCCAATCATGTCCCGCTGCCCCTGATCAAGCTTCCCGCGTGTGCTGCACGAACGACAGGGCCGCAACCTCCATCCAGAGTCTGACCGGCGACCCCGACCCGGGTAACAAACACTTGAGATTGAACACGTCGGCGGCCCGCTTCCTTACTCGTCTCAATCCTTCTCTTATTTACCAGGTGTTACGGATACAGAGTACCCAACTGCATCCACAGACAGAGCCCAACCCCGATGGCGAGTGGGGGACGGGACTGGAGCATGTGTCTGCCCTTTGACGCCTTCATCCCTGCGACGACACATGGCTGGACGGGGCAGAGAAGGATCAACTCACCACCACCCCAGTGCCTCGCAACGCGCTCTGGTTTCGTCATTTAAGGCCTCCTCTCCCGATCTTTGACTCATGTTTTGCTCTCCAAGTTGGCAATTTCGCAACGATAGTCAGGGGGTGGAAGACAGCAGTGCCAGAAGGCGGCCCACAGACGTTTGTTCCCAATACCGTCCGCGCGGGACTAGGCAGAGTGCACAGACGGACGAGATGACTCTGCCGCCGGGGAAATGGACTCTCCCGACCGAGTATGCCATCCATATCCAAGCGCATCTTTGTGATCAATCCCCCCAGCCCTCTCCTCCAATGGGATGGCGAGGTTGATCTCGCTGTCTGCGATGTGCGCAAGGCGCATGGCTCCTACCTTACTCCGAGGCCGTTATATACCTCGCTTCCATCTTGCTATCGGCGTCTTCTGACCCGAGCTAATGACAAGTTCCCTGGGGACGCAGAGCGCACCATATTCGGCCGATGCTCGGGGGCTGGTCTTTTCCAATCTTGCATTCGCCTTGATCATCTTACAGGCATCTCGCCTCTCGCAGGTATATAACACAATATGCCGCAACTCCGTTGGCTCCAACCAGACAAGTCTATACAAAACTTGGAGGGCTGATGCACTCCCCTTTCCTCCTCCTCCTGCCCCAATCAGTGTCGTCCCGGCCGTGGCTCGCACAAACCTGTGCGCTGAGGCAGGTCAATACCAAGAACGTAGCCTAGTGGCAATAATGGTTCGCCGCCTGCACCAAGCCCCAAACCTGATCCTTTTTCTTTAGTCATCCCTACATCACCTGAGCGCCGGGGTCGTCCACCTCCATGATCCATTCGAGTACTCTTCTTGTTCTGTCCTTCTTCTATGAAGGAATCATTCCGTGAGGTTGATGTTGCCCCGGCATGTTCTGCATCTGCATGGGTCTCTGGGCCTGGGCCATGGAGGGGCTAGCGTGATGGCTCGGCGGCCGTTGGCCTTGCCCCATCCCCTGTGGTCGAGCCGGGGTCTGGAATGCCGGCTCCTTCTTCGGATCGGCATTTGGGAACAGCGTTTGAAGCTTCGTGTATAACTCGGTAAGATATTTGGATCGCTCCTCGCGGTCTGTTGTCGGGTCTGGGTTGTTCTCGGGAATGTCGCCAGGAGGTGTCGAATTCCGTATTTTTAGTGTCATGTTCAATGGCGGGGAGGAAAGGTAGGCGGGGGACGGCGGGACTTGGACGTTGCCCTTCCTGTCAGCCAGAGCGGCCAAGTAGGCGAGATTCGCTTGAAGTCGTCGCATACAGCTAGGGGGAACGTCTGTTAGTTCTGCTACGCCACGAGAGGCCTCCGCTGCTGACTCACTGGTTGTAATCCTGCTGCGCCGCTGACTCTTCTTGGGTAGGTTTCCTTGCTTGCTCTGCTTCGCCTGAGGTGTTCGCTTCTTTCTTCAGCTCGCTCAGAGTATGTTGCAGCTGCATCGACTCGAACAGCAGTTCCTGGTTGATTTCCAGCAGCAAGGAGAACCGCTCCTGCTCCCGCGACTCGCTGCCGGGGCTGAGAGGAGTGGACAACGACGACCCGCCATTCAAACTCGCGCTCTGGTGATGCTGGGGAAATGTAGGTGTCTGAGGAGTTGTTACGGACGCTGAATGCTGTTGTGCAGCGGTCGTGGGGGTTTGGCTGAGAGACTGAGGCTGCGGCGCCGGGAATTGCGACTGCTGTTGCGCATGTTGTTGAGCTTGTTGCTGTTGATGCTGCTGCTGCGCTTGTTGGTGCTGCTGGTGCTGGTGCTGGTGCTGCTGGTGCTGCTGGTGCTGGTGCTGCTGATGTTGCTGCTGCTGGGTGGGTTGTTGCTGCTGCTGCTGCTGCTGTTGAGATAGTTGTTGAGCCTGAGGTTGTTGCGGCTGCTGTTGAGGCTGCGGGTGAGGTTGTGGCTGGTGATGCTGCGGTTGATGCTGTTGCGGCGGCGGCGGCTGTTGCTGCTGCTGCTGCTGCTGAGGGTTTTGCTGCTGAGAATGTTGATGTTGATGTTGTTGTTGCTGCTGCTGCTGCTGCTGCTGCTGATGTTGCATAGCGTTATTCGGGGAACCGTGTCCTCCCTGTGCCGCGCTCATCGGCCTTGAAGGAGTCGAGCCTAACGGCATGCCACCTTGGTTGGGTTGTCCCTGTGCTTGCTGATGTTGTTGTTGTTGCTGCTGCTGCTGCGCCTGCTGGGCTTGCATGCGCTGCTGCTGCTGCTGCATCATGATCTGCTGCTGTTGCTGAGGCGTCATACTTGCGTTCATCGGGAAGCCTTGCATCCCGCCAAAGTTGGGATGTTGACTGCCCGGCGCGGGCATGTTGCCGCCGTACGGATTGCCCTGGTAGGGGTTTTGGAAGGCCACTGGTGAAGACATTGAGGTCAGCGAACGCGTATTTCCGTTGCTGAGGTTTGGATGATTCTGCAGCGTCATATCCGACGCGTAGTGGTGATGGTAGGAGTGAGGCGATAAATCTAGGACAGCCTCGTTTCCATCGCTTCATGCCCTTTGTTTCGGTCACCGCGGGGAGACACATACTGCCCTGCCGCCATGGCAGCATCAGAGGGCGCAGCGCAGATACGAGACTCTACCGAACGTCTTTTGGGGGGAGGGGAGCACAGGGAGAAATAGGGCGGAGGAGGGAAGAGCTTACTTTGGCCATTGGCAGCCATGTGCGGCATGCCGGCGTTCTGCATCATGCCTGCAGGACCAGCGCCCGACATCATGGCGGGATTGGGTCCACCGACAAAGCCGGACTGGCCACCGGGCATACCAGCGAATTGATTAGGGTTGTACATCATTTGTTGCCCGGCTTGATTTGAGACTGAGCCTGGCTGCATGTGAGGGTTCTGATTTGAGGGTGGGGCGCCGGTGTTGAAGTTCGGAGGGACATTGGAGAAGCCGTAGCCGGGAGTGTACATGGCTGGGACGGGAGGGGGAAGATACGATGGGCGCGGAGCTGCTATTATTATTATGCTTTGGAGGGGGGGACCAGACGCGACGGGTCTAAGGAACAGGTCGGGGGTGAGACCTAGTCGTGCGAAGAGTAGCAATAGACTCTGGCTTTCAGACTCGGTCAGAGTCAGACACGGGCTGGCTGGCTAGCTACGCTGGGCTGAGGGTGGGAGAGGCGCGGTGGTCGCAGCGGGCAACGTTTCGACAAGTCGAGGAGAACAAGGAAGAGAGCGGCGGGCGGCGGGCGACGGGAGGAGTGTGTGTGGAGTGAGTCGAGGTGGTCCTGAGCCTGTCGGACCGCAGGTTGGCTACGCTGGCGGGATGACTGGCTGGTTTGGTGGTGCCTGACGTGCGTGATGGGCGGTGGGGAGCAGGGGGTGCCACCATCAACTGGCTGGGCTGTCTCTCGAATAGACGAAGACTGACAGCCAAAGTCTTGGCCCAAGGAGGTGAGGTAAGGAAGGGAGCGATTCGACGTGAGGACCGAAAGATGTATTCCGTGTCAAGGTACAAGCATGCATTCGGCACGAATCCGGTTGTGCCTCGTCTGCTCTCAGAAATGCCTGGCTGGATGATACGACAGGAGCCTGGGATAGGGCTGGCCCGTTTGCCTGGGTCTCGTCCGTACTCGTCGACTGTATGCCCCGTCCGTGACGAGGAAGACGGCAGCAGACGGCACGGGGGTGTGAGATGGTTAAACCGACAGAGCAAAGGGCTGGGAGATGGGTAAGGTAAGGAAGGACAGAGGAAGGGGGTGCCGATGGACGAGAATGGCGGGTGGTGGGATGGGGCGTCAGAGTAGGGATTGCCGGCTAGAGATGAGGCGGAAGGGGTCGTGAGTTGAGATCCAGCAAAGTGCCACGGGCGCGGGCCAGTGAGACAAGCCTAAATCAAAGGCAGCTGGTGTCAGACTCTGGCCGGGCTGAGGCTTGATTCAGGGCCGACGCCGAGCTTGATAAGGCAGGGCAGGTCAGGTCAGGTCCCACGAGGGTACCTCGACGAGAAAAAGAGGCAGGGAGGAACGGAGTAGGAAGGCAGGTGGTACGGTACCAGATGGATGGTACGGAGCGGAGCGGAGCGAACCGACAGGAAACCACAAGGAACAGGCAGACGACAACAGTCTGCGTGTCCGTGAATGGGAGAGAGGGCCTCAGATGCGGCCGTGTGTGTGTGAGTGAGTGACGGTGCGCGTGGAGCAGCAAGCGGAGAGGGAGAAGCGCGGCGCGGTGTGTCGGTGTGCAGTGGGTGCGAGGTGAGGGGAAGTCAGATGAGGTGAGGCAGGAACGACAGAGAGTGGTCGAGGCGCGTGCAATGTCGGGTGCGCCAGTCTAAATCTGCGTTCAGAAATTAATTGTGTGAGCGAGCTGCGTGTGTGTGAGGGAGATCGGGGTGCCGGTGTGTGCGTCGTGTTGTGTGTATGTGTGTGTGTGTGTGTGTGTGTGTGTGTGTGTGTGAGTGTGTGAGTGTGTGAGTGAGTGACTGAGTGAGTGTGCGGTGTGTGGTGTGTGGTGAGTCGACCAGGCTTCGGGAGGCAGGAGGGAAAGGCAGAAACAGAATTTTCTGCATTGCTTTTCCCGGGGGGCGTGGACGCCGGCGTGGGCGTCTGGGTCTGGGGGGGGGGGGGGGGGGGGCCACGGAGTCTGACCAGGGCAGGATCCAAGGGAAGAGAGGGGAACTACGTACCTCGGTGAAGGACTGCTGTAATAAGCGAGAGCTGCGAGAGCCGAGGCGTCGTTTCTAACTGGCTGGCAACCCATGCATGAACCCTCTGCCAGATCCCCAACAGACCTGACAGGGGCTTGCCTGCAAGCCACCCGGGATCACGTCCCCTCCTGTTCCCCTCCATGTCCTCGAGCTCTCTGTTCTTGACAAGAGTTGTCTACTCAGCAGGGAGCCCTAGTAGCAAACCTCCGATCAAGACTCCATCACATATGAGTGGCCAAACGTCGGCCAGGAATCCCTAAGCTCAAGTGGACTCATCGTGCTCTCATTGTGCTACACTACACTGCACCTACCTTAATACACGCTGAAGCGCTCTATGCCTATGCCTATGCCTATGCCTCGACTATGTCTAATCAGATTGTTCCATCCACTTCGTATGGCATTCCCAAAGTCCAGTCGGCAGCAGACCTCTGGATGCCGCGCCCCATCACGACGTATACGTCTTTCCATAAGTCGAGTTGCCGTAGACGACGTCGACAAAGTGCTGTGCCACAATCTCTGCTATACAAGGACACCCCGTTAGGACGACGGTCTCGAGATGAAATCGGGGTTTTCGTGAACTTACATGTACGCTCGGAAGGATGCAGCTCGTCGTACCAGAGGAAGCTCGCCTTGGGCGCTGACGAGTCCACGCACGCCGCCGTCATCGGGTCGCACACCCGGTAGGGCGCCTTCACGTTCGGCGGCGAGGACAAATATTTTGACGGCTCGGCGTGGACGTCCCGCAGTAAGCTGTGGACGTCGAAGATGGAGAAGATGGCGCCGGGCCAGCGCTTTTTGACCAGCAAGTGGAAGGGCACGCCGTAGTCAAATGCCGTGTTGATGCTGGTGCTGTACTCGAGCATCTTGTATTGGGTCTCGGTCGTGTTATAGCTCGTCTTGTTGGGCCAGAACACGCTGTCCCCGAAGCCGCCAAGCTCCGTGGCGGCGTAGAGCGGCGATTGCTCCAGCGGCGCCACATTGAGGAGGACGAAGTGCCGCCCGCCCGTCGCGTGGATCTTGTCAAATACTTCCCACACGCAGTCCACGTAGGACGAGATGGTCGTCCCCGGCGCGTTGGAGTCGGTGAGGAAGCCCAGGTAACCCAGGTCGTTGGTGCCGATCCAGAGCGCGTAGATCGTGTTGTCGGCCTCCCTGTTCGGATAGAGCGCGTCAAAGGTCGTGTCGACCTTGTAACCCGGGATCTCATAGTCCAGGACCGATGGGAACGGCTGGCGGATGGAGGCGAAGTTTCGGGAGACGATGTTGTTGGAGCACGTGGCGCCCGAGACGGCATAGTTGTAGTACTTTGCGCCGGTTGAGTTGGCGACAAACCGGCCCCAGGCATATCCACCGGACGCCGTGGAGTTGCTCGGCGGGAGAAGGACCCCCGCGGGCGGGGCGGAACCGTTGTTGTTGGTGAAGTAGTTGAGCCGACCTTCGTCGGTATAGCTGTCGCCGAACGTCACCAGGTTCTCGAACTTGTTGAGAATGCATCCGGAGGCCGCTGCCACCGAGGCCAAAGCTGCGTTAGGCAGGAACAGCATTGTCGGGGTAGAGGACGCAGCGAGATATCCGTCACCGAGTGGGCTGTCTGAAGGCTTCAAGTAGAAAAAATATGGATGGGAGAGGACGGTTACTATATCAACGAACTACCCTGGCAGCAGGGGCCGTCTTCGAAAAGCCAACCCATCCCGTCGATGGCTCTTCCCTTCTAATCCGGAGCAAGGGAACTGCGGGCCTGGTGTAGCCACCCATGGAATGGGTTCCGGCGTGATTAGAGCCACTCATGTCCGCCTGTGCTTGTGAGGTGGTGGTGACGAATTGCAGCATGCAGGCGGCGGGCGAGAAAGCTCATAGGTAGTCTAGCTTCCCGAGATCCATCGATCGGGGTACGATGGTGGTTGATGCGGGGTAACTTGATAATAGTTCCGCTCCTTTGGGCGGCAGATGCGTAGCCTCCCAACTTATTGCTACTGCCAGCGCATTAGTATCTCATGATGTGCTCGCAATCAGGCTAAATACAGTTTTTGAGTCGGTTTATCTGCCCCCCCCCTCCCAGGTGACTCCAGGCCGGACGGGTAGATTGGCACTTATTCGCTAGAGCAACCTCTGGGGCTCTACTAGGCGAGCAGTCCGGCCATGGCTAATAACTAACAAGCGACAACGTGATGTCGTCGACCGGTCGGCCTGCCTCCATCTCTTGAAACCGAATTGCCTGGCGGGGGGTGTGGCGGGGGTGTGGCGGACTGTGTGGCTGTGACACGTCAGCTAAAGCCCGTCGCTAGCAACGTGCAACGTGACGAAAGAGACGGCTGTTGGGTGCTTGGGTTTCCTCGCAACCAAGTCGGCGCTGTTTCTGTACATATTGTGAGATATCGACTTGGACAACAAACAACCCACGATGATGTATTTGCAAGTATGTGGTAAAGTCGGCGTCGGCATGCTACGGCTTCATCGATCCGGACGGTGCAACAAGGGCAGCGAGCCGATGCCGAGCGCGACGGCGTCCGGAGCTGCCACTTCCAAGCCGACTTCCAAACAGGGTCACACTCAAGATTGACACACCAGCGCGTGCGATGGCTATCCGATATGCGCCCCTCCCGGTGAGAATCCCGGGCATTGACTTTTCGATGTGGGGAGCTGGTCGGCGTCAACACAAGGCCATTGGCCAATGGTCGGGCCACATGGCTCCGGGGTCGGCGGATGCAAATGCAGAATTGGCGGAGATGCATTTTGCAGGGCCATAGTTGACTCAAACCGACGTGCGCGATTGTGCTCGAGTGAGTGAGATATCGATATAAGGAGGCTGACTGTCCGACTCACGATCCTGCCGATCTCTCAACTTCATTTCATAAGCGAACAAACTCAGCCGAAAATGCCGCCCTTCAACCTTGAAACATGTGCGCGTCCGAATATTCTAGCCCTTGAGCCTTACCGTTGCGCCAGAGAGTAAGTCGCACACTCACACTCACACTCACACTCACACACGAGAATTGGCACAATCTCACTTGCATGAGTGGGATGCTAACAACCCCTGTAAAGCGACTACAAAGATGACGGTACCAACATTCTCCTCGACGCAAACGAGAACGCCTACGGCCCCTCCTTGCAGTCCAACTTCGAGGCTGGCAACCTGGGCATCGACTTCCTCGGCCTGAACCGGTACCCCGACCCGCATCAGCCGGAGCTCAAGCAGCTGCTCTGCGACCTGCGCAACACCCACACCCACACGGCCAGGGACCTGAAGCCCGAGAATCTCTTCGTCGGCGTCGGCAGCGACGAGGCCATAGACGCCCTGCTGCGGTGCTTCTGCGCCCCCGGCAAGGACCGCATCCTGACCTGCCCGCCGACCTACGGCATGTACTCGGTCTCTGCGCAGATCAACGATGTGAGCATCGTCAAGGTCCCGCTGAAGCCCGCGCCAGGGTTCGGCATGGACACCGACGCCATCCTCGACACGCTGACCCGGGAGGGCGACACCATCAAGCTCGTCTATCTCTGCACGCCGGGCAACCCCACCGGCTCGGTGCTGGCCAAGGAGGACGTCCGGAGGGTCCTGGAGCACCCGACGTGGAACGGCGTCGTCGTGCTCGACGAGGCCTACGTCGACTTCGCGCCCGAGGACAGCTCGCTGGCCGAGTGGGTGCTCGAGTGGCCCAACCTGGTCGTTATGCAGACCCTCTCCAAGGCCTTTGGCATGGCCGGCATCCGCCTCGGTGCCGCCTTCACCTCGCCGCCCATCGCCCGCCTCCTGAACGCCATGAAGGCGCCGTACAACATCTCCACGCCCACGAGCGCGCTCGCGCAGTACGCCGTGTCCGACAGGGGGCTGGCCGTCATGCGCGCCAACCGGGCCAGGATCCTGGCGCAGCGGGACCGCATCATCGCCGAGCTGCCCAAGGTCCCCGGCGTCGGCAGGCTGCGGGGCGGCACGGAGAGCAACTTCCTGCTTTACGAGATGCTGGACGCGGCGGGGAACCCGGACAACGCCACGGCGCTGGCCGTGTACGAGCGGCTGGCGGAGGACAAGGGCGTCGTCGTCCGGTTTCGCGGCAAGGAGCACGGCTGCCTGGGGTGCCTGAGGATCACGATCGGCACCGAGGACGAGGTTACGCGGTTCCTGGCGTCGATCGAGAAGGTCTTGGCCGAGGTCCGCGGCGCCGGACGGCAGCCGGACGAGGAGAAGAAGGAGGCGGCGGCGAGCGGTGTGGTCGCTTAGACCATGTGGGATGACTTATGCATAGACAAAAGAACAAATAGAAGACGCGGCAAAGACATGTACTCATGATCTGTCCAATAGTCCCTTGGCTCGTTTGAAGAGGAACCAAGCTCACACTTGGGCCATTCTTGCACGTGCCGATGCGTCTTTTTGGTATAGCAGAAGATGTATATTCCACTTGGCTGGTGAGAGGCACTCAGCAGTGAAGTGATGGTCTGAGGGGGCTTGCGACCCTTCTCAAGATGGTACAGGGTGTCAGTTGCGCAGTCGCATCGAAACATGATGCCTTCGGCATTGTTGCAGTCATCTACGGAGCCATCATCATCACACATGCCCTGCCGTCGAGCTGTCGCTTAACCTCCAACTCTTTCTTCATCAATAGAGTGGTATGAGAGGACAACGCTAAGCGCCCTCGGGTTCCAGACTGTCGTCCTTCGTCCAACATCATTGAGGGGGGCCCGGCACTCGGCACAGCCCTCCCTCCTTCGGTCTTCTACTTTGCTGTATGACCATACGGGATGCCAGACGCTTATTTCACAAAGACAAGACCAGCGAGGCAATGAAGGCGAGGTTAGTTTACAAAACCCCACTGGGGGGGGGGGGGGGGGGGGGGGGTTACCGAATAGGAATAGGGTTAAATTTGGTGGCGTGGCTGTTTCATGTGTCGAGTCCGAAGTGGCGGCAACCCGAGCTAGCGGTTCTCGAGTAGATCATCTCGCCTCCGCAGGAGGAACAGAGCGCCCAATCAGTGGCTTTTCTTTAACACATAGCGACTGGATGTGCTGGTTAACCGGCATTGGGGAGTTGCTGGGAACACAATTGGTCATCTAACGGTCAATCGCCATCCAACCATCTCGTCTCATGTCCCGGGAGCTGGGATGAACAGGCCGCATCCGCCCAGGCACCTCTCTCGCTTGCTTTGCTGGGTCCTGTTCTGCAGGCTCTAACTGAGTTCTGCCCTGCAGTCCTATGCTCCGGCGGCTTGCAGGTTACTGCAGCAGCGCGCGCGTGTGTGTGTCCCTGACTAACGCAGCCGCCGCCGCCCCCTCCTTTTTCCCCTCAAAGGCAACATGGGGGAGGGGGGGATCAGAACCATTCGAATACAGCCAACTTCCCTGACCGATATTACTGTCCCGGGATGAAGAGGGGCCAGACGAAGCCAAATGAGGGCCCACCCGAGAAGCTTGTAGGCTTGTCAGAGTCTAAAAGAGAAGCGCGATGAGGGCTGAGTCGACGGCGATCCCGTCCATCCGTTGGCTCGCGCCATCTTCCCTCCTTTCCAGTGCACCGATATCCTTGCGTAATGCACCATGTATACAACACCTTAGTGAAGGAGGCCCCGAGTGAAAGCGCGGCCTCACACGCCCCTCCCCCCCGACCCCAAGGGCTGCGACGCCCTTGTCATTTCTACGGACGCCTCATGTGCTTCCCCGGGGTCCCGTCTACTATGTGCCGGACAAACTTTTGCCATCATATCATCATGGAGGTTGCTGCTTCTGCTGCCTCTCTACATTCTCTTCCCACCACCTCCTCTCGTGAACCGGTGTTTTGCTGCCACGGCCCCTTCACTTTCGTTCCCTCACCGAGCTTCCTCGCCCATCGTCCTTCATTGACCTGCCGTTTGTGAATTCGGAAACTGCCATTTTCAGGGTACACTCGAGCAAACACACACTCCTTTCGACGTTCGTCTGTAAACAGCTTCGCCCCAACCCGATCAGAGCCAGTACAGTATAGTCCATCGCCAAGCAGCTTTTCATCATGGTCTTCGTCAGACCTGCTCTCATCGCTTCCGTGGCCGCCGCTACGGTGTCCGCCTTCACGGCGCCCAACACGCTTGATGTCACCAAGCCAGGTCAGTATGGAAAGAGTTTGGGAGTTCTCATGAGTATTGGCCTGATTGTTTTTAGATTCCGTCAAGGCAGTTGCTCGCAGTCTTGCCTTTGGCGCCATGTCATACTACAACGGCAATGTCTCCAGTGACCCAAAGGTGCGTCGAAAAGAGTCCAGCAAAGGACGACTGGGATCCTTGCATAGTCGTACAACCGAGAAACTAACCCATGCCCAGATGGTCGGTGACTTGCCAGATCCGTACTACTGGTGGCAAGCCGGCGCCCTCTGGGGTATCATGGTGGATTACTTCCACTACACCGGCGACGCGACTTACAACGACGTGCTCACGCAGGCTTTGACGGCCACCGTCAACACCGGCCCGAACTTTGACTTCATGCCGCCGGAGCACGCCTTCGAGGAGGGCAACGACGACCTCGGCTTCTGGGGCTTCGCCGTCATGGCCGCTGCCGAGGGGAACCTTACCCAGCCCAACCCCAGCGTGCCCTCCTGGCTCACGATGGGGCGCAATATCTTCAACTCGCTCGCCACGCGTTGGAACACGACGCATTGCGGCGGCGGTCTGCTGTGGCAGATCTACGAGACCAACCCCAACGGCCTCAATTACAAGAACTCGGTCAGCAACGGCGGCTTCTTCCAGCTCGGCGCGAGGCTGGCCGCCGCCACGGGCGACGCCGCGTACGTTGCCTGGGCTAATCAAATCTGGGACTGGTCCGTCAACGTCGGCTTCATCGACCAGAACCTCAAGGTTTACGACGGTGCCGATTCCCGCGACAACTGCACCAAGACGAACTACGTGTCCTTCACCTACTCCACCGGCATCTATATCTACGGCGCCGCCGTCATGGCCAACCACACCGGGGATGCGGTCTGGAAGCAACGCGCGACAAAGATGTTGGAGACGGCGCGCTCGAGCTTCTTCTCCCCCGCCGCGAACAGCACAAACATCATGTACGAGCCCGCCTGCGAGACGGTCGACAGGTGCAACACGGACATGAAGTCATTCAAGGGCTACTTGTCCCGTTTCCTCTGGAAGTCGGCCATCGTCATGCCCGAGCTCCTCCCAGCCGTTAAGGAGATCCTAGTCCCGTCCGCCATCGCTGCGGCCAACGTGTGCGAGGCCACGGAGACGAATGTGACGTGCGGCCAGAAGTGGTACGTGGGCGGCAACGATGGCAGCCTGGGCCTCGGCCAGACCATGAGCGCCCTCGAAATCGTCCAGGGCCTGGTCGTCAGCCAGTAGTAGTAGGTGTTGGCTTTTGCTCGTCCCTCCAAGACCCCACGCCAGCCGAGCTGTCTGTCGTTCGTCGCCCCGTCCCCCTCCTTTCCGCGTCTCATTTGTTATGTTTGGGAGCAGCCTGGGAGGCTTTGCCGTCCACCAGCTGGGGAGGGGGGCGCAGCACAACCTTTCATCTGATTGTCGCACATGAAGTGTTGTTGCGGAAACGGAACGACACTAACAACAAGGTTAGTCTCACGGCCAACAAGACGTCGGTGCCTGTGGGCAACTCGACGCCTAACTCGACGGCCTCGAACCCACAGGATAACGGCGCTATCCACGTAAGGTGGATGGGGACGAGCACCTCTGGTGCCCTCCTGCTTTTCTGGATATTTAGGCTATTCTAACTGAGGACGGAGGCGTCGAGACGGAATACACAAGGGGCGTGATGTTTCCATATTCCCAAGTATCAGACTAGGAGGAAAGGAGGAAGAGAAGACGAATAAAGAAAAAGTTTCACATCATGTACATGACCAGCGACCTCGTCGATACGTCGAGCCTTTCCTTGCACGGTCGAGAATTGGAGCAACCATTGGTTCCACGATGGACGACGGACCTCATTTCAGGGTCGCCTACATCGTGGCACACGTTACGGCCAATCGGCGGTCGCTTGTGTCTACTCTTACCCCTCGCTCCTCGGCCGAGATAAGTCACGGGAAAAAGAGAGAGAGAGAAAAAAAAAAAAAGGGGGGGGGGGGGGGGGGGGGGATGTCTCATCAGTGTTGTGCAACATTGGACGGGGAGAAGGCGGTTGCCCTTTCCTCTCTGCCCTGTTGATGTGTATTAAAATTCAACCGTTAAAAACTCTTGATCGTAACCTTGTACAACGCCGATATGGGGTATAACTCCAAAAATGGGGGAGCACATCGTGAGAAACAACAAAACCCTGGATGGCGAAACCTACCCGACAGAGAAGGTGCTGGGTGGGTGAAAACAAAAAGACGGCGGGCCTCACCGATAATCCGCCATATGTACCGCCCTGAAGATGAGGACAAAACTCCAGTAATGTGTGATCTTGCAACCGCCGATAGCCAGTCCGGGATTCCCTATGCTTTTTCTGTTTTTGCTTCGTATGCTGCCCTTTCCTTTCCCCATCAAAAGATGATTCGCGTTTTCTTTTCCTTTTTTCACTCGTCGAATGTTTCGGCAAGTCAAGGTTGTCAGGACGTGCCTTGGTTAAGCGAATTGGTATATGTCGCTCACGTGAAGGATCCCGCCCCTTGTGCCATTAGAGTGACGGCAACCATGCTACATAACGACGCGGTAAGAGCCCAGCCTAGGTGAAGACGCGAGGCGGCGCTGGGGTTGGTCTCGGCGGGCATTGCGGAGGAGATGGTACCCGTGTAAAGGAAGTCATCGTAGTCGGGATCGCCGGGCGACTTGGTGGGCGCCGGAGTTGCCGCAGCATCCTCCTGAGCCAGTGTTAGGACGCCCCATTGCACCTCGGAGCCGGTCATGGTTGAGGTCCACGATACTTCGGTTGGGCCTGTGTATTTGCCGTTGATATATCCGCTTTTCAAGCTAGAGTATCCAGAGCATGTCGCAGCTGTCGTCCCGCTCAGTGTGCATCCAAGGTCGGCGATACTGTTTCCAGTCGCATCATGGTTAGTTATGGGTACATCTCGGAGGTAGACAGCGTTGAGGATTATTCGAGTGAGTGCACCTACAGTGTGGATGTTTTAGTGCCGTGGAACTGAAGCGTGTTCTCGCCCTCGGCAAAGACGAAAGGAAACTCGACGGCGAGATCGCAATCGGGCGGTGTTTGTGGTGCGCAGAAGATGGTGTACGTCGTTTCTTTGGCATTCTGTAGCAGGATCACTGTCAGATCACGACAAGGACACAGGGGGAGGAGGACTTGGGGCACTCCAAAGGTCGCCGTACACTTGAAATTACGCTGCCTCGCAGCTGCGACCAGCTATCAGCATCGTAGTGCGGTAGGTAGATCGGGACAGTGGTGGTGGTGGTATCATCGGCGCGGACGGCGTTGGAAGAGAAGAGGCAAAGCGACAACAGAGCGAGAAACGGCTGCGGATAATGCATGGTGACAGCACGGGGATGATGCCGAGCGTAGGCTGGCGGAGGATCGAGAAATGGCCAAAGGTACAACAATGGTTTAACGTCAAGTGCTGGTTACCAAGGGTAGTAGTTCATCGGGTGAGGCGACCAGCTCCGTAAGTGGACAAGGCGAGGCAATCCGTCGACCCGGCCTGACGGTACAGAAGCTGGAGCTGGACAGAAATGGCAAAAGTTCGTCGATATTAGGATTAATGTGGAAGAATGGGTTGGAGGAAAAGGCATTCGGTCGTTTCCCGCGGCAGAGAGTGGATCGGCGTGTCTGGTAGGTAGTATTGGTGGTGGTGAGAGACCCTTGTTACCACATGGGAAAGATGTAACGAGCCTTTCCACAGGCGGGTGCAACGATGGCGAAACAGCAAGCAAGCAGGCAAGCTGCTGTAGGGTGACGGAGTAGTGTACGGGGGCAGAGCTGTCAGTAACGGTCAGCCAGGCGAGAGTTGCGGCTCGTCGGTGGTGGTGGTGGTAGTGGTGTTGGTGCTGCTGCTGGGGTGTGGAGGGATGCCGTTTCCTTATAGAGGAGAATGAACATGGGGGCCAAGGAAGCTGAGGAAGAATTCCGGGGAGCGGGAAAGGATACCGATGACAAGAGAGACGAGAAGGATGGAGAGAAAGGGCGCGGGCTCTGGGGCTTTTGCCAATGCGCCGTTGTTGCCGGCCAAGGCTGGGCAGGAGAATAAGGTGAGCGGGTGTGCATTCTTTTCTGGCAAAATGGAGAGCCAAGACTTTGACTTTGGCAAAGGGCTCAGCATCAGCAGAGGAAGAGAGGGTCAGTCTCCACGCAGGGCAGGCGGGAAATTCCCCGGTATAGTCTACCTTACTTAGGTAGTGTAGTGGTGCACACTCGCCGACGTTGACCTTGGTCAAGGAAGTAAATCTTGGCAGCCACGCCTTTTGCGTTGCTGTGCGTTGCTGCCAAGCCACGAGGCGATTCATTGCGCACCCGTCTTTTTTTCTGGTCGCTTCCCCCACATCCCTCAGCTCTGAGCCAACCAGCCGATGATGGGAGAGGCAGGCGTCCACGCCTCATGCTCATCCCCTCTGCCTTTTCCCACCACCACAGCGGGCGGCGGACGATGATGGCGGGTACATGCTAGCCGAGAGAGTAGGTGTGTGCTGGACGAGCGGGTGGGCGGCGAGTGGGATACGAATTGGCCGATTAGGAGACATACAAGGGTGAGAGTGTGAGAGAGAGAGAGAGAGAGTATGGGAAGGGAAGAAAGCCAAGAAATGCCAAGCCCGAGAAATTCGAGGAGGAAGTACGGATACATGTGTGGTAAGCGGAATGGGCACGGTCGTTCGAAATGGGTGGAGTAATCGAGGGGCTATACGGATAGAGCCACATGAGTGGATAGAAACTGCCAGTAGGCAGGAACCGGCAAGGGTATGTCACTGCCAAACCGTCCAGGACCAAGTACGGGTAAGTACCCCCCCCCCCCCCCCCCCGCCGCCCTGCACCTGCGGGAAACTCTGCAACGTTCGGGAAACTCGACATCGGAGGATTGCCCGATTAACCCTACCTATCCGTACCACCCAGGCCCGTACGTTCGTTCGAATGACCGCGGCCCTTCCTTCCTAGAGTGGGAGCCGCAGACCATTCTTGAGGTTAATCTTGGTGCCCATCCTCTGCTTTTCCGCTCCTTGGTAGCTTCCGGCATTGATCCATCCATCCTCTGCGTCCCTTTCCCGCTCGCTGCACCAACGGAACCGAGGAAATCACTGCCAGCAAGAGCCAAGAAAAAGATGGCCACCACCACCCACCCAATCACCGTCTCTTAGCCTTCCGGCCATACTCGTGCCATCATCATGTCTTCCTCATGCTCATCCCGTCTTTACTTGTCAACCACCGATCTTGGCATCCCTCTGCTGCCGACGCACAATCCCGCTCTCGTCCCGTCTCTCACCGTCTCCAAGGGCCTTCGTGATCCATCTTCATCTGATTCCTTCCGCTCCGCCCGGAGCACCACACCACATGGCCAGGGTGTCTTTCAGTCTCACCGCAATCGCCTTGGCAAAGCTGGGCCTACTGCAAACAAAAGACCATTGCACCGCCGACATGCGACGACGAGAAACAACAAGCCCGTGTGTCCACGGCTCGGCATTTGCCATGACAAGACAACGGGGTTTACACCTTCGTTTGCCCAACAAGCCACCTCATTGGACGTCGTTGACACATTTGAATCATGTTGGCTTTCTCGTGCCCAGCAAACCCGACACCATTCCAAGAAGGCCAAGACCTCATGCCAAAAGCCACATGCAGCAATTTGCGAATGCCATGCTGAGCACCCAAGAAATCGAGATGGCCTTCGGAGATTGGCATATCCACATTCCCGCATTGTTGACGGTGGAATACGGGCCGTGCAACAGTGAACCAAACAAACTCCGTCTCCATACCGTTCTCGAATTCTTCCACACCAATCTACTTTTCCTGTTACCTCTCCCAGCTACGGATATACCGTAAACACACAACTTTTTTCTTCTTTTCTTGATCTAGTACTTGAATTCGAAGTGAAAGCCACTTACAGAGGAGAACCCTCCACACAGTATGCTGACACCCCTTTAGTCTTTGACAAGCAGGAAGAGCAAATTGGTCGACTGGCAGAGGCCGTGCGATATCCAATCGGAAAACCTACCGATTACATGTCTACTCCGGTCCAACGGTCCAAGGCAACAATGGGGAGGACATGAGCGCTTGACCGTAAGAGGCATGGACCCTTTGGGCCCGTATGCAAGATTGCGGCACAGCTGCGTTCGGACTTTTAAAGGGGGAAGCCTTTAAAGGGGTAAGCATATATCTAGTCGCGAACCTGCGTGGATGCCTGCGAGAGAGGTGCAAGGCATCTGCATCCTCAACATAGCTGAGCCGGGTTCCATTAGCCATGAGGGGCCTTGCAAAGCTCGTCTTGGCTTTCGTGGGTACTGCCGCGGCGCAGACGACGACGGTGATCGAGGTCGTGAATCCCTATTTTGGAAACAACCCTTATGACGCCTCCGTTGTGGATGCCAATCCCACCGCGACAACTTACGCCGTATACTGCCAGAAGAACAGCGACACCTACCAGTGCCGTGACGACCCCGCCGGCCTAATTCTCACCCTCGTGGGCGGCCCCTCGACCGTCGAGGTCCACGTCGAACGGCCCAAGAGCAAATAGTAGGGCTCGCCGCACGGGAAGGCTGCACCTCACATGCAGCACCACCCCTCAACTGCTCGAGGAACTTGAGCAGGGTAACCGGGCTGACCGCTTCTCGCAGCTCGGACGAATTCATCGGCACCATCTTGAGCGACCGGCTGGATTACCGGGTCGTCGCCACCCTGAGCGGGCGGGTCGTCGCCACGACCGATGCGGTCTTGTCGCCCTTGACAAACCCAGACCTACGCGTGCCCCTCACTGTCACCGCTGGTATCGAGAAACTGCAAGCCCAGGCCACGACGACGACGATGACGACCACGGAGCCCGGCGGCGCGCAGACCGGCCCGACTGCGACCAGCGTGGAAGCCTCCCCGACGTCCACCCCGAACACCGCGGCGTCGCGGGGCACTCGTAGCGGTGTTTTGGTCAGCTTTGCCGGCGCTGCCGCCGTAGCGGTAGTCGTGCTGTTCTAGGACGCAAGAGACGCATCTTTTCGAGTGAGGCGTCGGCTTCTGTGGGGAAGAAGAGGAGGGTAATCTAGAAAGGGGCAAGAATTGATAGAACGATTTGCTGCCCTTTGACACACGTTGACTGTTGTGTGTGGTTCTTTGTTGTCCCTACAGCGAAGTGATGTTTGCCACCACGTCTGAAGGACGCTTCTTTTCTACACATAGACAACTCAAACGCTCGGGTTTGTTCCTGAAGGGACATATTCAAAGGCGCTTGTTTGTCGGACAACCAGATAGTCGCTTGTTCTTATACCCGACAAAGGGTCGGAAGACTCATGGTGAATGGCAACGAAAAGAAGAAAAAGTAAGGGGAAAGGTAGATTTCCAGCACGGCGGCAACCCATCATCTACCGGCTCCCGTACTTGAAAACTCCAGCAAGTGGTTTCATAGTCTGTATAGTGGCATCAACAACCGACCCGCGACGCTGATCAACACTAAACTACAGTATTCGTCCCTCATCAGGGTCCCAAAAGGAAAAGAAGAAAAAGAAAGGAAGAAAGAAACACCGCCAAACCTTGTCGCTCCCCTTCCTGGCCAGTCCCGCCACCCAATCTCCGTTCCTGTATACAGGCCTCTCTCCTCTTACCCTCTTGCCAGAATCGACATGGAGCTAAGCGCACAGCTAGGCATCGCCCTCGGCTGCTTGGCCGGCGTGTTGCTCATATTTTGCACGGCGTGGATGACCTTCCGCTCCGTCATGTCACCGCGAGCCCAGAAGGCGTACTTCCGGCGCAACGGTGGAGCTCCCGCCGAAACGATACCCGGTGTCTGAGGGGCCGAATAAGGTTTCGTCGCCGGGGCTGGAGATGACAGGCCGGGTAGACGGGACTGGGGAGCAGCTTTGATAGATGGACACCGCTTGGTTGCCGGATAATCTGGACGATGGCGGTTGGTGACAGTCACCCGATATCATTGACACCTCTATTACTTTGCTTGAGAGGTAATTCTTTCTTGAGGAAGTGTGGAAAGTCTCCCTCGAGACATCCCTCGACTCAAGAATGCTGTTTTGAAAAAGAAAAAGAAAAAAAAGCACACGAACGCTCTCGCACTACCCCTGACAACACGTCTACCATGGCCAGGCCTCTATACCGTCAGGTACCTTATACACTATTCTAGAGAAACCCTCTTCTGACTTCTCAGATGCTTGAACAAATGAAGACGCTGGAATCACTGGGGAACCCTGTCCTCGCGACCATCCTGCCAGCTGGTGCAGTTGACGCAACGTTGCGCCTGTCAAGAAGTGTTAGTCATTGCTTTGCCATTGCGTCCATAGCTTCCAGTGGAAGCACAAGGGAAATGCACTGAGACTCGCCTTATTGCTGATCCGCTTTCGACAGTATCTGCATTTAACGGTATGCTTAATGATCGGTTCTGGGGAGAAGAATTGGAAGACGTGGGCCAGGCCGTAGAGGGAGATTCCGATGCAGAGGAATGACACGAGTTGGTTGAGAAACGAGCTACCGTCACATGTTAGCCGCGACATTGGCCTTTAGATTGCTGTGCTGGTTTTATGGGACATGGTCCAGGAATGAAGTTGGGTTTCCAAGCGTGATTTAGATAGAGAAGGCAGATGAGGAACTCACCCATAGGCCAGGACAACGGCACCGTCATCCTTTGCGCGCTCGAGGGTTGTGTACCCGCTCTGGGTGTAGTTGGGGCCGCCCTGGAGGACGGCAAACTTTTGCTCCATGTTGCGGTTGAGAGGGAGGATGACGGAAATGGGGGGCATGATGATGTTCTGCACAAAATTGTTGACGAGAGTGGTAAAGGCGGCGGCGATGCTGCGGAGGGACAAGTCAGCGAGCTGTTCACGGGATACGTCCCCCATTATGCGTCTTGGCGATTACGATAGTCTTATATAACCCGACCCGGGGGAAACCAGAAGTCTTGCAGAGTCTCCAATACGTGTGGTGCACATGATGCCGCATAGTCCGAGGAGACTCGGGACGGGAACACCCACATCAAACCAAAAGCGATCTCGAGGATATTGCCCTGCAAGGCAAAATCAATGAAGCCGTCCCAGAAGCGGCGAGCCTTTTCCCGGCCACGGCCGAGGAGCGATTCCTCCTCGCCGTTGTCGCTGTTGCCTCGCATGTTGGACGCCGAGGAGATGCGGTCTGCGAACGGAAGGGAGGGCATGTTGAGCGTTGCTCCTCCGACTCGGCTCTTGGGAGAACAAGAAGAAGAGGAGGAGGAGGAGGAGGAGGAGAGGGGCAAAGGAAGTGTGCGATGGACGATGAAACAGTCGCTGTAGACCAAGGAAGTATGAGTTTGTCGGCTTGTTGGAGGCTGTAGGGGATGAGAGCAGTTGGGCCGAGTGTGATGTACGTAGTTGAAGAGTGGGTCGAGGCTGGGCGGCGGTTGCCTGTTTAGGGACGCAGGGGGAGAATGACGTGTCCCACAATTCCGGGGTGCAGGACACTGGAGTCGTGCAAGGGGGCCAGGGTTTTCCCGCAAAAGCTTCTCTGTAAATACCTAGATGGATGGGATATGGATGAAGTTGACAAGAATGCATCGGCGAGTATTCAGGCTGTTGGCGGAACGAAAACGGCATATGACGAGTGCGTCAGATTTACAAAGCTTCCTTTCACATGGCGTAGGCCGATTGAGAACAGCAGAGCAAGCTAGCCCTCAATACAATCAATCACGTATTGGTTTTAACATTTGAATATTGTACACTACGATGGTGCATTCTATGGATTTGCATGCTTGGACAATGAAATGGTATCTCGGAGACAATGAAAAGGATCGTAATGTCGGAAATGGCCGTGGTATGCCAGATATCCGGCCAGACCTGACAAAGGTATCGTTGCAAAAGTAAAAAAAAGGAGAAAAAAAATCAGAACTGCTTCCGCATCTTGTGTTCCCAATCTGCGGGAATAGAATGCACACTGATGGCTGGTTTACTGTATGGTTACCAGACTCATGCCCTCAGAAGCTGCCCTTCTGGTGGCGCTTCTCGGTGAAACCCCGTCTGCGCGTCGATCGCCTCTCGAGGCAGAACTGTGTGGCCCAGTAGATGGCCGCCGCGAATATGACGGCGAAGGCAACCCAAGAGATGATCATGAACTTCTGACCGGCCTCGGCCGATATGCCGATTTCCTCGCCCACGTCCGTGATCTGCTTGGCGCCCTCCTTGGCGCCGATGGTTGTGATGAGACTGCCGGCGAAGAGGACGAGGGCTGAGAGGATGGCGAAGACGAAGTTGGTCAGAGTCATGCGCTTCTTGAAGCCGAGGAAGAAGGCCGCCAGCGCCCCGAGGATGGCGAGGCCCGAGAAGGCGATGCCCAAGACGTAGAGAACCCAGATGGCGAGGAGGAACTTGTTGACTTTGTCCATGGTCTCCTCGATGGTGTCGGGCCAGTTGAGGTCGGCGAGGCTCAGGCGCAGGGGTCCGACGGAGAGTTCCTGGTCCAGCATCTTGGTGAGGTTGACGTTGGCTGGTCGAAGGTTAGCGTTGCGTCAAAGGGTCAGGACAGCGTGCGGGTGTACTCACGGCCTGGAGACGGATGGGTGCAGTTCGTGACGTTGAACCAGGCGTTGGACACGGTCACGTTGGGGGCAAAGTCGCCCTGGCACACGTCCATTAGGTGCAGCGAGTACCACTCGGAAATGCCCAGCTCGTCTGCGAGCCGGTCGGCAACGTCATTGGCCAAGTCGTTTAGAACGTCAGATACGCGGTCGCTGATGCCGTCGACGAACCGGTCGAGGAAGCCATCCGTAGTCGAGGCGGGGTCGGCCTCCTCGGTGGCGGTAGGGATCAGGTTGTAGCCCAGGGTCGACATGTTGAGCCGGACGACGTCGTAGTCCTCCATAAAGCCCTGCTTGTGGCCGGCGAAGAGAGCCAGGAAGGAGAGGACGAAGGCCACTATGGACAGAACCAGCGGTACTATGACGGTGAAATGCATGCTGCCGGTATTGAGAGACGTTTGGCTCTAGTTGGACAAGTGGAAGGGAAGATGGGTGGTTGTTTGAGTAGACGAGTAGACAAGCAGGGCTCACAACAGGCCGTGCGATGCAAGACCCGAGATATCGAGAGGTGAGTAAGAGGTACTGCCTAACTATTATTGTCGACAGCGACAAGCGAAAGCAAGAGTGTCTAGAAGTCGAAACCATGTGTCAAACGGCAGAGGGTCCTGGTCTTAAAGGGAGAGGAGAGCAAGCAAACAGGCTGAAAGCCATGGGTGAATCGCAGCCATTCATATTTCCAAGACGCTAGAATGGCAATGATGCAATCGAGAAGATCCTGGTTGACTGGGCGTGAAGGAATGCATCAATGAAGGCGGCGGTCAGGAACAAGGTCGACTGACTTGGGGGGGGAGGGGGTAAGTTAGCCATGTTTGCATGGCTTGTCTCTGTGGAGACCGCCAAGCAAAGAGACCCTTACAAACTCATAATTTAAAAAAATAAAATAAAATAAAAAGGCAGAGAGGGCAACATCATCTCGCGCGCATCTGGGGCGGGAACAGCGCAGCAAGTCTTGTCGAGCCTGACGTGGCCAAGGGTGTCGTCGCTGTCCAGGCCGTGTGTGGATGCAAAGACGTCCAAGTTTGCGTCATCGGTCTCGCTTTCCGTCCTGAGCCACCGCATTTCTTCCCCCGTTCGGGCCTCCACCGCCGCCGCCGTTGGCCTGGGACCCACCTGGGAAGCCCTTTCTCAAGGCCTAGGTAGCCCCATCTATCCGTACTACCTAGGTAGGTTAGGTACCTACCTACCTTTCAAAGTAGCTAGGTAGGTACGTACTGCCTACTGTACCTTACCTACCTACCTCCGGCCCTGTAGTCCCTAATTACCTGCCAGGTGGGTGGTCGTCCATTGGATGACACCGAACAAAACCTGTTTGAACAAGAGGCGGCGGCAGGGTTTGGCAGCCGCTCGAGACCCTAGAGGGTCCAGCTTGTAAAGTTGTTTACCGCCTGTGGCTTGTCTTTCCTGTATATTACTGGGTAGGTACTGTTATGTGCTTGTGGCCAATCGTCCATTCGTTGCTTGCTTGTTCCAGGGATGCAACAGGAAAAGTACCTATTACCTACAACAAAAGATGGGTTGAGTTTATCCCATCTTGGCGTGTTCATCCAACCAAGGTGCGATGTTCTAGTTAGTACAAGACGGTCTTCATCCACCGATGATGGCCGGATTTGCTTCTTACTGCAACTGCGAATGGCTTCACTTCACTGATCGTCTCCTACGTACTCCTTCCTTAGCAGCCACGCTCTTGGAGGCCAGCGGCCGAGTATTGACATCTGACAGTTTTTCTTATTCGGATCCTCTTAATTGCTGTGCTTATTCACCTTCCTTAATCGGACAAGATCTCAGTCAGGGGTGAAGTCTTCAGGTGCTGTGCCGTAATCCCGAATGGCCTTTAAAAAGTCAGACCTGCCGCCTGCCAGTTTCGGGCGCGATCCTCTTGCCTTTCTCCCCCATTCTTGCACATTCACCCATCGCGCAGCATCCAACACCAGCCATGAACGTCTCATCCTCCATCGGATGCTCCCCGACAGCCGACGACGCCTTCGGCCCCATCGTGCAGGACTGCCGCGACGGGTTCGACTTTACCCTGACCTTTGAACAATGCCTTTTCACAATCCTCCCTGCTTCCCTCCTCTTGCTTGTCGCACCTCTGCGCCTCCGCCACCTCAGCAAGCTCCCCCGTGCCGTGGCCGACGATGCCCTCCGACTAACCAAGCAGGCTGCCATCGGCATCCTCGCTGTGCTACAGCTTGTGCTCGTAGCGCTGTGGGCAACTCACCGTGGTGCGGGACGCCTGCGCACCGTCTCCGTCGCCGCGTCCTGCGCCTCATTTGCCGCCACCGTCATGTTTGGTGGTCTCTCGTACATAGAACACGCGAAGAGCCTTAAGCCTTCGTCCATCTTGAATATATACATCTTGGTGTCTTTGGTGCTGGACGGAGCAATCCTCCGCACCGTATGGCTGTCGCACTTAAGCGTCGCCATCGGCGCCGTCTTCTCCGCGTCCTTCGCGCTGAAGGCGGCTGTCATGATCCTCGAGGCCCAGGGCAAGACCCGGCACTTCGCCGGCGCCGGTCGGCCGTGCAGCCCCGAGGAAACCAGCGGTGTCTACAGCCGCGGTCTCTTCTGGTGGCTTACGCCCCTGCTGCTGACGGGCTTCCGTCGTCTCCTGAAGCCGTTGGACTTGTTCGTCCTGGACGAGTCCATGTCGGTTGCCGTGTTGAACGAGAGGTTCTGGCTCTACTGGAACAGGTCGTCGTCCCCGGCGGCCAACCAGTCTGACGGATCGCCTCCTTCACATCGTCACCGGCTCATCGGGGTCTGCGTCAGCACGCTGAAGTGGCAGTTGCTGGCAGTCGTCCTGCCGAGGGTCTTTCTGCTGGGCTTCACCATCTGCCAGCCCTTGATCCTGAACCGTTTCCTCGAGTTCCTGCAGAATCCCTCCGAGGACGTCAATTATGGCTACGGTCTCATCGGCGCATACGGTCTCGTCTACCTTGGAATTTCCATCTCGTCGAGTTTCTACTGGCACAAGGCCTTTCGGTCCCTGTCTATGCTCAGGGGTATCTTGGTGGCTGCCATTTACTCCAAGACGACAGAGCTGCGAGTTGCACCCGGAGATGACTCCGCGGCGGTAACTCTCATGTCAACCGATGCAAATACGACCCGCACCCATTGATACTTTGGCCCCATGCTTACAGAGTGTCTAGGTCGAAGCCATCATCCGCGCATGGCGCGAGGTTCACGAGTTCTGGGCCAACATCATCCAAATCGCACTTGCAACATGGCTTCTCAGCACACACATTGGCTACGCAGCTTGTGGCCCGATCATAGTCTCCGTCGTCGCTTTGCTTGCCACCATCTTCATTGCTCCCGCCGCCCAAAAGTACCAGCTGGTCTGGGTCGAGAAAGTCCAAAAGCGCATCGGTATTCCTTCCCCCTGCCACGGCCTCGCACACCGCGCTGACTTGTGCAAAGGCATCACCTCGGCCATGATTGGTCACATCAAAAGCATCAAGATGTCGGGTCTGACGCAGAAGCTCTCTCGAACCTTGGCGGACCTTCGGCTTGCAGAGATGAAGGCTGCGACCCCCTTCCGCGTCATTGGCGCCGTCACTTCAGCCATCGCGCAGGTGCCCCTGATGCTCTCGCCGGTGGTCGCATTTGCCATGTACACTACAATCGCCTCCGAGACCGGGCAAGCTCTTGATGCCACCACATTATTTGCTGCTTTATCCCTGGTCATCCTGCTCGCGAGCCCCCTTTTCTGGATGTTCGAGGTCGTCCTCGACATGAGTGCGGCTCTTGCATGCTTCCATCGTATCGAAAAATATCTGTCCGCGCCGCCTCGCATCGAGTATCGGTCTTTTACTTCAAACTTACAGTCTAGCGCACAATCCATGGAAACGGATGAATCTTCTCAAGATGCCCAACTTCAAAATTTGAAGCATTCAGAACTCGTCTTAGGAAAGAAGCCAAGAGGAGCGGCGACTGTTATCATGAACACTGTGTCACTCAGCTGGAAACCAGATTCCGGCCCTATTCTGGAGAGTCTGGACTTTGAGGTTCAAGACGGTCAGCTAGTGATGCTCGTGGGGCCAGTTGCATCCGGGAAAAGCACCCTCCTGCAGGGTCTCCTCGGCGAGTTACCTCACGTTACTGGAACGATTGAGCTTTCTAGTCACCGTGTTTCCTGGTGCGGGCAGAGCCCCTGGCTCACCGTGAGCGCGCCCATGGTTCATTGCATGGTGCCGAGGCTGACTGGCTGTGTAGAATGAGACTATTCGAAAGAACATCATTTGTTTCTCCGAATTCGACGCACATCTCTATCGGCAGGTTCTGACGGCCTGCGACCTTGAAAAGGACCTCGCCCAACTCCCGGAAGGGGACCAGACAGTCATCGGTAGTAAGGGCCTCGCGTTGAGCGGCGGCCAAAAGCAGCGCGTTGTAAGTGAACCCCCAAAGCGGCCTCAAACTTCGAACTGACGATGTCCAGGCTCTTGCTAGAGCTGTCTACTCGCGGCCACGGATCGCCTTGTTTGACGACATCTTTAGCGGATTGGACAATAAAACTGCTGATGCTGTGTTTCAGCGCGTGTTCAGTGCCGAACGAGGCATCCTCAGAGCTTGGGGAACATCAATTGTCCTAGCCATCCAGTCAGGTATAGCTCCCAATCACGAATAAGGAGGTCCGAAGTAGACATGTAGCTGACGAAAGGTCGAAGTGAGCTTTCTGTCGAGGGCCGACATGATCATCACCCTTCAAGGTGGCAAAATTGCCGAAATGGGAAGCTTCGACGACTGTCAAAATACAGAAGGCTATGTCAGCAGTCTCATCGCATCCGAATCCCACGACAATGGCAAAGACGGAGAAGACATCGTTCGTAGAGAGACAACCGCCGATGAAACTACTTGTCTAGTTCCGGCCAAGAAGAAGACCAAGGCCGTGCCGGAGGGAGAGGATGAGCGGCGGCAGCTGGGCGACTGGAGCGTATATGGCTACTACTTCGGCACCATCGGTGCCCTCCTCGTCGTCGTCATGCTCTTCCTACAGATGACCTGGGCGTTCTTTTCGACATTCCCGAGTAAGCCGCATCCTTCGCCTGAATTCTTCGCGACCTCGCTGACAAGAACCGCTAAGCTGTCTGGCTGAACTTCTGGACGGACGCCAACGCCGAGGCTCCAGGTCAACGCGATGCCTACTACCTCGGCGTCTACGCCGCTTTCCAGATCGGAGGTGTCTTAAGCTTTGGCGTTCTCATTTGGTAAGCTCGCAGCCTGATCCATTCAAGTAGCCCGCCACTCACATCGACACTCGATCGTCAGGTTTGTGCTTGTTCCGATCGCAGCAAGGTCGGGAATCAACCTGCATCAAAATCTTCTAAAAGCTGTCATGCAGTAAGTTCTGCTCTCTCCTTCCGAATCACGAGAAACAAATCTGACTCTTGCCACAGTGCTCCGCTGTCCCTCTTCACGAGCACAGACATCGGGTCCCTTACAACTCGGTACGCATCGAAGAGTCAACCTGCAACCCGCGTTGCCGCTCTTAACATATTTTAGCTTTTCTCAAGACATAGGCCTCATCGACCGGAGCTTGCCCTTGGCATTGGTGGTATCCCTTGCAAGTAAGACAATACAGCGCCTGTGGCCTCGACGCAGCTGACCTAGGTCATCACAGGCTTCTTCACCTGCATCGGGAAGGCTTTCCTGATAGCATCGGCGTCATGGTACATTGCCATCAGCTTCCCCGTCCTGATCCTCGTCTTCTACTATATCCAGCGCGCCTATCTCCGCACGTCCCGCCAACTCCGTCTCCTGGACCTTGAAGAGAAAGCCCCGGTCTAGTAAGTCACTGAACCGATCTCACCAAAAACATCCTTTGAACTAACATAACGAACTACTTAGCACGCACTTCCTCGAAACCCTCTCGGGCCTTCCGACCCTGCGTGTCCACTCCCTTACCAGCCCCTCCATAGCCCACTCCCACACCCTCATCGACCGTTCCCAACGGCCCTTCTACAACCTTCTGCTTACCCAGCAATGGCTGACTCTCGTCCTCGATCTCACGACTACCGCCCTCGCCATCCTGGTCGTCGGTCTCGCCGTCCGCCTGCGCGCCACGGTGTCCGTCGGCCTCACGGGCGTCTCCCTCGTTCAGCTCATCTCCTTCACCGAGACTCTCAAGCTGCTGATCCAGTTCTGGACCTCTCTCGAAACCTCCATCGGTGCCGTGGCGCGCATCAAGAACTTCTCCGAGAAGACCACGGACGAGGTCGAGGACGATGCCCTGAGGAGGTCGGCGCTGATGACGACAACCCCCGAGGGATGTGGCCCGGTGGCGGAGACGGACGTGAACGGCTGGCCTGGCAGTGGTGCCATAGAACTCCGTGACGTTTCCGCCTCATATGACGTGGCGGGCCAGAGCGACGGCGAACAATCCGCCGCGACGAAGGCCTTGGACGGGGTCTCTCTCTCCATTCGCCCCGGCGAGAAGATCGGCATCGTGGGCCGCACGGGAAGCGGCAAGTCCTCCCTCCTCCTTGCCCTCCTCCGTCTCTTGCCGCTGTCCTCCGGCACCATCTCGATCGACGGGGTGCCTCTGCACTCCCTCCCGCTGCTGCCCCTGCGGTCGGCCCTCATCGCCATCACCCAGGACCAGTTCGTACTCCCCGGCACGGTGCGCCAGAACCTTGACCCCGTCGGCGTCGTCGTCGTCGGCGGAGACGACGCCGTCATGGAGTCGACCCTCGCGCACCTCGGGCTCTGGGAGACGATCCGCGAGAATGGCGGCCTGGACGCCGAGTTCTCCGAAGAGGCACTGAGCCATGGACAGAGACAACTCTTCTTCCTTGCTAGGGCCATCCTGAGAAAGGACGTCGGGCGTGTGGTCCTCCTGGACGAGGCGACGAGCAGGTACGTTTCCGCTCCTATTCCCCCCCTCCCCCCGGTTTACTCTCGGAAGATGGCAGTGCGCTAATAGAAGACCAGTGTTGACACCCACACCGAGAAGACAGTCAAGGACCTCATCCGCGGGGAGTTCAAGCATCACACCGTCCTCGCCATCGCCCATCGCCTGGACACGGTCGCCGACTTTGACCGCGTCGTGGTGCTGGACAAGGGCCGCGTTGTCGAGGTCGGGAGTCCCCGGGACCTCTTGCGACAGGCCGGTGGAAGGTTCAGGGAGCTCTGGGACGCGAGCAAGCAGGGCGGGAGACGCGACGCTTAGGCTTAACGAAGAAGCCCTTGCTCACCCACACAAGACCGTGCTCTGGTTTTTAAGCACGGGTCCTACTTTGTTTTTTTCCCTTTTCTCCTCTTTGTATTAAACTCGATTCTCTGTCATCTAGCTCATGGACGGCCACTGGGCATCGTCTATAGCATCACTGTCCACATTGATGAACCTCCCTTTCCCGGCTCTTTGCGCGACAATGTACTTTTCAACCGACCTGGCCGCCTCGGCCGCCGCGCGGTACCTCTCGGAGTCCACAATCGGTGTATCCTTGCTCACCTCGTACCCGTACCTCAGTTTCAATGTTGAGACCTTGCCCCAAGGCCCGCCCCAGTCGACCTTATCCCCGTCGACATTCGCCATGAGGGCCTTGAACCACGCCCCGCAGCCCGTGAGGTCGAGATACTCGAGCCCGTAGAGGCACTTGCTCAACTTCCTCAGCAGGATGACGGCCTCGGACCAGTCATTGTCGAGAGTGTGCGCGTACGCCCCTGTGCCGGAGTACTGCTGCACCACGCCCTCGGGGGAGACGATCGTGGTAAACTTCGCATTAGGCGTCATCGACGGCTCGGGCCAGTACGCCAAGCTCAGGTGTGTGAGCGTGGGCAGCTTGCCCGCGAGGGCGAGGAGCTGCCTCCAGGATACGCCGGGCCCACCGTCCTGCCGGTAGACGCTGGGGGCGACGGCAAGGCAAAGGTGCGTGATGTTGGGCAGGAGCTTCGGGGGCAGCGACGGCGCTTCCGCCGTATCCCAGGAGTCTTGTACCACTTCAGATGCGCGCGCCAGCTTCGACGGGAAGAGAACGTCCGACAGCTCCCGGACGGACATGGAGTGGCCCACCGAGCCCGTCAGGTCAAGGGAGTAGATGTTGCTGTTTAGGGAAACGAGCGCTTCGGCGTCGACCTGGGGCTGCTGATGCTCGCTGCCATCGTCGTACCCCGAGGAAGGAGGAGGCGGAGGAGGTATCAGGATGTTGCGCAGGTCCGCGGCGGACACGCCACCCTCATACCAAACGCCAACGTACCTTGCCAACGAGGCCCTGCTTCGGCTGGGCAACATGTGCAGGTAGTACTGGTCGTAGTCCCTCTGGAGCTCCCAGTTCAGGGCCATCCTGCGCAGGACGATGTCCATCAGACTGCCCTTGTCTGGCTCGTACGTCCCCGGCAGGCCCTGGATGGCCTGGGCACCGCGCTGGGCGGCAGTCGCGTGCGCGCGCTGAGCATGGCTGGACGTTCGCGACAGCCAGCTGCGTGGAGGGGGTGGGCCTGGTGGTACCCTCCTGCCTGTAGTGTCGAATCTCGGGGCACGCCTGGGTGGTGGTGGTGGCGTCTCTGGGATCTGGAGAATCTGTCGAAGGGCTGGAGGGACAGTAGGAGCGGTGGCTTCTGATATTGCTGCTGATGCCGTCGAGGTAGCACGGGGGGAGGATCGACGGAGATCGGCCAAAAGTTCGTTGACGCCCTTACGTTGGCTCTCTGTGTTGCTTCGCTGTCAGTTCCAGGAGCGCGACGTCACGCAGGGAAACTTCGGTGAAGGAGATGGGCAGAGACAGAGAGGGAGGGGGTAGGCATGAGCCAGGGTGTGTGTGGATGAGTGAGTGGAATCGGAGTCTGGACTGACGGGAAGAAGAAGAGGCTGAAGCTGAGGCACCCAATGATGATGGGGCAGTTGACTGCGGCTTCGAGTATAGCGCCTGGTGCCTTTTCTTAGGCATACCCGGGAAAAGTCCAGATACGAGGCGAGGAGGGTGAAAAGCCTCCAGGGAGAAATAGAGAAGGTCTGAAAGAGAGAGAAGGGGGGTGGGAGAGAGGCCGCAAGAGACCGAAAGACTCTACGAGTAAGAGAGAGCGAGGGGGGGTGTGGAGGAGGTGTCGCAATTGCAGAAAGCAAACAAACTTTTGGGGGGAACTTTTGTCGCTATGTACTCCCTCTGTAACGCTGCAGCTAAATTGCATCCGCCTGGGCAGTCAGCAACGACGAGGAGATGAGTCCCGAGATCTATTGCCTGTTAGTCACGGCCCTGTCTTAGAGTCATACTTTGGGCATAGTGGGGTTGTTGCTCACCTAAGAAATGCGCTCCTTCGGGTAAGAACGTGCGTGGCGTGGAGGGGGAACAACGTTACAAACGTCAGTCACGCTGGAAATGGAACAAAGTCTCCGCCATGTTTGTCAGCGTGAGCGGAAGCAAATGGGACCCGCTTTTCAAGGGCTTCCGAACTTTGACAAACACATGGTCTGTGCACACGGATGACGAGGAATGTCACCCGGCCCGGACACGGCAAGGGCCCACACTCCACCGGCCAACCTTCGGAAGGAAACGGACGACTCCCACATCTAGACTCAAGCTCCTTATTGTATCAGACCTCCCTTGCAACAACAATAATCTACCCAGTTCGACAGAGGGGGGATTTTCTGAATCACCACCCTATTGCTCCCAAGCCATGTGGATAATTTGATATGCCCGCCCAAGTTGCTGGTTGTGCACCAGAGCTAAGGATGCCTTAGAGTTTGAGACTGCATCCGCCAGGCTCGTGTGCCACAAACCTTGCCGCTATCTTCCGCGTCCCCAAAGGGCAGCCGAGGAACCCCTGGTCCTGTCACGCCTATGACTTCTCCGGTTGTAAAGGAGCAATATCGTTGGGCGTGCCCTGTGCAAGTATTTGCGCAGAATGTTTGGCCTGCTCTGGTGCTGACGTCTTGGCGAGCAGAATCGGTGCGACCCTCGATTGCAAGGCTAACGATCCATGACCCCATTCCGTGAGCTAAAATGCTTCAGTGGAGCTTATCCAAAGCAACATTCGCGATTGAGTTACCGCCCAACACCTGGGAGCTGTGAGTAATTAGAACTTGGCTGGTCCTGGATGCCAAGAATGCCACTGGCAACGCTGATCATCCGCTCTGTGCATTACGCTTCTGCACTCGTAGGAAAATGTCTTTGTTTTTCTCCTGTGATCCGACACTTTTGCCGAAGATCACCATGCTTGTGATATTCGCAACTCCAGCCTTGTGGCCAGAAAGCGTCTGTGCAATCCTTCAAAACCCATCCCGGACTCGAAGTGTCCTGAATTCCAGCTGCAATTGTCGGGATTTGTCTTGGATCAGGTATGAGGGGTTCCGTACAGTGGTGGCGGTAAGTGGTCTGGATGCCATAGGTATCGGATGCCCGCAGTCATTGGCTCTGCCAATCCAGGCTTTTGCATGGCGTCATTGGCTTACCGCAGCCACGACTTAGTGGCCCGTTAAAGATACCGCTTCCTCTCTTCTCGAGTGAGGGCCGGATCATCTCTGGAGAGTTCACGACGTACAAGTAGCAGCCGGCGGTGTCTCATGTGATCAGACCAGGCGCGGCTAAGAGGTGCTGTCGTCTGTCTCGGCGTAGGGAGAGGGCTGACAGCCGATGGACCCGTCACGAAGATCCCGTCCAACGTTGCATCCACGAAAGACCATCCGTGGCTTAATCCCGGCAGAAAGGCCTGAAACTGGTCTGATAAACAGCGTGCGCCGCGACTGCACACGGTGTTTGCCGCTGAATAACGAGGTTGCGTGCCATTTTGACTTTGTGTGCGTCCGGCAGGATTGAAAGGTAACGACCATGCTGGTAGCCATGGAGAAAGGTATTTGACTGCCTGGTTCCTCGCCAGGGGTAGCTTATACCGACCTGGTGCGAATGGCGCTGGCGATCGACAGGTCTTTTTTCGTGGCCAATCACCATCCTCTACCGATGAAGGGACTTGAAGGGTAACGGAGATGTCTTTCCACAACATGGTCAGGGGCTCGTTCATGGAGTGGAGGTGAAACACGGCGCCCGAGGGCAAGAAGGCCGGCTGGCGGAGCCGTGTACTTGTCCGTTCGGGATTGACAGTCTCAATGGGGAAGGAGAAAGCGAACAAATACGGAAGATTGGGCCCCTACATTGGACAGATCCGACATTACAGCAGAGCCAGAGAAACGTGGTAAACCCACTCCGATCAGGCGGCCGCCTGGGAGGGGTTTTCGGCAAATGCTCAAAGGCAGCCCGCGGATGTTGTGACTTGTGATGATGATTCCAAGGGGATGGTCCTGAAGGAGCCGTTAACCTGTTCCGAGCAGCACCCAAAGTGGTCAGGATCACACAGTGCCTCTTGTCCGCTCTTTGACACGCAATCCATCGTTCTGTCCGCCTTTACGAATGGCTAGACTCGATAAGGACGAGTATTCAAAGCATCGCAATGCATGCTTTTCTGGAAAAAAAGGGCCTGGCACTCGATGGCAAAAGACGATGACCGACTCTCTTCCATATGCAATCACAGATATGTGCACCGAGATAGCCGATCCCTTGCCTCTAACGTGGCAAATGGTTCTAGGACGCGACTGGCATCTGCTGGCAGCCTTCCCTGTGTCACTATGACTTAGGACTACCGGTACCTCATATGGGGGGTGGGGGTAGGGAGGGGGGGGTATCGTTGCCAATCAGTGGCGCAAGACACTCCGTAGTCACGCCACGATACCATATTTCGTGCCCAAGGGGCTCTTTTTGCCACTGGAATGGCGCAGATAAGTCTAGACCGACAGGCCTGTTGCCCCCCTAGCCGACTCATTTCTCTAACCAGGGGTTCACGTTGGCTGGGTTCTCCTTGCGTGAAAGATGAAGCTCCACGGGTAATGGCCTTCGAGGAGTAGAAGCCACAAGGAGTGCTCCTTCGCGGAGCCACACCCAGACACCCTTATGGGTTGACCGCTTCTTTGAAATTTCGCGAGGCAGCTAGCATGTTAGGTCCTTCTGTCGTGAGCCGTGTAGATACGGGAATGGGCGCGTTGAAGGCCAAGGGTCTGAATGTTGGTGTCGAAACCGATGAGACGCGACAAGCCGCTGTCAACTCGGTATCCCAATCAAGGTTTGTTCGCACTGCCATCTCCGGCCTTGGTCCAGGTTCTGAAATGAATGCAGCAAGGGAAGCTAACTGAGAAAAGGCCTCGGTGAGTGTTTGCTCTTCCAACGGTAGCTTCCGAAGCCATCGTAGTATTTGCACAGAGTCATTGATGACCAGCAGCTTGGTATGCGTACTCGGGCTGCTGTCGTCGACTATTGGATAGCAATCATACCTCTCGGGGCAGCAGCCAGCAAAAGTCACAAGCAATCCGTGTGCTATTCATGCCTCGAATTGAGAGGATACGAACTGAAATGCGCGAGGGACCATCTGTTTGGCTCCTGGCCGTCGCTCTGCCAGGAATCCATGGTCTGACGTGTTAACGGGCAGCCTAGACCGCAAATAGGGAACATCAACGACCAGATGACTGACCCGGGAAGTGAGCGATATATTGATGTGCAGAGAAATTGGGACTCGGCAGCGAATTGAAGCCAAGAGGAAACATGTGGCAAGCCGTGATAAGGTGCCAAGAAGGCCCCGGAAGTACCTGGTAGTGCAGGGACCTGGCTGACGGGGAACACATCGCATCTACCACTTATTCTGAACGGTCCTGTTTAACCAGAGAAACATCCGAAACGGGTGTTGTAGAAGAAGCTTTTCTTTTTGTTCGAGAACAGGCAGATAGATGCCTGTCGTTAACCCATGGCGGCGGCTTGCTTGTCACAAGATCGTGGCACCCGGTAGTTGGTGTCAGAAAGTGGCTCGAGCTGAAGGATTGTTTGGATAAGCGGCCGAATCGAGGGACTCGAATCCTGACGAAAGTGATTCGAATGTTTTGAAGGGACAGGATCAAACTTTCGAAAGCTCAAGGGCATCGTCGTCGCCGTCGCCGTCGCCGCCGTCGTCGTTTGCATCCTTCCTCATTGGGTTCAAATGCCCTTTATTTGTCCAGCAACGCATTGTTGACACGAGTGCCAGTACAGGACGGCGAGTCGAGAGGGATGAAGCGAAATAATCCGGCAAGGTAAATGACGATGAAGACTAGAGCTACGTTGGCAGGGAGGCGTGCAGCCCGAGGACGGCGTGATGTAGCATGGTCTGGAGATGAGATATCCTGAGGTTGCAGATTCTGTGAAGACCTCGGGAAGGCAATAGCAGCGAGAGATGCAGCGAGCCAGGAAGACGAGAGAGCGTTGGGCGAGGTCCAGAGGGCAACTATTCAGCAGTAGAACCAAGCGGATATCTGATTGAGAGTCTGTAAGTCGAGGCGGAAGAGGCCGGAAGTCCAGGAGCTTGCTTACCTGGACAGTGAGCGCAGAGCCAGGCACCTACCTACCTACCTAGGTAGGTAGCAGGAGTACCTACCGTCTCCGTCACCTTTCCACTCCTTATCTGAGCCATGAAAGGCATGCTGCATGATCAAGCTGAGAGAATTGAAGATGAAGAGGGAGTAGGAAACACTCGGCTTTGGGTTCCTTCCTCTTTGTCGAGGAGGCAGTAGAGGCAGGTAACTGAGGTACCTGCCTACCTAGCTAGGTAGAGAAGCAAGGTCGACACTGTGTCCACCTCCTCGTTAATTGTAAAGCTGCATGCAAGCCGGACCGCGCAGATGAGACATTGCTATACTAGCCAATAGGAATCTATCCAGTGGTCTCCACTCCCTGACCGTACTGTTTGTCTCTTCGTCAATACACTGTACCTAACACACCGTTGACCCCCCCTCCTTAGGCCATCACTCTCTCCCATCCGTCTTTCAACCCCGATTTCCAACCACACCGGTCATTTGCCCACCTATCTAGATCACTAAAGTCGTTTCGAGACACCCCTCCCCCCAGGCAGGCTTGTTTCCTCCTTTTCCTCACCCTGACGCCCTTGAAAATTCACTGACCACTGTCGCAGCAAGTCATTGATCGATATCTGCTGCATTTGGAAGGCACCAGCCAGGACCTACAGTATACAGAAGGAAGAGAAATAGAGCCCACTGCGGATCTCTTCTGAAGAGCGCCCACATCGCCAACAGCTGTCTTGCATGAGGTAGCTAGCTAGAGCTGCACACCAATCGAAGAAGCAAACAACCCGGATGACAATGCAAGATTTATGCCACCCTCAGCTCATCCAGTTCCCTTTGACCACGAACAATACAGACCCAACGCCCCCCCGGTACCGAGTACCTGCGGCATGTACTCCGTAGTATGTGGCTTCCTGGCCTCGAGATACGAGGCCCTCACCCACGCACCTCAAGCCTTTCAGGACGCGTCCTCGCCGTCGGCTCTGAGCACATCCTCTCTAAGGTTGTCGACAATCGGACGATGTGATCGAGCGGCCAAGTCCAAAGCCAAATGCCGCTACGCCCGTCACGCCCCTCAGCCAGCGAGCGATTCTACCGCAATTCTCCAAATCACCCACCACAGCCCTGTGTTACCACCATCACACCCCCCCCCCCCCCCCTTCTCTCCCTGCTGTGGCATCATGCAACAGCGACTTGCTTACTGCATGTCAGACCATCTCGTCAACAACCGCTTACGCTTGAGGAAGGCCCACCATCAGTCTCCTCCAACTCCCCGTCTGCCGCAAAAGGGACCCTTACATCCGTGATACGTCACATCACACAAGATCCGGTCTATGGAAGCAGGCGAAGAATAAACATGGGGAAAGATGCATTTTACACTTTCCTCTGGCAGACGACGGCGGAGAAGCCGGGAGACGACACTAGGAGATAACTTACCTTCGCAGCGATCGGCGTAGTATGATACGCCCTGTCAGTGCCATGCTGTCAGGCACCGCAGAGGATCCACTGCACCCTGCCATACTATGCCAGCCGGTAGAGTAGTGGCAGCGACAGCAGCATCGGCGGCGGCGGCGGCGGCGTCGGAATTAGCCAAGGAAGGGTACTGCTACCGTCAGATACCAGCGGCCCGATCCGATACGACTGGGCCATACCTGACTATTTGCTTGCTTGCTCGCTTGCTCGAATGGGCGCGTAGGCATGTATATCTTTGTCCGGAAATTGACCCATGGCAGCTGCGTATGCTTGCTCTGCCGGGAACAGTGCTATAGCTCTGGCACATGGGGCCCTCAACCGTCCAATACGTGAAGTCTACCTTGCCAGGCCATTCTCGATAGTCTTGGCTACGAGGTCATCGACGGCCTGGCTAGTCCGGTATTCAGCAAGCCGCGATACGTACACCTCTGAAACAACAAAGTTCGCCTCAATACTCATGTGTAGTGGTGTGCATCAAGCACAATTGCCTGGATCTTTCCGGACTAGTCCACGGGAACTTGCACAAACGACCAATCCAAATAGCGCATCGATCTATATTAAACCGGCTCCGCAGAACACGAGGTGCAGGAGCTGCGCTGTTGGGTCTCAAGATTGATGACCTCTGGATGGTGATCGCCCTTTCTACAGCTTCTTTGGCGGGCTCGACCTCATGGAGTTAGTATCGCCTGTCTTTTCTGCCCTTCTCGGGTAATGCGACGTCTCATTGGATCCCACGGGGAGGCACAGCTCAAGTTTGTGCTATTCCTGCACCGTCATCTGCTGCAAGAATCGATTCGCCTGAAGGGGTGTTGGATACATCCTTCGATGACGCCAATCAAACTAAGCGCGGACGACCTAGGATCGTGGATAGAAATGATCCGATGGCACCCTGTCAACCAAGTTCAGGAGAAACACCAATGCCATTGCACGTGGTTACTGTGTCTCTATCAGCCGAGACACAGCTTTTGACACCGAGTCAACTATGAGCCGCCAGGACCGATTCCGGGGGACTTGAACGTTGTACTGCCCCTACGAACAGACCACTAGAGTCGCATGGCAGGCTTAGGGCCGAAGTCAACCATGTGGATCTCGACCACAATCACTATTGTTGCCAAACACGCCTTGTCGGCGCGACTACGGAGGACGCCAGGCTGCCTTCGTCATCTCCGCCAGCCTATACTTGAGTTTCTCTGGCCGCACACAACGGTCCCGACGGCACGGGGTCAAAGCTTTTTCGAAATCCATCTTCGCGACCATGATTACGCCTTCGGCCAATCCGATGATACTGATGCAGGGTGTTGGTCGAAGCCGAACGTCATGCAAGAAAAAAGGAAGCCCGGTGTCAATGACCGGGACTGTCCGCTAAACGCCTATGACCTACTTTCACGACTGCAAGCTGCCGTTGATAGCGCACTTTCCTGCCAAGGCAAATCCTCTCCCTTTCTCATAGGCTGTCTGTGGCGTTTCATCCAAGCCCATGGCGGACGGGTAGTTGCAGACTTGATGCATAGAAGGGGAGCAGGTCAGCGAGGCTTGGAAGGCGTCCTCCTCCGTTCACAACGCAAGACCTCGACTCACCAGGCTACACGGCGGCGCAGGTCAGTAGACTCTCCACTTCTTAGCTTGAAGATAATTAGTGCCTTGGATCTAAGCCCGAATCCCTCTGTTGTATCATCTCTGGACTAAAAGGAGAGGGAGAGAGAGAGAGAAACGTTGCCTGGGTTATCTACTGACCTTGGCTTTAGGCCGCAATGGCTGCTAGCAGCAGGCTGAATGGGATAGTGACATGCCATCCGGATTGCATCCTCGGACACGATTACAAAGACTTGCTTGCCTGAATAGCCCCATGGATTTGGACCATTGAGAAGCTTGGCAGACAAAGTCGAGTCGTACGGACTCCCACCCCCTGCCCAGAACACCTCATCTCTGATTCCTGGTCCCTTTGCTTAAGGATGGCTTGGCGAGTGGAAAGTTTCCCACCCTGCGCACTCGGTTTCTACACGCCCGGGCATTGTATCCTTTGCAAAAGGACCGCCGAAGCAAAGTAAAGCAGCAGGCCTGCCCGAGAAGCCGACTGGGGGTCTCCTAGAGCTCCCCACACAATTCAATGTGCCTTTACCGTTGTCTCAGAGTCTGCACAACCCATTTGCTCACGCGTGGAGCCCCCCCCTTCCCGCCCTGACTTTTCCGATTTTGTCCTCTTTGCTCCTTGCTCCTTGGACTTATGGCATATCGGCAGTGTGCTTGGGAAAACCCAGCTGTTCTGTTGCTGCTTAGTCTGTGCGACATGTGCCGAGCAGTCAGTCGCATGTTGAGCCTTTAACCATTTTTGTTGCTTCTGTGCAATCTCGAACCAGCCACATCTAGGGGTTCTCATGGCAAGGTATATAGACACCGGGTTTCCGTGATCCTGCACTTTCCCAAGCTTCTCGCAAACCCCACGACTTGGACAATTCCATAGAAACCGAGCAACTAGAGACAGCGCCCAAAAACATTGTCATACACAAAGCCCGGCGGCGGGAAGACGTTAGCATTCTTTACAGTCACCGCCAACATACTACATACCCCCACCGATTCAGTATTCGAAGCAGCACGCGTCTTGGCAAATCAAGCCCGATATTTGAACAACTCGAGAAGGTTGACCGGCAAGAGAAGGAATTTCAAAAACAAACAAACAAAAACAGAGTAAGCCACGCCAACATCTCCATCTCTCATAACTGGCGTTGAGCTCCCTTCGCGGGGAGGGCCATTCCCTGGCGAGTCGTGGGTAGCGAGCGGACCCGAGACGATTTGCACCAGGGGCCACTGGGGAAGATCCATCTCGCCGGCTCCCCCCGCGGCAGAATCCGATTCGCCTCCATTACGGGGCTGCCATCTTGCTAGCCAGGCGGGCCATTCCATTGTCGATGCAACGACGACAGCGCCGTTCGGTGTGGGGAAGCCAGAAGCTAACGGTCGTCCAGGTGTACCTGCTATTCTACTGAGCTCTTCTTCCTGCGAGTAAGTGAGGACGCGTCCCATGGTGTTTGAGAAGCATGTACAGAGGCGACCCGACGGACCTGTACCCAGGCGGAATAGGCGTCGGGGGGGACATGCAGGCGGGACAGCTACTCAATGCGCGTCGTAGTGGACGACGGGCGAGCTTGGCTAGGAGAATTGGCCATTGTTCTGCTGCAGCGCTGACCACCACGACCATGGGGCTTATCGTGCGGCGTGGTACGCGCGGATCAATGGCGGCGTCTCCAAGGCGGTTGAGCATGCCGGCGTTATGGGTGACGATGAACGAGCTTGTCTCCATCAGACGGTCACATACAGGCGAAAGTCGGTCCCATTGCTGACGGCAGAATCACGTCGCTTAGGTTGGGCAGGATAAAGAGCTGCAAGCAACTCCTTGGCATGACAGGGGCACTTTTGGAGAGTCAAGCGCCGGTGAGTGTCGAGAGCCCCATACCTTCCCCTCCCCCTTCCTCTGGTCAAGGTTGCAGTTGTTGGGAAGAGGCAGAAGAGGAGAAGAAGAAAAGAAGGATGAAGAAAAGTGACAGCTTCTGGGGGCGGCATGGTGGGATGAGAGGAAAAAGAGAGATAACGGAAAAGAAAAGATTTGGGGCATTTGCTAACATGGGCGTGTGTTGTGGGCAAAAAAGAGGATCGAGGAGTTGGGGCGTCCGGACCGTTGCTCCAGTGCCAGCACCAGCACCAGCACCAGTGCAAGCATCAGCACCCGATCACCGCCCCTCTACTACGGCGCGACACCCCTCGCCGCCGGAGACGACCGTCGTATGAATCCTCAACAGCTGGCCAAGGTACCGTACCCCCCTTAGATTCACTCCCCTTCCGTAATCTTGTGTCTCTCTCTCTCTCTCTCTCTCTCTCTCTCTCTCTCTCTCTCTCTCTCTCTCTCTCCGTTTCTGTGCCTTGCCTTGCCTTACCTTGCCTGATTACTCTCTCCCCTGCAATACTACTACCACTACTATTACTCAATCGACGCTTTCTTTTCCCTCTGCCTTCCCTCGTTGTCCACCCCCCCCCCCCCCCCCCCCCCCTTCCCCTCCATTCAACTCCTGCAATTGCATCGCGAGGCTGTGTCGGACCAACAAGACGACTCCAATCGCGACTGTTGCTGTAGCCGTCGCCGTTGCTGCAACAAACCAAACAATGGACCATTCAGTCGTCATTCAGTCTGTCTGATAGATGCACTTGAGCGGGCGCCCCGCTCTTCTCGTCGGTCGGAGGTCTCGGTCTGCATCTGCACGTTGCATCGGTAGCGCGGTGCAGCATATAAACAACTACCGTCGTTGAGAGAGAGTCTGCGCCTGCCGATTCCAAGGCGTGGGAGAAGAAGAGAACAAAAGGCACGAAACCAAACAACACGCCTCCAACGGGTGGCGTACCTAGACAAGGAAGGGCAGGCGAGTTGAGGGCTAGTCTAGGCCTCGTCCCGGCCCTCTAAGCTTTGCCTGTCCACGTTCCGAGGGACTGATAGACAAGGTAACGGGCCGAGTGAAGCTTCGAGAGAAGGGGGGAAAAAAAGGTACGTATGCAACTCGACGCTAATTGCTTTTTATTTTTATTTTTCATGTTCACCTTTTGCACATTCATCAGCGGCAGCTCCGTGTTCTTTCTGTCTCACTCCCCCCCCCCCCCCCCCCCCCCCTTCTCTTCCTGCCTATCTCAAATCACTGGCTTCTTCCCCTTGGAATTGCATGCCAGCAGAAGGAAAGGCCGTCAGAATCGGTGCGTCCCTCGTGGAACAGCTCTGGACGGGAGTTCAAGAGGAAAATGCATCTACGCATCTGGCAGATGATTTCACACTTCTGGCATGTCTTTGTTTCATTTCTTGGAAGACCTTGGTCCTCCTTGAAGCCTGGCGAGATGAGGAATACAAGACCAGGAGACACCCAATTCCACACCAGTGTCGTGTTCCCGGCACCCCAAGCAGCGCTTCCAGGCATGAGACGTCTCTCACGCTCCCGCACTCGCTTCCGGGGTGGACGCGAGACGTGTATTGGGTGTGGGATAAGGAGAGAGAGAGAGGGGGGGGGGGGGGGGGACAAGGGGGATGGAGGGAGAGAGAGAGTGTGTGTGTGTGTATGCTTGGCCGGTTTACACTGCACGACTTGTCATCTCTCGTCCTTCTACCAGCTCACTTGCCTGCCTGCAAAGTCATGCACGCAAGAAAGTACACTGTGGTGTCTGGTAGTATTGGATTGTGTACCTTGTCTCTCCCATGTTGCCTCCTCCCTTTACCTACCTCCCCCCCCCCCCCCCCGGTCATCTGCTCTTGACACTGCTGCTGTCGATGCTGCTGGTGCCGGTGCTGATTGATGCTCCTGCTGCTGTCGCCGCCGCCGCCGCAGCAACTCCTCATCGGTCGGGCTCAACAAGACCCAGGCCCAGATCGGTCAACAACCACCCCCTCTTTCTTCTATCTTCTCCTCTAGTTGTCATTCACGCATATTGCCTCCCCATTAAAGATGCTATTCCTTGGTTCTTTCTGCTAACTTCCCGTAGTCGTTGCGCCGCTTTTCACTCGTCTGTCGCTTGTCTGGGCATGCTCTCGCCTGAGGCAGATTGAACACACGCCCCTTTGCAACAGCTATAGCTTCCTGGACGCAGCAACGGCACAGCCTCGAGTTCATTTTGCAAATCCTCATCCTCATCCTCATTTCCCCCATTTGTTTCTCTGGTGGGAGCCATGATCTGACTAGTGCCGCCGTGCAAACAGGAGTTCGAACCATCCACGGGATATGACTACCTCGACATACACGCTTCTAGCAATGACATGCGGTACGTAAAAATTATGTTGGTCTTAATGGCCGACGGGGGATCGATGTATTATTGTTTCTGTTGTTTCATCCCCCGCCCCCTTCCCCTGCCAGGGCTGCAGTGTGTTATTCTACTCGACTGTGCACCCCCTCCCAAAGTGTCGAGATACCTGCTGCTGTCCTGGGCAAAACCCCCAAACCCAACCGTTTAGCAAGTGCAACTCTACAAGCTTTGTGGAGAGACAGACCTTCTCGACTCGGCACGCTCTGTTCTGATCGGTGACCCAGCCTGCCGGGGTGGTATGCCTCGAGCACGGGAAATGCCCAAGTCGAAGCGAGAGGTCTAATCTTTGCAGCGGCATCAAGAAAGACGGACAGGTGTGTGGGTAACTGCCTTTTGGCAGCCATCGTCCAACTAGAAATCCGCGGGCGTCCCCGCCTATCGCCGATGGACGGTGGTGTGTCATCGCATTTCCTGATCCTGTATCGGCTGGCCGTTGTGCAACACACTGCTGGCAGTAGGACGAACTGGTAGCACTGACACTGTGTCTCGCATGTGGACGCGGTACAGCAGTTGTCGTGCCAGGCTTCCAACCCTCTGCTTTGTACACAGCTTTCAAATTCGGAGGGGGCCGTTCGGGCTGACGGGAAACGTTAGATACGAACACAACACCAATGCTTCTCTGTCGACGATCGAAGGCCCTTCGCAACAGCCGACGCTCTTAAACCTGTTCAATCCACCTATAACCAACGCAACTCCGTACTCCGCTGACGGCAACTTCTATCACCCAAACGCCCCTCACGTCTTTCCCAGCCTGGACGTCAGGCCTCGCCTGGGCTCAAAGTAGGTTGCACACTATCCCCATCTCCCCCCTCCCCCTTTTGTTTTCTTTTTTTTTTCCCTCCCCTTCTTATATACTGGCAAGTACAAGACATGGTTTTGTCCTCTCTCTCGTCAAAGATGGACCATGATCGAGTTCACACACTTACCTGACAGCAGCACCTCTTCGGCGGGCATGGCACATGCCCATCGCTCCACAGCATTACCACATCCTGGCACACACATCACCGCTCGAGATCAGTATTCCCCGGCGACGCCATCCTACAGGAGGGTGTCGGAGCACCAGCCTAGATCTCCATCCTACCCAACCGCTCTACGACACCATCCCATATCTCCGACTTCCAGCCCTATCACCGGCTTCAACGCACCCGCTTCCTTGAGAATGGATCCCGGCCATTACACCTCGTCTCCCTCCCGGACACAGACGAGTGTCCCTCCGCTGAGCCCCATCACAAACCTCGGCATCCTCCAATACACGGATGGCATGCAGGTCAAGGTCGACATCCACGGCAACATCGACAAGGGCTTCTTCCAGTCTGACGGCGATTGGACGTGTTATAGGAGGAACTACTTCTCCTGCATTTGCTCGTTCGGACTGACTCCACATTATCCCGGCCAGGTTTTGCAGTTCACTCAGCAGGGCTCAACGCAGCCGTACTCGGTCTTGGGCTTTGCCATGTCTATCTCGGCCGTCGTCGCGGAGAACGACTCCCATACGATCGAACTAGTCCAGCATACGCCCAAGAGGGACAAGGGCCCGATCGAGAAGCCTGGGAAGGTGCGCCTTCACCCGAAGCATCCTCACATGTCGCATCCTATGGGCCTGTACCATAGCGACTCTGGGCTTGGAGGTCCGTCGAGGATCGGGTTCCCAGACAGCGGGGGCTATGGTGGGCAGCAGGGCGGCGACCCGTATCAGACGGAACATACTTTCGAGCGCATCCAGTTCAAGCAGGCGACAGCGAACAACGGAAAGAGACGGGCTGCACAGCAGTACTACCACCTGCTTATCGAGCTTTGGGCGGACATCGGGTCGCAGGGCCCGGACAACTTCGTACGGATCGCGTACCGGAAGTCGGCCAAGATGATTGTGCGCGGCCGCTCTCCGGGCCATTACCAGAGCGAGAGGCGTGCAAGCACCAGCAGCGGACCAGGGGGGTCAGGTGGTAGCTTCACGGGGTACCCAACCAATTCGATCATCGGATCCGACTTCGGGGCCGCGGGTTCTATGGTTGGCGGTGGCTACACGCCAGGGTTCGATGCCCGCGGGAACACTCATTACGGGTCGACTCGCCACCACCCCGATCTGGAGCACATGCTATCTCCCGAAGATGCGAAAGCCATCGAGACTACGAAGGACTACCAGTATTACCCCGGCGCCATGTACGACGGAACTGATTCGAGAGGGGTGGACATGTTCGACCACCATCGACACGGACAGGACAACATGGTACCACACGTCGGTTCAAACTACGATCCACTCCACGATAGAGTCAAGCGCGACCCCGAGATACTGCCAAGCATTTTCCAGCCCGGAACGCTCATGTCGACTCAAAGATGCGGCCCCTTCGAAGCCAAACCGACGTCCAGTGGCTACTACCCGGCCATGGCCCCGCAGTCCGGAGTCAACGTCACGAATATGACGTGAGCCCAGACGCGAAACACTTGTACAGACCCCGGGGTCGCTACGACGAATCACAATCTGGGACGAGACAAGCACCACGGCAGCATGCACTACACTTGGGAAGGACGCGGGCAGAATTCACGATCTGCCAACTGTCGCCCTTCCTGTGGGCAGTCTTATTCCGGGTTCTTTCCCGAGGACATATCAGAAATTGGGCATAGAACTTGACTACGAGATCTTAGCGTATGGGGGGGGGGGGGGGGGGGAACACGCGCATCAGTGTCACGATACCAGTCCATGCCCGAACATGACTGACTGTGTGTGGAGAAGACGGGTAAATACAAACCACAAAAAAAAAAAAAAGAAGGAAAAAAAAAAGCCTTGGCGGAACAAAATCAGGGATCAACGGCGAACCGGCGCGTGGACAAAAGGAGACGGGATAACGTCGTGGCTTTGGAATATGAGGGGAACAGAAGGGAAGTCGGTCCAGTATATCTGACATGGACGCATCATGGGACGGAAAAGTTTGGAAGAAAACAACACACGCATGTCGGCCAGGGGCCATCACTGGGTACGGTGAATGACAGGCATTGATTGCTAGGGATACCCGCCACGCACTTCCTCGGCCTTCTGGTTTCTTGTCTCTTGTTCGGATTTTCTGTTTGTCTTTTTTTCCTTTGATTATTATCCCATTGTTTGTTGGGGCCTCTCCCTACATTGTTCGCTTCGATGGCCATGCGGTGTTTGTTTCTTGTAATAACCCGAGGATACGGAACGTTCGCTTCAACAAAGATAGCCTATTAGTATTGGTCTTATCACTTATGGGAGATACCAGGCAACTCGAGAGGTGGGACAGGGAGTAGGAGTTGCGAGATGGGAAATCGGCCGGTCAAAAGACCCAAGCACATGCGCACAGAGAGAAAGACGGAAAGTGGAAGGGGAGCTAGGAAAAACATGACGGAGGGGGGGCTGAAATGGGCGCTGCCACGTTGGAGGGCCAAGTACTCCGTACTGGGGAAGCAGTGGCAAATATGCCGGTGTCAGGTTGTTGTTTTTTTATTTTATTTTATCTTATTCTTTTATGTTTTTATTTCAAAAATCTACCAAAGTTACAAACCCCTGGCACTTCCCAACAACAACAACAACAACAACAACAACATTCTGGCCTCCACGGGGCATGGATTTGGACACACGCTTGACCTCCTCCTCCCCCGCTCCATTTCCCCCCACCCCCACGCACGATCACCGCAACAGCCCCATTCCGGTCCCCATGACCGGCCCATGTTTGCTTACTTGTTTGTCTGTCTGTCTGTCTGTAATTCAGAGCAAGGGTCGAAAGGTCACGGGCTCCACTGGGCGCTAGACACCCTCAACAGAGAGAGTGATGGAGGAAAGCCAACGACGGCTACGTAGTATGGCTGGGACGCTACGATGTGAACTTGGAAAAGTAAAATAGACAGGGGGGGCGGGCAGGGGTAGATTCGAGAAGGGCGCTACCCTTGTCCTGTGGAGCCTTTACAATGCAGGCAACAAAAGAGAAACACAGAGAGACACACTCAGAGAGAGAGAGAGAGAGAGAGAGAGAGAGAGAGAGAGAGAGAGAGAGAGAGAGAGATAGTGGCTAGCCCCCCTTTGTGCCATGTAAACAAACCACTTCCGGCAGGCTTGGCCTAGGAATCCCTATCTCTCCTGTTGGATGAGTGGAGGCGGCCTCAGATTGGGCGAGGACGGTGGGCAAGGCTAGCGAGAGATTTCGGCACCGATCTAGAGTCCGCTAGCGGGCGGTGTGACATCGAGGGAAGGTCTGGGGTTGGGCTCCACAGGGGCGGGTGTGAGCGGTCGGGGCTCATGGGCAACCTGGGCTTGATATTTCCTCTTTTCTCTCTTTTGCTTTTTCAAAGAGGGAGAGGAGGGGGGCTCTCTTTTCCTCCCTTTTCCTCTCTTAGGTGTCTAGCACGAGGCCATGCATCGAGACACGGCTTGTAGATATACAAGGCACGGCACATGGGCATACAACTAAATGACGGGAGAGGAAAGGGGACGGGGAGGGATGGAAAAAAGAGGGGAGGGTGGGAGGGCTTTGTCAGTTTTCGTATCACGGGAAACGGTTACTACATGATTCCCGCCGATATGGTACTATACGAACCTTGTCGGAACACAGCATGAACAGACGGGAAGGGGATAGGGGTAGGGTGGGGAGGGGTGGAAGAAAAAGAGGATGCAAGAGGAGGGAGACATGTATTCTTCAGAGGCGAGTTTTGCGCGGTGCGGCGCAGGATGGCCAAAGGGTGCAAGGGGGGGGGGTGAAGGTCCTTTGCGTCTCGCATAGATTGCAGAAACCAAATGCACTTATAAGGTCGACAGCCGAATGAGAGGTAAGTTTCCATTGTGGCTGGAGAGAGTGTGTGTGAACAGGGTGTGTTCTGAAGGGGGGGTTGGGCCTGGCTGATGAGCTGTAACTAGCCGTTGGAAGAAGAAGAAGAGGAGAGAGGGAGGGAAGGGAGAGGGGGATGTGTAGCTGAAGATGCTGACCCAGAGACAGGGGGGGAGCAACAGTGAGGGAGAGGGCTGCCTCTCGGATAGCTGTCGTGTGGCAGAGAGAGCACAGCTCATAGTTGGAGTCGCACAACGTCGGCGGTCCTGATGATGTACCCTGTGATGAGGTTTTGTGTGTGGCGGGTTTGGGAAAAGGGGAGGAGGGGGTTGTCGGATGGCAACCGGTTGGTTCTCGGCTCCGTGTGAATAGTTGTGCAATGTTCCCGGCTGTTCGGTTCGCCGAACTGCCCCTTGGCTTGGTGATACTAACCTTGGGATCGTGCCGTGTATTGATAACTCGTGTTGTTGTGGTTGTGTGTGTCTTTTGGTTCATTTGAGGTGCGTTCTCCTCCAAAGGGAAAGGTAGCATGAATTGCCTCGCTAGGTAAACAAACCCCTGAACAGAAGAGGAAGAAAGAAAGAAAAAAAAGGAAAGAAAAAAGGCAAATGCCAAGGCGGCCGGAGCTATTGAACAGACTCGGTGAGAAAGAATTCGAAAGTGTGAAATGCATGTCTTGGATTTTCAGCGCCTTTTTATTTGCCCCCCCTCCCCCCGTCTCTCTCCGCCCCCGTCCCTCGCCCACCTCTCGCAGCTCTATTCGGTCGAGATCCCTGGGGTGACCGTCAAGATCTCGTCACTGGCTACTGAGCGTCATGTAAGTGCCGGGTCGCCATGTAGGTCGAGTTTAAGCTGGCTCCACCACCCTGGCTGATGTCCAATTAAGGTTTCCGAGTGACAGTCCGGGAAGAGGAGGGAGAAATTTTGCTCGGACGTGTGTTTTAGGCTCGAGCCTAGCGGAGACAACGGGATGGTTTTTTTCTTCTTCTTCTTCTTCTCTCGTTTGTTTTTCTATTGGCGAGGAGAAAGAGGGAGGGGGGGATGCCTACTAGGTAGGTAGAAAAGCGCGACTGGGCGGGGGAATAAGAAAACATATGGGAAGCGGAAAGCCGTTTTGACGGTGGGGCCGCCCAGGCCTTGACTATTCATTCGTCATAGACTTTGTCTCTCTCTGTCGGCTGAGGAAGACGCGCTAATTGTGCCAGCGGCGAAGAGGGAAAATGCAGCTCAATTCCGCCAAGATAGTTTGGGAGAAGACAGATGTATCACAGGAGCCAGTTCTATAGCGCGTCGAATCTGTTCAAGACAGACAGGGTCTCCTGCCGCGCGTTGAGCCACTGGCGGAGCTGCACACACGTCTAGGAATCAGCAGCGACCCTTGCATTGTGAGACGGTGATGGGATCGGCTTCCTAGGTTGGGCTGGGTTGGTCGGGCAATCAATCAATCAATCAATCAATAGGCAGGCGATCAACGGTGCCAGGTTCAGAAACAAAGTGACCATCGAGCGGACGGGCAATTGACTTGCAGACGACGACGAAAAGAGAATAATGGACGGTGGACGGTGGACGGTGGACGGCGGACGATGATCCGACTGAGAGGCGTCGGCGATGCAGGCCAGGGCTGCAGTGCAGACGAGGGGGGGGTGTAGGATATCCACCACCTACTGGGGGGTGGATGGACAGGGGGCGGAGAGGATGCACAGTGCGCCGCCGCCGTTGGTCACGACGCTTCACCGAGACGGGCGGAACGGAGAGAGACGGGCGGGATGTGGGCCTATTAACGCCGAATGTGTGTGTGTGTGTGTGTGTGTGTGTGTGTGATCGTCCGATCGATGCAATGCTGCTGCCTTTCCTTTCTGCCCTGGGCAGAGAATCCCTCTCGGATCTTGACCTCACCCCATCGCTCTTTGCCCACCATCTATCTGTCTTCCTCGCTCTGGCCGGTTTTCGACTGCCTACACTACATCCTCCATCCCTCTGGACCCTTCCAAGTGTCACCGCTTCCGTCCCCCCCCTGGTCCGGCCAGGACATCCCTTGCTTCACCAAGCCCCAACTGAACGGCACGCGCCGAGGGGACGCCCTGTCCTGAGACCCTTCACCGAGAGGCACTGCCGTCTTACATAGTAACGCAGTGTCGCTCGCCGACCATGGCACTCCGGGAAAACACCACAAGGTGTAGTGATCGGCAGGTATCCCGCCAATGCCCCTCCCCTCCCCGGAGAAGGGCTGTCTCTCGTCAGCATCAGCCCCCCCCTCCCCTTCCTCAAGTCTCAAGAGCCGTGTTGAAGTGACACAAAGAAATCTCCCTCACTCAGCCTTGCTGGCCGCTCAGGATCCTCCCGTCTCACCCCTCCGCCCTCCCTTCTCGGCACACCACCCTTGCTCGCCTTCTGGGGGACATGCGGTCGAGCTGATGGTCCACGCTTCGGCCTTTGCCATATGAAAACCATCCCCTAATGACCACATCATCGTCTCGTCACCTGCCGGCAAACACAGCGCCGTATTGCAAGGTCGCACACCAGTTATTACTCTCTTCGTCGCCACTCCGTCAGCCGAGCATGTCGGCTACTGAGATATCTCGAGCCGATGGCTCCCCACCCGGCGACGAGACCCCCCCCCCCCCCCCCCCCCCAGCCAAGCCATATGAAACCGTCCGCTATTTCGTGCTAGGGGATCGGTCGCGCTACCGCCTCCTCTCCCGCTCCCTTCTTCGTCCCCGCTGTCGTTGTCTTCGGCTCACTTCCAAGGGCTGGGTAGCCGGGCTGACAGGGCTGGCCGCGTGTCGCTGTCAGACTTCCAGGCGCGACTCCCGCGCGTCGTCCTCCCAAACAAGCCGCAAGTCACGCCACAGTCAGCCCCGTCAGAGCCTGTTCCCTGCTGCAGAGTCAGATGACTTGACGGTTATCTAGTGCTGAGCTGCTAGGCATCATTGGGTAGGGGCCGGACCTGACGATATCTTCGTTATTCCGCCGGTCCACTGCAGCGGGCATTTGCGGCGTGTGTCGTGAATAACTCTGCATGCTTGCCTTCCCGCCCATCCTTATCATGGGCTGGTCCGAGATGGTGCGTTTCGTTGGAGTGAGCACTAGCTCGGCAATGTAACGTTTTGCTGTGGCTAGAGTGACGGTGGCGCGGGCCAGCGCTGCCGCGCAGCACCTTTTCACTGATTTCCGATCAGGCCGCCAACGATTGCAGTCAAACGTTGTATCGATGGGCTGGATACCAGTGCCGTACGCCTGTTCCGCGATGTTGAAACACTTTCCCCCTTTCTTTTTGTTTCATAGCCTGTCCCATCGACTAAATAAGCACATCTCACCCACCGAACGCAAGTGGAATGTAGTATTGTGATGACATACATCATGGCGCTATTTGTAACGACTGGGACTAGAGAACGTGACGAGAACATATCTGCTTCCAGTTTTCAAGCCGTAGTGCAGGAATATACCGGCCAGGGCCGGCACGTGCCAGGTTTCCGAGCTCCAGCAACACTGCACGCTAGGGTGCCCACGGATGGTTCTAGCCATGGGCATAGACAGCTCAAGGTTTTTCGATCCGTTATATCTCAATGTTTGGGTCCACGGTTTGGCATTGAGGCCTCCGACGTCTCTCGGTGGCCGTTGGTTTCCCTGAGGCGTTAATCATGGCGCAAAGCTTCTTTCTAGATCGCAAGCCAGAAACCGTCTGGGCAGACCTGCATCACTCCTCGTCTTCTAGATTTCCGCCGTACTAGCTGGCCGTGATCATTAAAAATGCCATACTCCTCCGAGGGACTGCCGCCGAAACCAGAGATACCAGCCTTGAGCTCCAACCTTGAGCACTATTCTGATATCATTTAGCCCCTAAAATACCGTACCTCGATGAATGGATTCTGAGCCTGTCGCAATCTACAGAATCTGTGACGCGAGCTTGGCTCGTATCCAGCTTGATACCTGAAGCTTGTCGCATTCGTTGACAAGGAGACACTATATTCCGTATACAGTAGAACGATATCAGCCATTCATCGCGGTTGGCTCTTTAACTAATCCATCTAGTTCTTCGCCCGAAAGGAGGTCGAATTCCTCTTTCTCATAGCACAAGCCGATCCGATCTTCGACCATGACCCTTCATGGCCACCTACACAGAACAGAGGTCATTTATTCGCAACTCTTACTGAAGGAGGAGAAAAACAGCTTATCTACCCACATGCTTTACTTTCCCTCCGAATAGATGCCATTTGCTCGACCAATGACAACAAAATAGGCCCAACTCATGTGCCACTTTGTAACTCCCTTATCCTTCACCATCAAGGTGTTGACCACAAGTAACCAGCCAGATGGCTCGAATCGGCGTTAATTGATGCCTGATTGAGGCTGGAAGAAACCGAACCCGTAGTGAAATTGACGGTCGAGCTCATTTGGCCATGCACTAGGCACAGCCTCGCAGACCCCTTTCACCATCTTCCAACAGGATCGCCGCCACAAGACACGGTCACCTCCGCACTCACAGAGACTCCTGTGCAAGTCTCCCCTTGGGCTCGGCTGTGTTTCCCTCCAAAACTGTGGATGCATTGCGAGAGCAAAGAACAATTGCAAAGCAACTTGCCTTTAGGGCGACATGCCTCAAGTGACACACTTTCCTTCCAGAATCCTGATGCTCATGGTGTGCTTCGGCTTCACGGTACCGGACTGTTCGAAAGAATCGAGAAGACGACCCGGGTCTATTGAGACTTTTATTGCAATCGCCAGCTCTGCAAACCAGTCCCGGAAAATCATCGCTAATGCGTGTGTGTTGTTACAAGTTCCTGCTTTTCATCCGCTGCCCCGAATCCGCTTAATACCTGTAGATAGCATCTGCCATCTTGACAATTTGACACATCTCAACGGCGTCGTGGACTCTCACAATATCAGCTCCGCCCTGGACAGCCGAGACAACAGTCGCCGCCGTGCCCCAGATACGCTCCTGTGGCTTCGATACGCCCGTGACCTTGCCTACGAAACTCTTCCTGCTGGAACCAATCAGCCAGGGGAAGCCTTCCAGGCCCGGCCAGGAGCGAAGCTCATCCATATGACGCAGGATCTCAAGGTTCTGAGCCCCCGTCTTGGCGAAGCCCAGTCCCGGATCGAGGATGATGCGCCAGCGACGCACGCCCGCCGCCTCCGCCTCGGCGACGCGGTCGAGCAGCTCACGAGCAATGGTGGGGATCAGACCGTCGGGATAATCCGTCAGGGAGTTCATGGTGGCGGGCGTGCCGCGCATGTGCATGAGGCAGACGGTGCGGTTGCTGCGGGCCATGGCGCGGAACATGTCAGGGTCAAGCTGGCCGGCCGAGACGTCGTTGATGATGTCCGCGCCGGCGGCAACGGCGGCCTCGGCCACGGAGGCGCGGTAGGTGTCGATGCTGATGGCGATGTGGGCAAGCTCCGGAAGGCCGCGGACGAGCTTGATGACCGGAAGAACGCGGGCAAGTTCTTCGTCCGCGGGGACCTCGGGGCGACCGGGGGCGGTGGAGCAGCCGCCGATGTCGACAATGGTGACGCCAGCCGCGGCGAAGGATTTGAGGGTCGCGACGAGGTTTTGAGGGTTGTGGACGCCGCCGTCGGAGAAGGAGTCTGGGGTGGCGTTCACAATGGCCATGACATGGGTTTGACGGTTAGGGGAAAGGGAGGCCAGCGGGGGTTGAGAGGAGGAGATGGGGGTCAGCGAGGAGAGGGGTGCTGCCGATCGGGGCAGCTCGTTGAGGTAATCCAAAGTGAGTTTCCACGGGTTGGAGGCGTAGAGAGGCTTCTCCGGGATAAGTCTGTCGAGTGTTAGCGGATGGTCGCGAGAGAAGGATGAGAGACGTGCTCGGCCAGGGGTCGGAGGACAAACTCCCTCTCAGGGATGCCAACGTGAGGGACAGTCAGGCGAGCATGCTCGACTTTCTCGTCGCCATACAGGAGGAGGTCGAGATCAATATTACGCGGACCCTTGTCAATGATCTTCCGACGACCCATTGTACGCTCAATGTCCTGGAGCTCATCAAGAAGAGCCAAGGGCTCGAGTTCGGTCTCGACCTGCATCATTCGATCAGCCAAAGCTCAACCGACCGAGTTCGCATGGCGCTTGACAATCACAAAATGGGCATGAGAGGGAGGGAGTGCGAGTCTCTCGTGAGGCCAAGGAACCACTGACCTCGCAGACGCCATTGACGAATCTATCCTGCTCTAGAACATACATGGGCTCCGTCTCCCACAGGCTGCTGGTGCGCTTCACCTTGATGCCGCGACGGTCCATTTCGGCACAGGCCTGCTCGATCCAGGCAACACGGTCGCCGAGGTTGCTGCCGAAAGCGACGTATGCGGTCCTCGGACCCTTGGAGCGGGCGGTGGCGCCGTCGCGGGTGCCGCCGCCGCATCCACCGCCGCCGCCGCTGCAGGCACACCCGCATGCCGACCGAGTCTGGCCGGGGGCGGTCATGATCGGCGACGGCGCCAGGCGGGTTGTGGTGGTAGGACGGGAAGGGGGAAAGCGGCCGAGGGCGGCGGGACTGAGAGCGGACGAACTACTGCTGCAGCAGTGCGTGGACAGGGAGGTTGTGCAGGAAGCTGATGCTGCTCTCGTCGTGGCCTGGTTCCGGACAAGTCGCGGTATTAAGGCACGGCGGCGCGCATTGCTGCTCCGCGCTAGGGCACACACTCGTGAAGAAAAGGGAAAAGGGTGGCGGATGGGGATCGGGGGTTTCATCATGAGAAAGTCGACAATGCGCCGCGTGCGCCCACACGCCCCAATATGAGTTTGTCGTTGAGGGTCGCTGAGGGGAGAGAGAATCTTGTTTGGCAGCCAATGAGGTTTCGGCGCGGTGGTACTCTCCGGTCCGGCAATGAATGCTTAGGTAACTGGGCCAGGGTGAGGGACGTGGGAGAGATGCGCGTAAAGTGAGTGGATGCGGCGCGCGACGGGTCAATATTCTCTCTCCATCCTTGCCCACGGTCCGGACATGCTGTCAGGGTCTGGACTGCTGCACTGTTGTTAAGGTGTCGTTTATAATGAGTTTGGAGCTACCTGAACCATGAAATGATTCGAGCAATACGTACGAGGTCATACCCAACCGCTCTGGCACGGATATCACCGGTTATGTGACTCGGGGCCCGTAGCATATGATCCGCTTATCGTTAATTATGTTGGATTTGTATATCGAGCCCGAACAAAAGAAAATAAAAAAGACCCTTACGACAAACGTTTGAGAGAACAAAACTCCTCACAAATCTGCATCCTGAAGATGGCGGATCCGGATGCGGTGATGAATCACTAAAGATGCGTAAACGATTTATGCTTTTGTTAGTAATTTGTGAAGATACATACTGTATGTCCCGCTTCTCGCTTTGTTCTGGGCCTGGTCCTCGGCATCTTTCCCCAGATCCACCCCACTGGGCCTCGGCGCCTTGCCTGAAATAGCTTAGGCGCACAGGTCACAGGCGAACCTCGGTCCAGCAGGGGGCGCATGGCAACGCTACTCCGCCCCTTCTTCCCCAGAAACCATGCTTCCTTTGATGCCGCCAGAACCCTTTAAACCAGATCCCTTCTCCCCTCCCGAAAACCTTCCGTTCCTCTTCCTCCGTTCGTCCACAAAACCCTGAGTCTATACCCAGATTTCCCGTACCGCTTCGCCATATCAATATACCCAAACCTCCAAGCGTCAGCCCATACAGTAAATCAGGCACAATGGCATCTCCTCGTAAGTCCAGTCGCACCACTTCCCACTCCGCTGTCACATGCGAGTCGAGTCGTGACACTGGTCGCGAGAAAGAAATCGTAAGCTGACACGTTTCCGCCGCGACGACAGAGCAGATTCGCACTCCCATCACCGATCTTTTCAAGATCAAGCACCCGATTCTCCTTGCCGGCATGAACGTCGCCGCCGGTCCCAGGCTGGCCGCTGCCGTCACCAACGCCGGCGGTCTTGGTGTCATTGGTGGTGTCGGCTACACGCCGGACATGCTGAGGGAGCAGATTGCCGAGCTCAAGGAGTACCTCGACGACAAGAACGCCCCCTTCGGTGTCGATCTGCTCCTCCCTCAAGTCGGCGGCAGCGCCCGCAAGACCAAGTAAGCTTACCTCTTCCTTTTTAGGATAAGATGGCGCACATGTCGCATCTCTTGATTTTACCGAGGCTAACCACCTGCTTCCCCAGCTACGATTACACCAAGGGCAAGCTCAACGAGCTCGTTGACATTATTATTGAGTCTGGCGCCAAGCTGTTCGTTTCCGCCGTCGGTGTCCCCCCCAAGCAGGTTGTCGACAAGCTGCACTCTGCCGGCATCGTCTACATGAACATGATTGGTCACCCCAAGCATGTCCAGAAGTGCCTCGATCTCGGCGTTGACATCATTTGCGCTCAGGGTGGTGAGGGTGGTGGTCACACTGGTGACGTTCCCACCACTGTTCTCATCCCCGCTGTTGTCGACCTTTGCAAGAACCACCGCAGCCCTCTCCTCAATGGCCCTGTTCAGGTTATCGCCGCTGGTGGTATTCACAACGGCCAGCTCCTGGCCGCCGCGCTGATGATGGGCGCCGGTGCTGTCTGGGTTGGTACCCGCTTCATTCTCACTGACGAAGCCGGCGCCCCCGAGGCGCACAAGGAGGCCGTCCGCACCGCTGGCCACGACGACAACATCAAGACTCTTATCTTCACCGGCCGTCCCCTGCGTGTCCGAAAGAACCCTTACATTGAGAACTGGGAGAATGAGCGCCAGCAGGAGATCAAGGAGCTCACTGCCAAGGGTATCATCCCTTACGAGGCTGACCTCGAGAAGCTCATGAACTCTGGTGACAGCGAGGGCGGCGGCAGCGACGTAGATAACAACGCTTCCGAGGTTGACATTGACGACGCGCTCGACCAGTTCCGCCCCTTCCTCATGGGCAAGGCTGCCGCTGTCTGCAACGAGAAGAAGCCCGCGAAAGCCGTCGTCGACGAGTTTGTCAACGACGCCGTTGCATGGCTGCAGAAGGGCAACAAGATGATTGCCAAGCTGTAAATCGGTAAAAGCCTCATGTTTCTATTTATGAGTCGGTCGCATCTTGGGCGGCGTCAGGGCATGTCCGGGTCTGGCGCCCACCGAGGGTCTGGAGTTATGACGCTCAAGTTTTGTATATATCAATGACGATCTAGGATGGATGACTGCTAGCATATCATGAATCATTTACATATATTTCTCCCCCCTTGCTTGTCAATCAGACTCCCACATCTGTGCTTCAATCAATTTTTTTTTAGACATGAGCAAATGCGGTCGGTCAGACGGCGATGCTAACGGGTGCCTCGGTCCGTGGGTTGTTGTCATCGCAGTCTTTTGCGCTCAAGTCTCTCGGGCTTAATTATCAACTTTAGTCGTGAACTCGCTCGAGGAAACTCTGTGGACATGTATGTGTCCTTGCAGTTATGGGAAGTGGATGCTTCACATGCTTTGCTGCTGTGCCAACTGTAGCCGCCAGAAGGCAACTCCAAGTATCAAATACACCAAGCCATCAGGGTCACCACACACCAGCCCGCCCATCCATACATAGTGCGGCGATGATAGCGAAGCTTAAATCTATTCATTCATGTTTGTGTATTAAAACTAACCAAGTAGCAGTTTCATCACCCCCCTTCGCCTGCTCTGTACGCTTCATGTACTGGGATGCATCAAACAAAAGCCCCCAGCATGCGTCCTTTTCCCCTACCTGCCAGACCCGAGACTCACTTGACAGTCCGTACGTGTTGTGGCACCCGTGGTATCGTTTCTCGCATCCGCATGACAATTTGCAACATTCCGATTCTTTTCCTCACTAGCCCCGTATAGGACCCCAAGGACTGCCCTCTGCAATGACGGGGTATGGGCGCATCTCTTGAAAATCGGTGGCAAAGTGAGAGGGGGGAAGCAACATCCTTCTCGTTATTGCAACTTCCTTGTCACTGTCATCCGCTCAGCTTCCGAGGTAAGCGCGGATGGCACCCTGCAGCTTCTGGCTAGCCTCGCCTGCCAACTGAGTAAGGTTCTCGAGATCGTCACCAGCCGTGATGCCGAATCTGCGAATGAAGTCTTTGGCCGCGCCCTCGAGGTCGCCATACTCCTCCGCGGGCTCATCCTCGGGACGGCCGAAGTATGCGTTGGACGAGATTGAAGTAGCACCCTCGAAACCTTGCAAACGCGTCTTCGCCTCAGACTGGACGCTGGGGTCAAACGAACCCTTGCCGAAGAACTCGTCGGAGGAAATGCCCTTCTGGGCACCGAACTTGCTGCGAGCATAGTTCTCGCTGTCATCTGCCATGTTGTTAGTCGCGCGTGCTTCAAGTCATGGTGAAGTCGAGTGAGTTCCCTACCCTCAGCCTTGGCCTTGATGGGACCAACGGAGCCGAAGCCACCGGCAGCGGCCTTCTTGGGTGCTGCGGCACCCTTAGGCCCACCAACCTGACCGAAGCCCAGCCTGGCAACACCCATGCCCAAACGCTCCACTTCAGCGTTGGACTTCTGGCGGGTGTGGCTGGAGGACCCATAGCCGCCCTGGGGGCTGGTAGGGGTAGGAGCCGCGATAGGGTCCGCCTTGCTAGAAACCTTCTTCTCTTCCTCGGCCTCGGGATCATAGCCCAGCTTCGCGATGCGCTCGGCCTCCTCCTTGGCCTTCTTCTCGGCTTCATCGAAGTCGATGGCGTCGCTTGCGACCTTCTTGACACCAAGCTTGGGCGCCTTCTTGGCACCAAGAATATTGGCCTTTCGGGGCGCACCGGTGGTGGCCGTCTTGCGAAGGGCGGCGGAGGTGGTTACACGGCTGGCAGTGGGTTTGTTGTCGGCCTCAGACTTGGACAAAGGAGAGGCAGACCGAGAGATGTCCTTGCCGGCACCGTTGTTGGCGTTGAGGAAGGGAGAAGGGGTTCGGCCGACGGTCGGAGGGGTCGCTGTGCGAGATATAGGAGGGCTGGGTTTCTTGATGGAGGGTTTGTCCCAAGATGAGAAGAAATCATCGTCGGGCTCTCCAGCAGGGGTTGAAGTGTCGGCATCGGCGGTGTCGTTGATAACAACCTCGCCGGGGTACCTGAGCAATCAGCTGGTCGCTCATGTGATGAATATATTGTTCTTACGTACTCTTGAGCATCTCTTGCTGCGCGGCGCTTCAACTCGTCCTTATACTTGGTCGCAACGTTGGATTGGTACTTGGTCTTGGGGTCCTTGCTGTTGAGAGCGGCAGTTCCTCCGTTCTGCTGGAAGAACTTGGTTGCCGACTCGTTGCCGCCCACCTTCATCATGCGGAGCTGATCCCATTGCCACTCTATCGCAGGGGTTAGTTTAGGGGAAGGGAGAGCATTGCGGTCGGATACATACGGTCGAGATTGGTGGATCGGACGAAGGAGATATGGACACCCAGATTTCGGTGGTTGGACGAGCAATCAAGACAGAGGTAGATGCCAAAGGGAACTGATGTCCAAGTCGGGTACTTGGCGCCACAGTCGAAGCAGATCTGCCGTGCGCAATTTCGTCAGCAGTGTACTGCAGTCGAAGTCCTGGAAAGAGGGCGGGATTGTTGGGCATACCTTGTTCGCAGGCTTGGTCTTCAACTTCTCAAAGATCTTCAGCGACTGCTGCTTGGAAGCGAGTGCAGCCATGGTGACGGTGCGTGCAACAGATCAGCTGTGGGTTTTGTTGTCCTGAAGTCGAAAGCGCAACCGCTACCGAGTTGTAGGTTGGAAGGGCGAGGAGGAGGTGCGAATTGCGGGTATATGTGGATGCGCCAGAGCGATGCAATGCAGGGAGCGGAGATAATTGAATTTCGTGTCCAAAAGTTCAGGAGGCGTCGCCGCCCTTCGGTGAAGTGGCATGTATAGAGAGCGCTAGTCCTGATCCGGCTAGTTTTGCTTCCCCACAGTGGACTGGCAGATCGGATTCTGCCAAGGGCGGTCAAGAGGCTTTTGCAGAGCTCACCTGGCCCAGCCAAGCTAGGTAGTATACGAAAGCTCCAGCATTTGACTGCCCGAGCTCTTCCACGACCGCTCACCTAGCTACTGCGGTTGTACGATGGCCGACGCCAAACCGCCATGATGAAGATGAATACACGTGCGATCGCAATTCGTGCACCTACGGGATTGGGCCTTGGGCCTCGACTACAACCTTTGCTACTACTTCAGAGGGGCTATGCGACACAGACTGGTCTGGGAACAACGTCTGCGCCTGGGTCGAAACGGAAAACAGTCACGCCCTTCAACGATAACGGATCGGTCCCTTGGTCTCAACTTTCAACGGGAGAAAAGGCGGCTAGGGCGACGCAACAGAGCTTCAACTTCGGGTTGATTCTGGCCGGTCTGGCAGTGACGGCAAGTCATACAACCTTTTACCCCGCGGCAAGCCTCAACTAACGCTTGGTGCGACGGAACAGGGCGGCGTGGTTTATGTCTTGTGGTCTGATGTGTTCTCCCCGGACAGCAAGGTCGCCCATTTCAACCGCGTTGTCGACAGGATTAGGAGTGATCCGAAATGCATTGAGATGCTCGGAGACCCAAAGAAGATTTCGGCGCATGGGGAGGAGACAAATAACAAGTGGCGGCGGGCTCGGCCGATTGCGTACGCCCCTAAGATCGGGAAGACCGTTTGCAAATAGCTAACTGAAACAGCTCAACAATCAACACCGATTCGAGAGGACACGAGCATCTGCTGATGCACTTTTATGTATGTAACCCGGGGTATTCCAGCTTCACCTCCCACTAAGATTGTCTTAGGTCGAAGGCCCCCTCAATAAGGGCGTCGTCTACCTGCACATGATTAAAACGCCAAGCTCCGGCGAGTTTGAGTACAAATACCTTTACGTCGATGTAAGAGGGCAACAGAGATACTACCTGGAGAACGCGGATACTGCGACAGGCTCCGGGAAAAGGGGGGTCAGGTTCCTCGGTATCAATTGGGGCTGATTGTATGATAAATCTGACGGTTTGATAATGGACATGGCCGAGAGGCATTCTCCCCATGCTGTAAGATAACAAAGTCTACGTTGGTGGTTGGGGGATAAAGATGTGTAGTGTTTGGTTCAGGGGTAGCAACCCATCTTCAAGTTTAATGTTATCTCCCAGACACGACTGGGCCCAACCTATCGCAGGAACGCCTGCTCTGGAGGCTGCCGTCTAGTCCTGGGTGTACCAGCTCGAGTTTGCATCCCAATCTCCTAGGCAACCTATGCTTACCACAGTTCTTCAAAACAAAACCCACTGACGACACCGAATACGAAAATATTCAAATACGTGCTTCGAGATAGTTGACCAGTGAGTTCCAGCCTTGGACATCTACCTCTCGTTTACTCCCTGTATGTTTTCCAATGACTAACATCTGCTCGCGAATCTACAGCATATCTCGTCCTCTGTTGATTTGATGATTCGAACAAAGATTCGGGAGAGGACATTACAGCAGGGGTGGGTGCGTGGTACACAACCCCAGCCAGATCATATCTGTATTGCCCAAACCACCGCTTTCCTTCTTGAGTTCGGATATTGTGAGTGATAAACGTTACATTGACAAAGTTACCAAGCGCAGTTGTCTCAATCGCGGCTGGCCTTGTTAGGTTGTTCGTGTCGTTGGGAAGCCACACGGCAGGGTGAGAGGAGACTCGGGACAGAGGAACCACTCCAGTGTATGGAAGAATCAAGCCATGATTTCTGGCTGCCTGGTTTTGCCTTCCAATCGCTTAAGTTGTTCTCAGAGTCAGCGTAGGGAAATGTGCCACAGACCAAGCCGTTCTTGCAGGATATAGATTTGTCATGAAATATGTCGATATGTAAGCTCAGGATGACTAGAAAAAATCAGTTACAATTTTTGAATTCTGGTAAGATACGATGATTTTCCAACAAATGACTATCCATCGATGCATTAAACCTTTATGACCGATGATCGATCTGACCCAAGCAGTGGTCATGGAAGAACGAAGCGTTATTCTTGCGCAGAATCCCTGGGGTTCTTTAGAAGCAGATTGTTGGACTCTCTCATTTCGTACCTACCGTTTCGAAAAGGAAGGCCATCGCCAACTCTGCTACGTTGGATTTACATATGAATGCTTTTAGATAATACCATGGGCAGAGTAAGCAGGTTCAGAGGAGGCAATGACCCCAGGATAGAGACTTGGACCAAGCCCTTGTTTTCAGCCATCCCCGAGTTTTTGCATTGGTATTTGAGCTCTGTGTGACCTGCACATGAAACTCTTGGAGTTGACAGGCTGCATGATGCCACCTAGCGCCATGAGCTTTTAGATTGGCTGTCTATGTCGGGAACTCAGAGCGGCGTAGAAAGAATCCGAAGCCAAGACAAGTATGAAGAGCATGTATAGAAACCAACAATTTCCAATTTTTGTTGGGGTTTTACGTCAAAACGATAAACCGGGATGATATCTTGTTTCGGTTCATCAAGTAGTGTTTCGTAGATAAGCCAGCAATAAACGCTGCGTTGGAACAGTGAGAACAATTGGGCTGTAGTATCCCTCAGATATTCGAATGAAGCAGCCACAGCGAGGAAAAGTTGACAAGCAAGCCGATATATATGCGGATTTCTGTGTCGTACAAGTCAGGTCTTCGTCCACTGTTACGGGCTGCAAGTGTCACCACCCCTACTGCTCGCCTCATGGTCAGCCCACCACAATCCCCAGTTGTTTCTCAACCTGAGCCTCAGATATAGAATACGCGCAGACGAAGAAATCAACAAGTGAATTCGTAACTTCTTCTCACTACCTATCTATCTTAGATCCGGCCCGATATCCACGGTCGAACCAAACCTCTTTGGTGATTCCTGGCTCATGCAGCAGCTGGCTTCGGGAGGTATGCCGCAGTGCTCACGCCGGACCAAGGCGACTAACATTATGGTCAAAGCTCACCGTCTTTTTTTTCTTTTTTTTATAAAAAAAAAAAACCAGTTTCAAGGGATCCACAGGCCTGGAGGATTCGGTCCGAGATAAAATCAGCGCTACTGCCAACTGTAGCCTTCTACATATGGGAGTTATCGCTGCTGAAAGATACCAGTACCTTGGCTACGTTGTTCACGAGAGCCGCCTGTTTAGTAGCGCTTGCTGGGCCGGGATGCAGTTGATATCGATGTTTATGCAGTATATCCGAGTCATCCGAAAAGACGTTTAGGCTCACTAAATGCAACGTCATTCACACTGAAGGATAACTCTACACAGGGCATCGGAAAGCCAGAATATAGGTTTACACTAACATGTCTTTTCAGTACTCTCGGTTTTCGAATTCCGTCACATGTAAGTATCCCACTCACCAAGAGTGCTAACCGGCGTGTAGATGAACCCTTCCTTCGGCCCGAAAACCCCGCAACACAGCCTTTGTCACACCGGGAGGCATACAATGACCCCCGCGGGAACATGTAACGGGTTACGGGACGTAGGCCCTGGGAGATCCAAGATCGCGGAGAGGCTGCAGATGCGGCTCCTGGCCGACACGCCAGTGGGCACTGCGGTGGTGTTGTGATGCAGAAGGGCTGGGGAGGTCATCGACGGGAGCATGCGGGGAAAACTGGGGGAGTGTACATGAGAGATGGGACGAACGCCTGTTGAGAGGGTGTGATGGCGTATCCCTCGTCAACTAGACACGCCGAGACAACACATTGAGGCGTCTGGGCCCGGCTGAACCAAAACGGCAGTGCAGGCGACCATTTGGGGAAACGGCATGTATCCAAAAGGAACGGATGCAGTTTCGGGCAACTCCAGCTGTTTTGTTTGTTGCGGCCAACTCGCACCCTCACCCGGCTTATGAGCCGAGTGGTGGTAAGTTTGCTACCGCAAAAGGTTTCACAACGGGGCAATGTCCCAGGCAGTCAGCCGCCGGCCGGGCTGGGCGGGACAGATATCATGCCGGGCGCTCTCGATTGATTAGTCGTTTTATCGAGAGCGCGCTCGTACGATGTAAGCTCCAATTACCATCATAGTCGTGCACATCAAGGTGCCCAAGGAAGCAGGTGCTAAATGCACACGGAGGCGCCGACGGTGAGCAGGGCTTCCGATTGAGGCGGCAAAGGTGTAGGGATAAAGGTACTGATGCAGGGGGCTTTCACGAGCTTTCCAGGCACGGAATCCAAACAGAGGAGGTAACTTGTAAGTAAGATCAGACTCAGGGGAGGAGTCGCGCGTTTCGCAAGCCTGACCAGAGTCGGCGCACTCGGTGATATGCCGCAGGGGGGGGGGGGTTGTTTTGTCAAGTTAGATAACAAGAACAGCCGAGAAGACTGTGAGAATCTAGGTTGATTCAGGCCAGACAGAGGCAGCACCGAGCAGGCGTGAGGGAGAAAGTGTGGAGTGTATCGGCGGCGGGTAGTCCCTATGGGATCCCCTACAATCTTCGCCATCATGGATACCCATGTCCCAGCTTCAGTTTACGGAGTACTCGATAGGCAACTGAAGGCGGGGTGACGATTGGGGAGACGAGAGCTAGGGACTGGGGATCGCTTGGACGGGGTCTATCACACTATGCAGAGAGGGGCGTGAATCGTGTGCTCGACCAAGACGACAAGGATCGAGACGAGAAGGGAAACCAGCGGGTGAGGTGACAACGTAAAGGCCAAAGGGGTATCGGAGCCAGGGTTCGGTTCGAATCGAAATTCAGATAGCAAAACCAAACCATGGCGGAAGGTAAGTCAAGAGGAAGAAGGGGGTGGCCGCCATCACATTCGCACCATCTCATTCGCACCACCCTCGACCTCAGTCGGGCCAGGAACCCCCCAACCCCCCCCCCCCCCCCCCCCCCGCGCCTAACCTGCCTGGGGAGCATCTTTCAGTGTTTTCCCCACAGATAAGGTCAGAGTCTGTCAGATCCTGCTCCTGCTGTCCCAACAGCGGCACTGAATTCGGCTCCCGCCTTCTTCACGCCCCCCTCCTCGTAAGCGACCGGTTGCCCCTGTACCTTGTTACCCCAGGCTTCCCTCCTCCCACATCACCACACACAGGCCATACTACTACTGTTCGTACGTGTAACAGTCCTGAACCGTAAAGAGCGTGTCTTGTTCTCGCGCTTGCCTCTCCCTCCCTCTCTCTATCTATCTCTCCGAGAACTGGCACCCGCATCAGGGGGAGGTGGAAGGGGAACACCGTACCATCTCACTTACGCCTAGGTAGAAGCTTAGTCAACTCATCCACGGCTTCTTCGGATGCCTCCTATGAGCCGAGTTACCCAGGCCATCATCCACCTTCGTCGTGGTGCAACATCGTCAACCTCCAGCATGGGGGGATCCACCCACGGTCTTTCAATAGTCTCTCTCGCCCGCAGTCAAATGGACGGAGCCATGCACGCACGGGAGGCAGAGTTTCCCCTGAACGGAATGGAACGCAAACTGCCTGTGCAGCTCGGCAGACTCGACGGCCCTGCAAGGGGTGCAATCTGGACTACCTAGCCAGAATTAATCGACTATTCGGATACCGTTCCGGCTCTGGTAGCGATGCGTACTGCTAAACATGTAACTCTTTTGCCCTATTCAGCCGATACTTGAGGCCAAGCCCGTCCCGGTGTTCCGATCGCCTGCGCATTTAGCCTATCACTGTTGTCTGGTTATATGATAGAGATACAGCTAGAGTCTCATCAATGGTGTATGGCTTGCGCAACTGCGCAGAACGCGGGGGGGGGGGGGGGGGTTGAGGCCTGGAACGGCCCATTTTAAGTGTTCGAGTTGCAGCAAGCTGTTACATGTAGCGTTGGCCCAATAGAGCCGTGATCTACCACTTCTTCTTCTTCATACACGAAAAGAATTGGCGAGCCAATTAACGCCCCCCCGCACCCCTCACAAAAGGCAACCCTGTCGCTTGCCTGCGTGGCTTCACCCGTAATAGATGCGCCAGTCAGACCAGACATTGTCTGATACCAATAGCGGCTTGCCTTCTAGCCAATGACCTGGTTGCCTTCAACCCTTTTCTCACGAAGGAAGGGGGACTATCTCACGGGTATGTTATGGTTGGGCGATGGCGACATGTTGAAAACTCTTGACGCCACTCGTTACAGAGGATCATGTTCCCAGGCTCTACGCGAGGCACGCCGCCGTGTCGTCCTTCCCAGAAGCAAGCTTCACCCGGTAAAGCAGACGAGGTACGGGCATGTCTTCGGGCCCCGGCGCCCGCCCGTACCAGGAATCCGATGCTGCGCTACTTATCCGATGACTTCTGCAGGCTATCATCACCAGCATTTGCTGGCAGCAATCACGGCCGGCGGAGAAATACTCGCAGATGCCCCGATCGACAAAGCGAGTAATTTAACCATCAAATGCTATGCATCCCCGAGGACGTGCCATACCTAGGATGTTGCCACAACCTAGTTTCCCCGGACATGTACGGAGTATGTGCATCGCTATCAACATCGAACACGTACGATGAGCTATGACCCCCTCCCCCCCCCAGCACTCTGGGCAAGTATGCCAGCCGCCCGTGGGGTTGCGTCCATCGACGGGATTCTGTGTCGGGATACGAGAATATACGCAACTTGCAGCTATGATGTGCAACGCGTTGAATCATGGCGACTGTCGATGCCGACACGGTGCAGTTGACATGACATTGAAGGGCCTGCGATGTCCACAGGCGCGGCGGCTGCAGCAACGAGGCAGACAAGCCCATCTTGTCGATCCGTCTCATGATGCAGTCACCCAAGGCTCCGTCTTGCGTTTAGCTCAACGGAGCTGGTACCGGTATCGCAGCCAGCGCCTTTCCACGCCCTCGAGGCTTCATCAAATCGGCACAGCACAGCACGTCTTCAATGATACGAGGTTAGCGAATGGCTGATTTCCAGTCCCGCGAGCTTCCGGCACGCGCAGAGAATGATCGGACGGAACAAACACACAGGCCTTTGGCTCCGCCTCGATCCAGGGATGGTCTAAATTTATTCTCAGCCCGCCATGGTGTAGTCATCCCGGGCCCCCGGCTCGCTGACACGGGGGGCATGCCGGCCTGTCACCTTGCCCAAAGTACACGGTACGAAACGAGTGGCTTGGCCTGTTCGAGAGACGAGGACCGACGCTGACAGCCGATTCTCCATTCGCAGGCTCTCCTTTTGTGGTCTATTTCGACGGATTCCGTGAAATACCTGTTTGCCGTATGGGACTCTTGCGTCACCGCCAAAAGAGATGGATGTGGCAACTGTGCTGTGCTGGGTTGGACTGGACTGGCTTATCACCCACTCACTCACTCTGGCCCTGGATTCTCGACTGTCCCAACAAGGTTGCATGAAAGCACACCCTCTTCCCCCACAACCCCATAAAACGACGTCAAAACGCACTTGGACCAGGATGCCGGGGTAAACCTTCGTGGGGCATCCCGTGGGGGGCTCACACAACGTCAACTGGCCCAAAACCGCCTGGAGGGTGTGTGGAAGGAAGGGGAGACTCGTGCCGAAATAGGCGACTTGGAAGCGGCCGCATGTGGCTCGAAGCCACGATAAGGCAACTTGTCAGTCTCGGGCGCAACCGGAGCAGGCGCACCTCGTCCCGACGGTTGACCCTTCTCCTCCTCCTCCTCCTCCTCCTCCTCCTCCTCCTTCGCACTCCACCCCCCCTGGTTTCGGGAAGTACGGCCACAGCCGACATGCTTCTAGGGCGCAGAATACCTTGCCCATCACTATGATGTTTGTGATGAAGGACGAGCCGGTCTCTTGCCGTTCGAGATGAACTTTGCACCATGCGCAGGTCCATGGCCGCATGAATACCGGTAGTCTCCTCCATCGCTTACGCGCTTCATCGATCGAAGTTGTCCCCCTCGACAACTCGCGATCAGTCCTACCCTCCCCTGCACTCAAATGACCACCTGATACTCATGTCCTACTTGCCGTACCAGATTGCGACATTGTCGCAGCCCCACGCCGGGAGTTTTTCCCCTTTCCGCCAAGCTCTCGGGGACGGGAAACACGACAACTCCCCGCCTCAGACGGGCTTCTTATCCATGAGAGTTAGCGAGCGCATGTGCTCTGGTGAGAAGCGCAAGCTGGCGCCATCACACCATTCCTACGGTAGTCCACGGGTCAGCATCAGGTGGAACCGTCAAGCGGAGGAGAATCGCTTCCCTTTCGTCTAAGCGCCCGCAAGTATGTCTCGGTTCTGAGATCATGTTTCAACAGGCCCATCTCGAGAAGGAGACACAGGTTGAACCCCCCCCCCTCTTAGCAGAGGAGCGTGACAATGAGGTCGCTCTGTCACCTGGGCCATCCGGACTCTTTGGGCCCCTGAAGGGGTTTGGGCACAGAAAAAGCAACCCGTTTGCCTGCCCGGACGCAGGCATTCACAAAAGCGTTGGCTAAATCCCACCACGCCAGGCTATCTTGGTGCGTAAGCCATCAGCCAGCCATATGTCCACTTCATGTCTCTCATCTCGTTTCCCGCATCCGCACTTCCCCGGGGGCACTGGCCGCCTTGACCGGCATGGCGAAAGACAATGCGCAACCTTTCACGGACGGCCTCGCCCGCGTGCCATGTCTCGAAAAAGCAAATTCATCTCAACGCCGCTTCGAATCGGAACGCTTTCCAGGTGCGGAAAAAAAAAAAAAAAAAAAAAAAGACGCTGCGCCGCCATCCCTCGGAACCCCGTACCCCATGGGCCTGCTTTGGCGATCGTCTGGACACCACGACGCCCATTGTCTTGGGGATGTACGTACCGCGTCATCCGTTCACCATTCGAGAAAAGGAGTAATTATGCATCCCACCACACCCTCCCAGAACAACAGTGTGCCCTAATTCGACTTGCCGTGGGGGGAACGACATGGCGGTGAGCGTACGAGTGCAATCAGGCAAAGCTGTATACGCGTGGCCCTTTGGGTCGTCTGTTGAGGGAGGGAGGCGAGCAGAACTCGTGCGCATCGAAGCAGCGCATGCCGAGACGAGGTGAACAACAGGATGCTATTTGTCTTGCTTGAGGGGGGTGCCCGTGATTCAAACACGGGAAACGACGGCAGAGAGTGGCCGCATGTCGCTTTTTTTTTTCTTTTTTTTTTTTTTTTTTTTTTCGCTCGGTGTACGCCTTCCCTCGAGGCGAGGGCGAAAAGGTCAATAGGAAGACAAGAGAAGGACACATTGCGACGGCCTTACGCCAGCGTTGTACCACATCCGGAACCAGACCTGTTGATCTGCTCTACGGCGTCAGCGTCAGCGGTGGTGATGTGGTCCTCCTCTCTAGCCCGGCCCTCGTGGAAGAAGGGCTGGCATGCCAGCACCCGCGGAAACAAGCCACCAAAGTATTTGCGGCGGTCTCTCGCATGTGACGGTGGAGGGGTGGGGGGTCTTTGTGACTGCGGACTCAACCGGCGGGATGGAAGACCTTTTTTTTCTTTCTTTTTTTTTTTCTTTTTTCGTAGCATCATCACAGGCCAGCGACACGGTTCTCGCACGCGCGCCGCCCTCATTGGTGACAGGGAGAGAGTGAGCAGTGACATGTGCGTTGACTCAAATCCTCCCCCAAGAGCCAACAACATGGCACCGGGCATTCAACGATTCAGCCCAAGGGGGGGGGGGGGAGAAAGCGTGGATGGCAACCGACCATCCGAAGGCTGACGAAAGGGATGAGAAACAGGTCTGAGAGTTGCGACGGCATCCCCCAAAGGCCGCGCACGCCTCAATGGTAGGTATTTTCTCGTTGCTCGACGAGTCGGTTAAAGCACGCAAGTCGGACCGTTCGTTCCTGACCCAACAGCGACTCTCGCCACCCAACTACCGAACCCACCATCCCTCCAAAGACCAAAAGTGGACGACAGCAAGGGCAGGGAAAGAAGGCCAAAAAAAAAAAAAAAAAAAAAAAAAAAAAGATGGAAAAAAACCCCAGGCCCAAGCTGCTCCTCCCCAGAAAGCTAACCCACACACACCCTATCAAACCCCACCATACATAGGTATCCGTACATAAAACTAGCTCACATACCGACAATACCGTACACAACACGGGGAAGAACAACATCAAAACTAAAAAAAAAACTAAAAAAAACTAAGGCAGTGACATTTTCCGAGTCAATCAACCATCGACCGAGACTTCTCTGGGGAAACCAGCATGCCATTGCCCGCACTCCCCTCCCTCTCTCCCTCTCTCGTCCTTTCCCCCCCCTTGGGCCCGTCGGCGCCCCTCGGCGTATGCAGGTCGGTCCCCCTCGAGTCGCCGTTTTGTACAACTTAAACACCCCGCGAACTCCGGGGCAGCCGCACGACTACCTACCTATTCTTGGCCTGGCCTGCCTGGCGTGATGTAGCGTAGCGTAGCCGTGACGATCCAATGTACCAAACCAACCAGGGGGAGAGGGGGGAAGGAGGGGCAGCGAGAAGGAAAGGGACAGAATGGAAAGGATCCTTTATGCGGAGTGTGGTGTAACCGGTCGCCTTACGATCATCATACGGGGTTTCAACGATCGACTTTTTTTTCCATCTCTTCTTTTGCCGTCCTGCCCCTCCCTCACCCCACGGGAGAAAGACCGGTGTGTGTTTGTGTGCTTGTTTGTGTGTTCTGCCAACGCGCACATATGTCAGGGACAGTGGGGCGGGATGTGATATCATCATCCCCATACGTAATGCCGCTCGTTCCAAATCTTTTTCTCTTTTTCGTCTCCTTTCGATGTTGTATTCTCCCACTCCCCCCTAAAACCTGGAGGAAGGGACGTCAAGGAGGGGTTTGGTTGGACAGGGGGCTTGAAGGCTATCAGTAAGAGGGTAGGCAAGGGGAAGGGGGGAAGGAGGGAACTGACTCTTGCACGCTCGTCGCTCACTTTGGCCGGCCCTCCGTCGGGAGAACCCACATCTCCTACATCATTCCATCAGGTTATCGAAAATGACATTGAGCTTTCCAGGCATGCCATGATTCGTAGGGATGTGCTCCCTTCCCTCTTTGACGTAGCTGGAGGACAGAACTGGAGGGGGAGGAGGGGGGTGGGGGGGGGGGGGGGGCCCATCTCCACGAGGATAAGGGTTTTCCCAACGCGTGCCAAACCCCGTCCCCATAGGCTCATTAGACTCATGAGTCGAGGCACGATGGTTGACCATGAGGCGCGCCCGGCAGGCAAAGACGAGAAAGGCAATTAAAATAACAGATAGCGCGCACATAGCGTACATAGTATACTACCTGCCTACGTAAGACGTGGAGGTCGATCACGGGGGGGGGGGGGCGGGGCGTCTGGGGTGGTGCATGCGTGCGTGTGTGTGTGTGTGTGTGTGTGTGTGTGTGTGTGTATGAGTTGCCGCCTAGGGCCTAGTATCTCTCTCTTGCCCACCTCGATTCAACTCCCAGCCCTGGAACGAGATAGGGCCGAGATGGGATAAGGCGTGTGTGTGTGTGTGTGTGTTGTGCCTTGGCACCCGGGTGACGAAAAAGAGGGCCGCTTTTCCTTACCACTACCATATGGTAACCGGCTTTTTTTTTTTTTGTCTCCAGAGTGCTTGGTTTGCGTCAGCCCAAGGGTCACAAGTCCAAAGGGGAAGAAGAAGAAAAAGGACAGATCGACAGAGAGAGAGAGACGGCTCCGTTACCCTAAGGGTTTCCTTCAGCAGCGGGAGCCAGAGATTGCGGCCGGAAAACGTACGGCAGGGCACTGTCCCCCTTTCCCATCCCGCTCTCTATCCCCAAACAAACGGCCGTCTGGGCACGGGTCCGATCATCGGGCCTGGACGGGGGGGAGAGGGAAAGAAGGGGGAGGGAGGCCGTTCTGGTGTGTGCGGGTGGTCTTATCTCACCTCACACACACATGCCCCCAGGTTCACCCCACACACGCTTTTGAACACGAGGCAGCATTGGCACGAGTCACACTCACATACTACTCAAGATAGCACAGCATCATCAATAATGTACGAGCAAGATGTGTGAGTGAAGTAGCCTTCTCACTTTTAATTCTCTTCCTTGAGAAGCGGGGAATGTTTCGAGGTATCAAGTCTCTCTCGTTCTAAGAACAGTCAAGAAAATAAAAAGCCAAAAACGTTCGTCAAGCCAGCCTAGGCGGCGACGTATCTTAGTAACGAAAAAGGAAACCAAATCAGCGCTTCCCTCTGCGCTGGAGAATTCCGACCGCCCAAATGGCTCTCTTTCCGTGCAAGAGGCTCTTCATGTACACCGATAACCACCCAAGAATTCCCTTGCCGCCCCGTCTATAGATTGACATCTCGAGAAAACCCGCCCGTTTACAAACAGACCAGAACACATTTGAGAAAAGGACGGGTTTGACGACCCGTTGGCGTTCTCATACACACACACTCACACACACACACACATATACCACGCTCACTATCACTCTTTCAAAATCCATTGCCCCTCACGCAAGAGAAAACCCATCGAGAAAAAAGACAGAGGAAAAGGGAAAAAAAGAAAAAAAAAAGTTTGCTTTTCGTTGGTGGGGAGGGGAGTCGTGAATCCAATCTCTGGTTGTTCATCCATCCAAGTAGGAGTCTATAAGTTCCGAGTTTGGCCGCCGCCGCAGTGGGAGGGCGAGGGAATCCCATCGATTCTTTGACGTTGTTTGTGTTGGTTTTTTGTGCCTGATTAAGCAAAGAAGTCGTCGTCGGCCAACTCTTGTCAATTCGAAATACCCGAAAACGCCGTTCTATCCCGTCTATCGCCCATGTCGTAAAGTCGTAGCCACTTCGAGGGTCCGTTTCCGTTACATCCGGTCCATGAGGTCACCGCCAGCGATACTGCCGTTGGTAGAACTCCTGCCGCTTTGGAAACCGTCGCTTCCATCGAGGAGCTGGTGAACGCCAATCTTGGGTACAGGCAGTTTCCTGCTGGCGTCAGGCCGGCTAATGATGTCTGTCAAGGAAGTACCGCTGCGGGCGGGGGTGCCAGCACTGGTGGGGGCCGGGGCCGGCGGCAGGTAGGGGGTCTCAAGGTGAGGCTCGAGGGGGGCCAGAGCTGGGGGGGCTGCGTGCTGCAGCGAAAGGTTGCGAAGAGAGGGCAGCTCGTAGCCCATGGGCCGCAGTCTCGGGGAGTGGGCGGGAGTGGCGATGGGAGTGTGGTCCGGGGTAGGCGACAAAGAGTCGTGGGAAAAGGTAGGAGAGGAGGGTGCCGTGGAGTTGGGCGAGTTGGGACGAGACCGCTTTGCGTGACGAGAGCCAGAGTAGTGGTCATCGTTGTGCTCGTCGTTGGAATGCGATCTCGACATGTGGTAGGCAGAGAGAGAAGGGAGGTGACCGCGCGAGTTGTGCAGGCTGTGGGAGTAGTAGGGGTGATGCCTGGCGCCGGAAGATCCGTGAAAAGGCGGCGCGGTTAGGGTCTCGCGCTCGACCTGGTTGGCGGCCTTTGCCAAGATGGAGATGTCCATGTTCGAGTTGCTCTGGAACTGGCGTCCAAAGGGGCTGCCGTGGCCTTGCTGAGCGGGTAGGACGTAGGTCGAGAAGGAGTGCGGAGGCGAGACGTTGGGAGAAGACAAGCTGGAGGTCGGGGCAGATCGAATCGTCTTGGGCGCCGGGGGAGGGGCCATCATGCCGTCCTGGGGCATGTGCGACTGCGGACCCGAGTTGTACTGGTTCTTGCCCCGTCTCGAGTTGGGGTTGCTATGTATTCTCGAGTGACGGGTGAGCTCGTCGGAGCGGGAGAACTTCTTGCTGCATCCAGGGTACTGGCAAGCGTGAGGCTTTTCTCCCGTGTGGGTGCGGATGTGTCTCGTCTGGTGCTCAAGGCGGTGAAAGGCCTTGTCGCACAAGGGGCACTTGTAGGGACGAGGCAGCTCGTTGGGGTTCTCGGCGGTCTGGCCGGGTAGAGGGCCCTTGGGCTTCAGCTCGTTGAGCTGGCCCAGCCTCGTAGTTTCCATGGCGTCGCCCGAGATCATGTTGTCCGTCTTGTCGGGGTTGAGTAGACTTGAAAAGTTGAAAGGAGACGACTGTGTCTGTTGCATGTGATCACCCATTGGCCCTGATGATCCAGAGCTGGGCGTCTCGGCGCGCAGTAGAGATGTGCTTCTTTGCTTCTTTTGCGGTAGTGGTCGACTTGATTACCGTCGAGTTCAAGAACCGGCTCAGGTATCGTGAGTGCGGTTCCGAGTGGTTATGGGGTTGTTGTCTAGAGTGGGCGTAAAGGAGTCGAAGGAAACTGAATGAGGTGGGTGTGTGGGTGGCGGGATATATAAGTTATGCGAGTCGAGCTCGCTGCTGTAAGTGGGTGGTGGTGGTGGTAGTGGTGGGTGGGTGTAAAAAAGCTTTGGCTTTGGGGGGATGGGGGGGGGGGGGGGGGGTGGAGGGGTTTACTGAGGGGCGTCCCGGGGTAAAGTCGCTGGTCAGCGGATGATGATGACAAGAGGTTGGCGTAACAATTTTCTTCTCTTCCAAAAGAAGGAACAGAGCAGAGTCGGGGGAGGAAAGGACGGGGCTGTAGTTTTAAATGGCAAGAGGGAGGGTAGAGCAGCGTTATCAGAAGGAAAGAAGGGAAGGGGGGGGGGGGGGGGGAAGACGTGGGAGTGAGCCAAGGACGGAGGGTGGGTGGGTGAGAAAGACGATGGAAGAGGTGGGTGTGAAAGCGTGGACGGTGTGGATGATGGGCTGTGGTGGGTGATGAATGTGGGTGAGGGTAGGGTGTGGTGTGGTGTGGGCGGGTATCTATCTGTATCTCCCACCCGGCCTGGTCTCCGTCACACACAGTCCTGGAGTCGTGGGCTTTGGGTCGGGTCCCCGTCCCTGACTCCCTGTCTGCTTGCTCCTCCTGATCCTGGTCTCCCGGCTGCTGCTGGTCTTCCATGTGCGAGACTTGTCTACATAGTAGGTATCCGTAGTGTACGGAGAGTTGGCTGCGTATCTTTTCTCGCCCGATTCTCACCTGGTCTGTCCGAGTTCCCGAACCGGCTTAGTGCTTTGTATTCATGCATCCTTTTTCTCCCTTTCGCCTGTGCTTCTGGGGCACTTCTTAGGGCCCGGAGAGAAAGAGGGGACACTGGGGCTCCTCGAACCAAATCTAGAGCTCCCCAGTTTACCTAACAAGAGGTAAGTTCGGCGTATGAAGTGAGGGAGCAGGAGCCTGTGAGCTTCTCACCACGACATAATACAACTCACGGCACTACGGATAGGTATTACTTGCGCAATATGCATCAAAAGTGGAGGAGGGTACTTGACAAAGAACAGCCATATCGCGAGCTGCGGGTGCGAATGCGGGACGATGACCCCCATGGCCCTCTGTTTGACCCTTACCCTTCCCTTTCCCCTTCCCCTTCCCCTTCCCCATACAAGCAATTATGCCATTTCCAGCGTCAGATCCGCCAACAGAAACAAGCACAAGCGTAGCACACCCGTAGCAGAAGCGGCGGCAGTATAGGACTACTGGGCCCGCTGCCAGAGACAACGCACAGGGCCGCATCGGATTCGCACCCACACCCGTGCCCGTCGGCAACTCAAACAGGGCTGGGGGGGAAGGCTCGGTATGTAAGGTACTGGGTGTGCTCTGCCTTGCGCAGACCGAGAGAAGAACCGGGAGGGTGGAGAGAAAGAGGGAGAGGCCGCAGGATAGACTGGGTGAGATGCGTCGTTTGTCGGAAGATATCCGATATGGAGCAGACCGTGTCGACCAAGCCAGTCACAGTAGCGGGTTGTGGATGGATGTTTTACCATGGTAGGAGTCGGCAGCGGCAGTGAAAAGAAAAGGAAGAAAAAAAAAAGGAAAGAAAAAAAAAAGGGACCGGGTGCGAGGACTGGGTCGGGGATACAACAGACACATACGTAGTGTACAGAGTACGCGCGCTGGAGTCGCTGGGCCCTGTCTGTCTGGACTTTCTTTCTGGCTCCTGATGCCGGGCTCTGGTAGTGAAGACAACGACGTCCAGTAGCAGGAAACATGTGGGTTGAATGGGATAAGAGGCGGGGAGGGGGGAGGGGGGCGTGTGGAAGACTACTGACCCTCTGGAGAGCGCGGGTGAAGGGGGACGATGAAGGAGGCGTGTGCCTCAGAAGACGAAAGAGAGTGGGAAAAAGGGGTGGGGGGGGGGGGCGTGCTACGGCCGGGCGTTTAGCCTCCACTCTCCACAAATTCTAGATTCACCCCGAGAAAAAGCTAAGAGAGACGTGCTCTGCTCTCCCGGAGAGATCGATACGTACCGCGCATCGCCCTGGCTCCAGATTTCCTCTTTTTTCCCTCCTTGGCCGCCCATGTACCCAAGTACCTTCAGGCCTCCAAGCCCTCTAGGCAAGGTACGCGCGCCATCAGATCCCGACCTGCCCTTGTTGGGGTTTTGCGACAGGTCGGGGAAGGGGACTGGGGAGAGCCGGTACGTGCCTCCATTTTCATTTCTTCCCTATGGTACGGAGTACTATACCCACCTTTTTCCTTTCCTCCCTCTGTCTCCGTGTGGTGTGTGGGAGATGGGAGGGTACCCAAGTACCTCAGCATTTCCACCTGCCGATTTGTACGGGTTGTATTCCGTACGGGTATGTTAATCATCAGCCTTTTTTTTTTTTTTTTTTTCCCTCTTCTCTTATGTTTTACTTGGTCGCTTGTGTTACATACTATGCAGTACCTAGTGTGTGTACTATGCATATACCGGTAGTATGCCCGGCACTACTGGCATCATCGACATCCCGAAGTATAGCTAGCAGTCGCATCGTCATCATCGCCGCCATCGCCATCACCGTTGGCCATCGCCGCCATCAGGTCAGCAACTGGGATGATGCTGTCGTGTCCGTCGACATTTGGCCAAACGCGTGGGCTCCGTTTCCTCGCACCCTCGTCGCCCCGGTCCGGAAGCTGTCGTGCGCTATTACACCATCGTCCAATGCCCATGAGGCAAAGAAGGCCCTTATCCCCATCCAGGGGAGAGAGAAAAAAAAAAAAAAGAGGAAGAAGAAAAAATCACTCTCGTCGTGCTGATTGATGGTCTGTGTGTGGCAGGCCCGCTGTGGTTTTTGGTGGGAATCGAAATACATAAATGAAATTATCTGCCTGGCTTGTTGGCCTGTCCGTGGTGAATTCTCGGCCTCATTCGCAATATTGCTATCCACCCTGCGTATCCGTCGCATTTTCTCTTCTCCAGTATCGCCGTCGCTATTCCCGCTCTCCTCTTGATCCCCCCCCTCTGCCCCCCTCTCCTCCCCTTCCCCCCTACACCAATTTCCCAATCGTGAACCACATCTCGGCCTAATGCCGACACGTGCCTCCCGATTGCGGTCAAGTCTACTTTTTTTTTTTTTGTACGGGCGATACAAGTACGGGTCCGTCTCTGACCTACATGATGGAGCAAGGCCTCGGTGCAACGTGGGCAGATTTTCCTCAATAAACAACCCTGCCAATCCCACGCTCAATCCCGCTTGCCCTTCCCCAGGACCGCTGAGATTAGCTCCTAACCCGGTCCTGGCTCCTCAGTGACACTGACTGCCCTGGAACATGTACCATATGTCTGCGGGCGGACGCGGGGGGTGTGGGGGGGAGACGGTGAGGCGACAGAAGAGGTGGCTTAGACGTGATAACCCCCAAGCTTGTGCCACCATCTCGTTGTTTGATTGGCTAGTAGGGCGCTGGGGAAGCTATTCAGGGAAGACGAAGCAAATCAAAATGGACGAGGGACACCTATGCAACAACATAAAGAGAAAAAGGGCCCCTCGTCACGCAATGTCGCCTCGCCGATGGCACAATTCTCCCGTGCACCCCTCATCGCCAGATTCCTACCCCGTGGGACGGGGGCTGGGCCTTGACCCGCGGGAGCCTGCATTTATTGGCAAGAGGCAAAATCTGGGGGAACAGCGCCATTCCACCTCCACCAGGAGGCGCCCCTCTATATCATGCCTTCATCTCACGAGCATCAGCTGAGGCAGAGTGCGGCCCCGATGCCACTGCTCATTCGCCTGAACCCGACCCCGGGATCGCCATGCCAGTCAGTTGCTGGCATGCCAATCGAGGGCCGCGTTGGTGCCGTGGCCGTTGCCTGGCATGGCGAAGCGCATACAAAAGAAGTCCAATGAGCTTGTCCTATACAGCCCCCCGGCCCCCCAAGTCGTTTAGGCCGCCGCTTCTGCATTGTAGCCGGAGCCTGCGGTTGGTTCCGAGACGAGGAGAAACCTCCTCGTCTTTGTGCCGCCCGTATCACAGCACACAAGACAGCTTGCTCGTCCGAGCTGACGCGGCGCTGCGATCCGACTTGCTCAGCTCACGATGAAAATGAGGTTGAAACTGTGACTGAAGCGGAAGGGCATTCGCCTCGTTTGTAGCCTGTCGCCCTTCCAAGCAACAGGGCAGGGCCGCCAGAGCTGTCGACCTACCGACGTAAGAGAGGTCGCCACATGAGATCCGAAATAACTGTGCCGGCCATGTTTGTCACTTTGTGAAACAATTCGAGACCGGCCGCCTTCTTTCTTCCTTGCCTTCCCCTTTCCTGGCTGCCCGATTATCCAGCGTGGTCAATCAAAGGAGCGAGCGAAGCTCCGTTGCCCAGAAATTTTATTGACGGTCGCGTCTTAACGCTCTCCCGACGGAGGTGTGGGGGTCATGGTTTTGTCAAGCGCCCTTTTAGCCCCCTCCCTTGAGATAAGAGCGTGGGAGTGGTACCGAATCCCGGCCATAAAATGTGTGTGACGGGTTCATATGAGAGCCTTGGAAAGTGTCAGTCATATCCATCACCAGACACCCCTCAAACCAGGACCCTTCACGCATGTCGATCCAACTTTTCGCCGGCTTCACCGCAACACCACCAGGGGGTCGTGGTCATAGGGGCCACCCAGCCTCGCTCAACTCCTCAGCCGACCTAGTCAAAGGAGCGCAGAAACGAGGCCAGCGAAGATATCTGCGTTGTTCTGTGGTTCATCGTTCTCGATTGTGTGTTGGTGTGTCTTGGTGTCTCTGGTGTTTGTCTTGCCTGGTCTTGTCGCTACTCCACTGCGCGGCAAACGCGAGAGTGATAAATACGAAATAAAAATAAGAGCCAGAGGCTCCGAAGAGACAAGGGCCTTGTCGCGGATGACTCAACCTATGTACCTCGTCGCGGCATCCTCCGCGCTCGCCAGCGCGAGAGGCAGGCTGCGTGACCCGCAACGCTCCATAGATAAGCTGGGAAAGCCGCCGAGGGCTTCATCCGGGGGTTCCCCTTGGGACAGATCCCACACGCCTACCCTGTGAATCCACTACCAGAAATTTCTGAGCGAAATTTTGGGCACAGGGTTGGGCACTTCTACGCCTCGGTGGCCCTCGGTCGTCCTTGGCCGAGTGCAATATGTCCGCTTCCCTCTCTGTCTGCGAACACCCACGATAACGAGAAATTAGGGTTGGTTATGGCGAGCCATACTCACCAAGTCGCCGATTCCGTTGGCCGAGGCTCGGAGGTCTTGTCGAGATCGAAAGAGGAAACTTCGGTTTGTAATTATTCGGTCGCCTCTTCGGCCTTTCCGCGTGTTTCGAAAGTCATAGATTAGCACTGTCTCGCTTCACCAGCGGCAGTGATCCTGTTCTTCCAGTTGGCGGATAGACGGGAACACATCCCCTCGGGCGATTATAGAGATGCTTCAAGACTTCAGTCTAACGTAGCAGGAACGTGGGGGTATTGCTTCCATCACTGTCCACGGGCCCTACCTATCCTAGCATACCCATCGCCGCCAAGCCATCCTCTCGCTCACAGTTCCCATTGGCTTCAGGAGACCTAAGATCTGCAGGCGGCGTCGCTAGTATCAGGTCCGCAATCCTACAATGGCATCGGATGGACAGATAACCCATCGTCCAACTGCCATTTCTAGGTGACCTGCCTTCCCAGTACAGTCAATCCCCGTGCAGTCCCAGGCGCTAAGCTTATTAAGGAATCCCGGGGAGGCTCCAAGAGACCCTGTTCCGAGATTTGGGGTACCCGCGAGATCTGCTCATCCCCATACTTTCTTCTCGACGCCGGACGTGAGCTCCGGGCGTAAGAGCCGACGGAACTCATGTTCTATTCTGGGGCATGCCAACCCCATCGTTCACGCTGAAAGCCCAAGCTGTTACATATCGTTCCAGTCAGCATGTGTATGCATGTACGATGATGATTGGGAATAAAGGGCATTGAAAAAAGAAAAGAAAAAACATAAAAAAGAAAAAAAAAGTGATGGCATGTGGCGGCGACATGATGAGGTGATTTCGTGGCCTTCAATGTCTGTCCAAGGACGGAAACAAGTGAATTTGATAGGGGCCTGTTGCGCCGACCAGTTTGTTGTCGGCTGATTTATCAAGTAACTCCAACAACTTCCAATGGTTTGTTGGAGACGTTATCTTCATAGTTCAGAAAAGTCTCCCGATCTATGCGGCCGGCAACGTCTGGCTGTATACAGATGCTCTGCGTTACACTGCTTCTCGAGGATAGCATGATGTTGGCAGCAGGATGTTGTGTCAAATCGTTTCTTATGGATCGTATCGACGCCGTCCAAGGTTGCCTTTGGCTCGGAGAATGATTGTCGTGTTGCCGAGCCTTGCCTGTCGTCAAGCAGGGAGCCCCATCTTTGACGGAGTCACTCCTGCTTCGAACGCGCGCTACTACGAGAATGGTCGACGCATTCTGTGAAGATTTCTTCCATCTTGTAACGAACTCAGAAATTGTAAAATGTGAAGTATCGCACGCTCATCACACGACGCGAGGCACAACGATGATCTTGCTAAACGCGTACCTGCGTGACGGGACCGACATGCCACTGCACTTCGGGTACCGACAACAACAGAAATAATATGGTCCTTCATCCTGCAGAAGCCGTCGTTTGTGGTTTTGCTGTCTTGCTCAACAAGACACGAAATCCTTTGTCTTGCCGGAGAGAACCCCGCGCCGAAGTCGACGCCCTGCCCCTGAAGGAGCGTCCCATGTGTCCTGAACACCTCGAAACCTGTCTTGGACCTATCGAGCTGACAACGGCTGGATGATAAGGCCCGAGACTCTAGAATTCGGGGCTTTGAACTCGAAGGGCGTACCGAGTAGCAAGCGCCGGAGCAACTAGCCCTTGTAAAGACTTTCCAGTGCCATCAGTGGGCACATAGCCGCTCTGTTTCTCGTTATCAGAGGAATACGAAATTTGCCGGGCATGACTCAGCTTCCACTTCCTGCTCCGACGGTTCAGCGGAAATGACCCGAACTGGAGCTGCCCATGCTTCCCCAGACTTTACTTCACTTTCGACCTATCCCCGCAAAACGCTTCAAGCGGCGCACTGTGAGCTAGAGTCCAGACGGGTCGTGTCGGTATCATGTGTTTTCTGGCTTGGGCGAAGATTGTCCCGGTGCGTTTGCCGGGACACACCTGTGTTTGAAACTAGCTTTCTCAAAATGGCGCTATCTGGGGGCGTGGAAATCAACAGGGGATGGCGTGATACGGGGGAAGCGATACATGGAACGCAGATGGCTGTGGGGAGAGTCAGAGCCACGCCCGGAGGTGCCAAAGTCGATACTGGTGTGTTGTTATGGCCCCAAGTCCCCAGTTTTCTGAGGGAAGTGGCCAAGATCCCGAGATTCTCCGACATGCACAAGCAGAGAGCTTACTCTGTGCATCCATTTGGTCAAAGCTGGCGGTATGTGAGTGGCGTCTGAAAATCTGTCATATTCTAGTTGCCTCAGGTGAGACGCAAACAGAGAGATTGGAATTTGTGCCGTTGAACGATTTTGGGTTTTGGAACACATGCCCCTCTTACTGTCACATGTGAAAAGATAAGAAAAAAGGGGGGGTTACCCCAGGGAGAATCAGTCCCTTTGCCTAAAAGAAAAAGTCAAGTATGATGTCAGCGCATAGATTTGGGGAACCGGAATGACTTGAGAGACGGTAAAATTCTCCCACATTTGTAAAAAAAAAAAAAAAAAAAAAAAAAAAAAAAAAAAGAGGAGCTAAAGCTGGGGAAGCGCGTACCTTGCATTTGCACATGGTTGCGGAGGCTCAAAGACCTGACCTAGCCAGAACAGCAGGTAACTTCCGAGTTCTCGCGTCTTGATGTTCTGGTTGACCTCACCTGTGAGCAAGTGACTCCGGGCAGTTTGAAGCGCCGCAGATTGCTAGTCCGAATTCCGATATCAGTTCCCGACACAAACTGTGGAACGTAAATGCGGATGAGGAAACCTCCGTTTGCCCTCCGCGTTATCAACCCCAAGTAAGTGGCACCCGAGCCACCAAGGGAATCTATTGGCAATTTACCCCAGCTCGTGAAATGAACGACATTTGCAATGCCTAGGCCAGGGTAATCGCCACTCGGCTACCAGAAGATAGCATCCTCCGCCGACCCGAACTCGGATCCTCGGCACAAAGGATATGTTTCCAAATGTGGAGACACTCCAGCAATAAGAGCCGGCGTGCAAGTGTGGCATTTTGTCTTCGAACCACTGCTCACAATAACAGCAACAACAACGCAATCTTTAGGGAGATTCATGGCAGCGCTCAGGTTGAGAAGTTGAGGCTCGGTATTCCTGGGGCGACTGTTGGCTGTGAAGATGCATAGAGGACGATTCGGGCCCTCGGCGTTGGGCAGAACAAGTCTCTGATCTTCGTAAGGATCTTGCCGTATCACTGCCCTGGCGGCTCTGGTCCCGATTTCTGAGGCTGCCGATGCCTGTTGCTCTATCCCTCAAGCCGAATAACACTGTGCTCCCGCGGAGAAGTCCTGGATCCCATGGGGACGCCCCAAGATCAAGAACCTGCTCAATCTAGGCATTCCGCCCGGCCCGCCCGTAGCCCCATGCAGGATCATGTCGTCAGTGTCTGAAGACTCATTGGCATTGGCGAGCATGATGGAAGCAACGGCAGGGGTCTGTCATTGGAGGCAACTCTCGGCGGAATTGTGGTCTGCAAAGGCAAACTATCCACAGACTGCCTGTTAACTGTGTTCAACCCCAGTGCCTGCTAGCAACAGGGTTGGTTCGACTGATAACTAGGGTCTTGAAGACATGTCGTGTGGCTGTTGTTAGGTGAAACCACGAACGAGGAAGTTCAGGAGCGTGCGATTGTACGAGTAATACAGGCTGCTGCAAAGTCTGAGAGCTGGAGGCTCGAGATTGGCTGTGGGGTTACATCGGCAGTGAAACCGGATAGACCCTAAAATATTCCGACTCGATATGTAAATAGTACCTAGATTGGTGGACCAATCGCTGGTCGGGGGCACACAAGGAAACAATCCCGAGAGCCACGTTCCATCCGTTTGGCCGGGGCTGCCGCCGCATTGTTGGCATCTCTTGTCGTCCGAGGGTGAACCAATACTTCGAAGATGCTCTCACATATTTTGGGAGCTCGGTACCATAGTGGTCCAATGGCTGAGACGGTTCCAAGATAGCCGCTTTGTCTTTGGCTAGCATTGGCAGCCAGACCTGGCCAAGCAGGCTGTGTCGACTGAATGACTGGCTGACCAATAGGGCAAGCCAAGAGTGTCGCAGAACTGGTGAGAGCCCACGCAAGAAAAAGACAACTTCAAGAGGATGTCACAACGTGTTGCCATGGCCGGCATTGAAAGCCAAGGACGCCTTGAAGTGGTTCGGGCTCCGGTTTCGAGATCAGAGGCCGTTTCTCTTGTGACGCACCACCTTTCGTACTTTGTTTCCGCTCGAACATGGCGTTTGCAGTCTGCAGGTTCATGTGTCAGTGACAGCGGATGATGACGTGTTGTCGTTGGTAAGTGGCCGTGGTAAGGAAGGATGAGAGTTGCGGACAATAGAAACATCGCATCGAGGGCTCTTGTCCGTCAGAACGGCAGTTGCTGTTCTTGCAGTTTCCTGCATTACCTATGAAAATTGGATTTGTGGCTTGGGACCTGTGTGGGGCGCGTGTGAGGCTGGAGTTGGGTGTACTGTGCCCGACCCCCAACTTCAAGACGTTCGTCTTTAGGTGGCAGAACAAACCCGTCTAAAGCTCAACATGCTAGTAAACTGCAGTCCAGCCATGGAAAAGTATCACTCCGTTCATGAGGAAGACATTTCCAGCTTCGACCTACCGTCAACTCGTGGGTTCATCTTCACCAAATGGCAGCGATATCGACTAACGAAAACAGATCGATTACCCACTGTGTCCGCCGCGGAGGCACTGGAAGATCTAGACGGCAGTGTCGGCAGGCACATCTCCACAGGTATCGGCCGGCTAGACGAGACGCTCGTCTATGCTTTCTCTCGCCGGGATCCTGGCTCAGCGCGCGGGGGTCTTCAAAGAGGTCAGGTCTCTGAGATATGGGGCCCACCAGGCTCAGGCAAGACGGCTCTAGGGTGAGACGTCACTGTCTTGTGGTAGTATTCTACAGAGGGAATACATGGGCTAATATTTCTGTGTGAAGCATCCAACTTGTCGCCAGTGCGTTGTGTGATGGGCATGTTGCCGTGTGGGTAGGTCGGTTCATCTTGGACTACGACGGGCTAGGAAAGAGAACGATGAGGCTGACGATGCGTTTCTTAAAGACTGCGCGTATTCTGTCTGCGGCCAGCGACTCAATGCCGTGATCGAGGCAGTGGAACAGGCTCGATCATCTACGGACGATGGACCGGCAAAGCCATCCAGCGATAACCTCGCTCACTACAGCTGCCCAAGCTTACCTCACCTGGTTGCACTGCTATGTCGTCCGACAGCCGCAACGTTGCCAGCGAAGACGGCTCTGGTCATCATAGACTCGTTGTCAGCTCTAGTGAACTACGCTTTTCCCAAGGCATCCGACGGTCGGAGAGGACCGCCTCAGGGCAAAGGTTTGTACGCCCGTCTCAGATAAGAAGCATCTACTAATGGCAGACCAGGACCGGGATTATCAGCGAAGCGGCTGCAAGCCCTGCAGTACATCACCAGCGCACTGCAGAAATTAGCGGCAACGCGAGACTGCGCAGTGGTTGTGTTGTCGCAGTGCGCAACGAGAATGCAATTGGAGCGAAGCGCCACTTTGATCCCATCCATTAATGCTGGCATTTGGGAGCAGGGGATGTCGACACGAGTAGTGCTATTTAGAGACTGGGTGTGGAAGGACGGGCGGCCGTCGACCGTATCTTTCGCCGGAGTGCAGAAGCTAAACGGTAAGGCTGGGCCCGACATGATGCAGAATGCTGCGGCGTTTAGAGTGGAAGCGGTCAGTTATCCCCCCCCCCCTTTCCTGGGCAACCGGGGACCCGACATAATATCCTAAAAGTGGGGTATTCAAAAAGAAAGTGATTTTGCTAACTTGGGAATTTATCGTGGAACAGACGGGCGTGGTTGGCGTGCATTACGACATTAGCCAGCCATCGGTGCTGGTGTCGAGTGCTCCACGCGCGAAACGCAAGCTGGTAGAGGCCGGTCTCGAAGTGCCAGACAGCGAAGAAGAGGACGATGAGGAATATGGGTGGGTTCAGGAAGACGACGCAGCACTCCCCGGCCCGCCGCCACAATGGCAAGGCAGCGAAGACCTCCTCCTAGGGACGCAAGCCGCCGAAAGCGAAGATGGCAGCGACGGGGACGGGAACGGCGACGGCGACGGCGAGGACGGCGACAATGATGACACGGGCGACAAGGCAGAAGTGGAGGGGACAGCGATTAGCGGCCGAGATAGCGACGAAGTTGCAGAGTAGGCAAAGGCAGACCTGCAGGGCCCAATGGAATACTTGCGGCAAAGGCCGGAGCTTGGCCGATGGATATGACGAGCACGAATCGATAATACGATCGTGGCTCTCTCTTGCCCCCCCCTTGTATGGCCCTAGAGACGGACAGAAAAATTCTCGCAAGGCGCCAACCCCGAGGCTTGACATCGTGTATGTCATGTTACGGAGCCTCACCAGGCCTTGAGAAGGGAGGATGAGGCGGGAGAAAGGGGAGAAGGCTAAGGAGTGAAAAACTAAGCTAGAGCAACTCCACCGAAGACAGCAGAGAGGTCCCGCCACTCTCAGAGAGATTCAGCGGGTAAGGACCGATAAGAAGCGGTCGGTCAAGGCCCGGGTCCACCGAAAGGGCATGAAATTTCATCGTCACCACTCGGCCAAATGTCGGCTTGACACGAACCAGCTTTCGGAGGCATAGCACCACGGACCTCAGAAAGAGACTGCGAGGAAGGGAGAGAGGCCGGGGCTAGCCCGGGGCCCCGGCCCCAGATAGGCCAGCTCGCTCTTCAAACCATGGACCCAAACTCGTAGCGTACGATACCCACGGATACTATCGTGGGGTCCCACACGTGTTTGGTAAGCCGCAGTGGCTAACTCTGAAAGCGTCTTGGCCGCGAGCGAGGAGTGGTTAAGAGGGCGAGTGTCGGGAATGCATCAGTACACTTGGCTGGCTGAAGGAGAGGATAATATAATGCTATGGGTGCGGGTGGGAACACAAGCCAGGGTGGTATAGTTTCCCTTTTCCATGGGCACCACCGGACAAGCCCGCATGCGGCGGCATTGCTCACCATGGCGAAGAGGCCCGTGATGGCTGATGTGAGAAGGAGAAAGTACAAAGAGTGGAGGACGCGCTATTTGTCTGTTGAATTTAACCAGGCTGGAGAAGAGCAAGGTCGAAAACGGGGTTTCGTGAGGAAACCACTCTACAAATACGCGTACCTACCCTTCGTTGCTATTGGGTACCTACCTAGGTACCTGTAGGTGGGTGCCTAGGTAGGTAGGCGAGGTACGTACGTACGACACAGGATTGCGGAGTCCACTACGGTATACCATGTCTTGGGTCCCATTTTGTTCTCGAAGGAAAAAATGGCGTCAGATCGTAGCCCCCCCCACTTGCTATGCGTTTTGTTATACTACGTACAAAGTATGCAGGAAGGAGCTGTACGGCCTACCTGCCCAGGGCGGAATGGTACACCGGAATTGGGGAGTCCCGAGGACCCGACCCTGCTGCCAATAGCCAGGCTAACCAGTGCGCCAAGCTGGTACCAAAGGGCACCGAAGATGACGTTAGCTTTGAAGGGGGGACCTTCCATATCTTCTACTTCCATGTCAGGGCAGAGAATTGGGGGGAGCATTGGCATTGGCGGCATTGACGTTGGCATATACGGGTACTTACCGCAAAGTGGGTAGGTTGGCGAGGTACATAGCAGGTAGCATACACACAGGGTACGATAGGCGGTTTGCACATGCTAGGCTGAATGTGCTCCCCCGATGATGTCGGCCCTGATGCCTACACAAATGTGGGGTTTGAACGTTGCGATATCGTGCCAAGAGAAGGGGAAAAAACCACCCACTGGCGCTACAGTACAAAACCGCGAGCAGCGGGCCCTAGGAAGGCGCCATGTATTTTTGGAGAATGAGTGACTTTGCGCTACTTTTCTTCCCCTGAACGTTGCTTGCCACGATCTTCATTGGCCTCGTTCTTAAGGCTGTTCCCCTGTCACATCCCGCCTTCTTCGCGACTATCTCGCCCTCCGTCAACCTCTGTCTGCCCTCCCCCGGATCTTTTCGAGCACGTTTTGCTAGGCGCACGCCCCTATGGGGATATGCAACCCTGCGACCGAGTGGCATGGGGGTGGCCGTGGGTTATCTCCACCCCTCTCTCCTCAGGGCAGCAGCTCAAGGGCTTACTTGGCAAGTAGTACAGACACGTACCTACCTACCTAAGTATGCAGTAGAGGCTATCGACACTAGAATTTCTCGCTGATTCACCACAGCGACTCCTTTTTTATTTTTTAATGCCGCGACGGGGATGTGGAGTACCTGCAGCATCCCTTCACATTGGCCAAATTGGTGACATAATCCCGCCCCATCCGCTCGTCCTCGGCACCGGCATTGGTCCTTGCCTGAAGTTATTCCCACATGCTCTGCAACTCGTGTACCTACTACACTGGGTACATTGTACGTGATGTACGGATACAGCACACTGCAATTGGTCCTCAACTTATCCTCCGGGCCCAGGAGGGTCTGCGTCGCAACCGGACCAACTCTTCAAAACGTGCATCTCAGGATTCTGGGGGGTCTAGACCAGCTCATCCTCAGGACGAATGATGCCATTCCGCTTGGCTCTTTGCCAGCTTTCCTCCAGGCGGACGCGGCGTCCCGCAGGTCGACATGACAGGAAAGGACGGGACAGGACAGGAAAGAATAGGATAGGACCTACAACCCCTAGGAGGATGGACTCGTCTCTCTCAGGCAAATGGCGAATGGTGACCGACATTCGCCTGATTTCGTTTCCCCAGACGGTGTGTGTTGCATCGATGCTGGATCAACCACGGCTAACCGAAACAAAGTAGGGGGAAATTACCGAGTAGCTCAGTCCAAGACATCGTCGAGTGGTGGGTGCGCCTACGTAGAGCCGGCCCCGACGATTACATACCTAGTGCTGCTGCATGCTGCCGTCGTCCGAAGCCGTCGCCTCTTTCGGCTAGAGGAACAAGAGGAACCGCCTCGCATCGGTCGATGCAGCCTCTCTTTCCCTCGGCTTCTCCCAGCCGCACCAAGAAGAGGCCTCTCTCAACGCATCACGCCATGGCAACCGCCCAAGGTTTCCAAGAAAAGATGCAGATTAAGTCCGGTCTGGGGGAGGCAGATCGACCGAGCCGCTGGTGCAACTAAGCCCGCTTGTGTTCTCCGCATCGAGAAGAGTCGCCCATACAGGCACACGCATACACCATATATGCACTCACAGTCGCAGGCCGCACAAATAGGGGAAACCGCCAGATCCCACCGCCAACCTGGTACGATTCTCCCGCAGATCTTGGGCGCCTCCCGCTCCTCGTCAGCCCACAATGCTGCTTAATCGTACGCCGGTCGGCCAATGCTGGCTCCATCCTTCTATTCTATTTTTCCTTTCACAGGCCTCTTCGCACGGAAGGGAGACACGTACCGGTCTCTCCAGGCTCAACGAAACCAGGATACCTGACAGACAACTTATCCAGCCCCAGCATATACGCACCCATTGGTGAAAGCCCCAATGCCTCGGCCAAGACTCTTCCTAACTCCCCATGTTACATGCACTGACTGATACGATACGACCTGCATTCGACCGGCTCGTTCACTATCTGGGTTTTGCTAAACTAGTTCGGTTCCGCTACTTGGCGCTATCGTTGTGGTTGTCTCTACCGGAACTGTTTCCTTACGTCCCCGCCCTACATCGTTCAATATCCAAGTCGCGTGCGTGTGTGTGTGTGTGTTCCCCAAATGCCGTTCCCGCTGGCCCGCGTTGCCGTCCCCACAGCCGGCCGCTCACCTGCGGGGTGGGATATTTGTCTCCCCGGTCTTAAGAGCATGGATTGTTTCAGAGGCCCCTGACTTGCCATGTTGAGGCACGATTCGGCGGCTGTTCTTGATACGGCAAAAGAGACAAGGGAAAGAAACACGCTGCGAGAGGACGAACAGAGTCGGCCTTGCAGCGGGTGACCTGCAGCGATCCTGCACATTTCCCTCCGGCTTTCCCCCCGCGTGCTCATTGATGTAAAACACCCCCCATTCCCTTTTTTGCTCCCTCAACCGCACCACGAGCGGTGCTCTATTCTTGTGGTGCAGACTACACAGCAGATGATCTTCATTTGTATGACCGGGGAAGCACTCCACCGTGTCCATGTGTGGCTACCTCCTGTTTCCGCCCATCTTGGCTCTTCCTGTAGCTATGCTCGCCATCTCCCTTGATTATCGTCCTACATATGCGAGGCCCTACACCGCCGCTATCCATCTTGGTCGATTGGAAAATAGAGCCATGGTCGCATTGGACAAACCCTGGTCCTCAATCAGATGTTGGCATTTCCTAAGTGTAACCCTAAGCCTGGGAGAGGGGCGGACGGTACTACCTACTTATCTCCCCCGGAAGCTTTCGCACAGGAGTACGTGCCCATCTCTGTCGGTTAATGGGCTCTTGAATCGCTTCCGCACCAGCGAATTGTTTGCGCTCAGGGGCCCCGACCCAAACAATGAAAACAGAGCGCGCGTAACCGGCGTGTCAACGGCAGAACGGAACGTATGTTGAACCTGTTTTCTGGTTACGTTCACGGCACTTCCATTCCCACATGTGTTCCTGATGTGTTCTCCATCTCTGCGAAGTGAGTAGAGAGGGTGGCGTGTGCTTAGAGAGGATATTGGTGCATTTTTGAACAAACTTTGAGTGAGTTCGTCGGGACAGGTTTGTCAGTGTTTCGCCTCGGGAAGTCTACGGCAAGTCGGAAAGGCTGGCTAAGTAGCGGTTGCGGCTCTCTGCCCCGTTCGCAACACCCGTGCCATACTTTCAGACTGCTTTTATCACCATTCGGTCCGCCATGTTGAGTCACCATCACATGCCAACCCGAACGACGGGGCCCCGCAAGATTAGAAATGGCTCATGCTCGAATGCTCAATGCCCCTTGAGGGGTCCCTCATGCCGTATGAAAGGTAGACGCAACAAAGTTCCTGAGAAATGGTCGAGACCGCTTCTCTGATATCTCAGTACGCCTCGACAAGATAATACCTTGACAAGATATTGTGCAACCATGGTGTCATCCCTCCTGAGGTGAAGCTTTTTTGTGAGGATGACGGCATTTCTCCACCTCGACCTCGGGGCTCGGCGAGGGGGTCGAAGAACTCTGAAGTTATCATGTGAGATTCTGACACAGGCTCACATAGCACGCCGGCATCCTTCCTCTCCTTCCTCGATCTCGCTTGGATGTTCCCCTCCCTACTCTTAAAGGAGTCCCGAAGCCGGAATAGCGCGTTTATCTGCTCGCAAGGAGTTGCCAGCGAAGGCGGGTACTCCCTTGATTCGATGTCGGAGCGCCGCCCGGAGCCCCAATCCCAATCGTGGGGGGTTCCTACAACCCCTCTCCCCTCGATCCTGTTCCCCTGAGACCGCGTCTCTCGGCGTCTTATCCCAAAACCTGGTTGGCGTTTGCGTTGCAGTCCTCGCCCGAGGAACGGACCCTTCCCCCCCTTTGGACGAGGGCGGCATTTCGATTAGAACTCGGCGCTGAACCCAAAAGCAAGAAAACTCTAACAAGACAGTTCGCGGCGAGCGACCACCCCGGGACCACGTTTCGGTGCTATGACACTTATTTTACGCGGCTTCGCTCCTCGCGGCGAGATTTATTTTCGTAGGTCTGATCTGACCATGATGGACTCAAGATGGGAAGGCCGGCGGTTGGCTGGCGCTCCTCTAGGAACCTAAACACTCCCCATCCCACTCGAGGCAGGTCAACCAAAGAATATGGTTTGAGGGCGCCATACGCATGCTAATCGAGACAAGGTGCTCCCGTGATTTACACAGACTGCAGCATCCAGACGCCCAAAGACCGAAAGTAAAGAAGGCTGATAGAAAAGAAGGGGGAAGAAAAGAACAAGCGTCTTCATGCATAGTAATTGGGTGGGTTCGGGTCCGGGTACACCATGGTCGCCTTGAGGTAGACGAGCACCTCGTACGCGGCCTTGGCGATGTCCAGCCCCTTCCTTTTCCACTCGGAACCGTTCCACATGTTCCGCAGCCCGTTGTCCGCGATGAGCGTCACGACGAAGCGCACGTAGTGGTCCTCGGCCGCCCAGCCCGTCTTGTCCGGATGGTAGACGAGGAACTTTGGCTTCCGGGTGCCGAGCGCCTCCCGCGCCGCCCGCGCCGTGCGGGCCTTGTCCGGTTCCGGGACGGCGCCGGGCGATTCGGCCCTGAGTAACGCCAGGGAGAGGTAGTCCGCGCAGAACTCATCCCATGACCCGCGCACGAACGGGCCGTCGAGCCAGTCGCGGAATGTCGCGGTGTCTTCGAAAGGTAGCAGCTCCATAAGGAGGCGCTCATGCTGGGAGGCTATGCGAGGGGCCGATGGGGACGGGGCCGATGGGGACGGGGCCGGAGCGACCTCGTCGACAGCGACGGCGACGACAGCGGGCACCGGTGCGGAAGTGGGTCTCGGTGCCATCCGGGGCGTTGGGGGCGGGGAGTTGAGACGTTGGTATGGAAGGTTTTTGAAGGGCGAGGCGCTGGTTTGGGCGCGGTGCCTGCGTGGAAGGGCAATGCACATTATGAAGAGGACGGGGCGAGCTGTTTGGTACGGGATGGGAGATGGGCGGAGTGACCGATGCCGCCAGCCGATGAGCTTTCGGGTTGCGAAGGGATTTGTATAGATTGTGGTTGTACAGGGAGACTTTGAGAGTCTGTCTGCCTAGCCGCCTCGGGAGCCCGACGCATATATGCCCTTCCGGCGTCATGGCCGTTGCCCACCGAAGTCCACCTTGCATTCGGGGCTCTTTTCTCCTTTCCTTTTTCTCTCTCTTCTGCTTTGACGTCAACTAATCCTCTCCACCCTCTCCCTTCTCTGCGCTTCCTTCGGCGCTTTCTAGGAGGATGTACTGCGCGTTTTTGGAAGGGATGTTTTTCCAGGCAGCAGGGCTGAAGCCGAGCACCGGCGAATCATGGGGGTTAACTCCAAACGGCTGCTTACGGCGCTTACGCGGCTTGGGACGGGGCCATGAGCGAGACGCGTAGTGGGCGTCTTGTCGTTGGGGTCAAAGCTGAGGGATTTTCGAAGCGGAAGGGCTCTTTTCCGTGTTGCAATTGGGGAGTGCGTGCCGGTGTGTTCTTTCTTTCTCTCTCTCTCTCTCTATTCATCGCGTGATTTGGGTCTGGGTTTTAGGGTTGAGGCGACGATTTTCTTCTTGCCATTGGTGACGCTGGCTTCACCCGCCTCTTCGAGATTTGCAGATTTCTCCTTGCTCGAGGCGTTCTAGCTGGCTGTTGCGGGAATCAGAGCACATATGTCGCCCAGCTATGGGTTTGAGCTGTCCGTGGGTAGGCAGCCTGCATAGCATTGTGCCAATGCCTAGGGGTGCACTTACATGCGCACGAAATCACTCTTCTATAAGTCCTGCCACTTACAATCATGAGCGGCTGAATGAATGCATGCTAGCGTCGTCTTACCATAGATCCTCTATCTGGCGACGAAATTCCCGAGCATCAAATGGTTCTATGCCATGGAAACAACTGAATCCATATAACTGTATCTGGGTTGAGTGTGATGGGGGCAAAAGTGCCACCTCCCTTTTGATCATGTTCATCGGCTACTCCAATCAATATTGGGAAGCATACCATGTCCATCCTCGCATTAAGCTCGTCTCGGACGGAAACCTCCCAGGCAGGCTATTGCTGTCATCAACCATGGGGTATATCGAAGTTTTATCGTATCAAGCTGTCGAACCACGGACGGTTCTGTTCTCCCGATAGGGATTCCACTTGGTCTAGGAGAGAAGATTGATTAGTTGTGATAAGTATTGTATACAGAGGGTCTTATCACGACCTAGATGCCTGTGTAGAAGTACTATTCAAAAGGATAGATAGAAGTAGTATGTGTATGCAGATGCATCGAGGTAGGTAACGCTCTCCTGAAAATCCGCATCTACCTACCCGAGACCAACCCCAGGTAGATCTCAGCACTAAAGCCAATCGACAAAGGGTGAGATACAGCAAAAAGGGGTCGATCCGCGATTCGAACGCGGGACTCTTGCTGAACTTCGAGTGAACCCAAAGCAAGGATCTTACCACTTGACTAACCGTCCTGATTGTTCTTGGCCGGGCAGGAGCAACCATGGGTGGGCCAGGCTCTATTCACAGTGCCATGGAAACTGCTGTCACTAAATGGGGGTCTTACCCATCCGAGACTCCAATGGTCGTGGGAGGGAGCTTTTTGTAAAGTACAAAGGAAACAACTTTGATGAAGGCAGTTGCTCGGCCAGTGTCCATGCTCCCTTGATGACGGCCGGTTTGCAAGGACTACAGTAAGGAGCCGCCGGCCAGCTTCCCCTTTCCAAATAAGCTACATTCGTTATCGTCTGGGAGTGAAGGAGACGCTTGATTCTTCGTTATTTGTACTTTTCTATTTCGGTATAAAACTCACCAGGTATTTCCCCTCTCCATTCAACAGAGGAGCCCGCGCTAGGAGCCCGCTTCGTTCTTGCCTCGTCGCAAGGTATGTTGCCAAAACATTGCCGAGAAGGTACTGCGAGCCTTTCGAGGACAAACCGTCAAGATGGAAGTTGCAGCATATCATGCAATACCTTCGACTTCATGTTGCTCTGATCCCAATTCCCCCTCGTCCTCAACCACCCCTCTCCATGTTCGGGGGACTTGTCACAACCTTTGTAGTAAAATCTCGCAACACTTCGACCACTGTGACGACGTTCTGTGTGAGTATTTCACTGATCATCCTATCATCCTTCATCAGTGACCCGTACTGAACTAGTGACGTGCAGTTGCTTCTGCGTCAGTCAGTTCTGCTTCCAATAGCTTGGTCCTGGACTGCAGTCATGCGAGAGCTTCCTCCCCTGCAACTCGACGGCATCGAGGCTGAGATGGCGCCCGACAACGCGCATGCTGGTCCTTCGAACCAGTCAGACGGAGATCTGAGCCACTTCACGGTTCAATCGGGCTCGAGGAAGCAGAAAATACGCCGCCGAATCAGATACCGTTTCCTCACCCCTTCGGAATGGGCTATTGTTGCTCACGGTATCGGGGGCGTCAACGACACCGAGGGTCACATCGCGCTCCACCCGACTTGCTGGTACTACCCTCCCAAAGGAATTCCCAACGGTCTTTACCGAGACGTCATCTGGCACCGTACCAAGTACTTCTACATGTATCACGGCATGAGCTCCATCCGATGGGTCGCGTATATCTTGCAAATCATTTTCGGTGCTATCCTCACCGCAATTGGCTCCATGTCGTATGAGGACGGCACTCCTATCACCATCATTGCGGCCGCAAACACCATAAATGCTGGCATCCTCGCACTCCTGCACAACAGTGGTTTACCCGACCGCTATCGCTCCGACCAGGCCGAGTTTGACGAGGTTGAAGACCACCTCAAGAAGATCCTCGACACTGGAATCGTCCCTGAACATATGTCTGTCGACCAAGCTCTGATCCATTGTTTCGATTTGTACCAGGAGGCCAAGAAGACCGTCTCGGCAAACATCCCAGCGACTTATACCCCGAGCTCCGTTCTGTCAGGTGGCCCGCAAGGCGGCGAGCCGCAGAAGCCGGGCATGCCTGGACCAGCGGCACCCAACGCAGCAAACTCGGTCATTGCGACCAGGCTCTCGGTGGCTTCACCTCAGGCTGCTACAGAGGAGAAGTAAAACAAAAGAATAAAGTGTCGACTCGAGGCCATGTCATTATTGGGAGCTTATTCTTGTTCAACTACATTACCTATCAATCAAGGCGGCAATCGGTGTTAGGGAGCCTCTAGAGACGCAGGAGAGCATTGACATCATATACATTTGACGATTCATCAAGAAGGTAAAGAGATCATATTAAATTCAACCACGAATTACATCGACTCGAGTTGCAGACGTGAAGCTGTGATGCCTTGCGGAGATAGTGAGTCCTTGGTGGGGCAAGTGTGGCATGGAAGAGCATGTCACCAATGACTCACCGCCTTTGGCAGAATAGTCGTACCCACTGAAATTTCTCTCGTGGACCAGCCGCAACCTTTGATTCCACTGAGCCAAATTGAAGCCGACCCAAATTTTTGCGACCCATTCACATGAGGTGACCTTATGTTAAAGCCGTACTCTCTCGGAGCAATTCGCCTGGCCACACGCGCTGCGAGCCGGCAACTCCATATACGACGTCCATCGTCCAGCTTTAACACACTCCGACCAAGGGATTGTTCTGTCATCCCTCGCTATCAGACAGTCTCAAGGCCCGTTGCGTCTTTCATCAGATTCTGCAGCAACTCATCTGCTAAAAGCGAAAAGATCGACACCATGAGCGGAGAGGAGCCCGTCATCACCTACGATGGCAAAAACTACAGGGGAATAACGGAGGGCAAGGCCACCATACTGGTCCCCGCCGAGGTTGAGCAGAAGGGCCAGCAGGTCTTTTACAACCCGATCCAGCAGTTCAACCGTGACCTTTCTGTTCTTGCCATCAGAGCGTACGGCCAAGAGGTTGTCGAGAGGAAGGCTGCACAGGCCGCCCAGGTCACTTCTAGGCGCAAGGATAAGAAGAGGCGGAGGGGCGCCGCGGATGAGGGCGGCAACCGGCCGGCCAAGGTCCAGATCACGGACGACGGCAAGGCGGCCGAGACCAATGCTGATGGCGAGGCGCAGGCGGTGGAACCGGTGAACGGTGCCAATGGCACCGGCGCAGAGGCCCCGGAGACGGCTGCTCCCTCGACGACCGAGGCGCCCGCGACATCTGCCGAGGTCGAGGGCACAAAGGTTGAAGGTGAGGCAAAGTCTGGCCCCGAGAAGTCGCGCCCTCGCTTCACCGTCCTGGACGCTTTGTCGGCATCTGGTCTTCGTGCGCTGCGTTATTCGCACGAGTTGCCGTTTGTCACCTCGGTGACGGCCAACGACCTCACCAAGAGTGCGATTGAGTCGATCAAGCTGAACACGAAGCACAACGGCCTGGAAGATATGATCCAGATGAGCCATGACGACGCCATAGCCCACATGTACCGGCGCATCGCGGACGATCTGACGAACCGGGACCGATTCGGCAACCCCAGCAAGGAGAACAAGTACGACGTCATCGACCTGGACCCGTACGGAACCGCTGCGCCTTTCCTGGACGCCGCCGTCCAGGCTGTGAGGGACGATGGCGGTCTGCTCGCCGTCACCTGCACGGATGGCAGCCACTGGGCCGGACACTGCTACGCCGAGAAGTGTTTCTCGCTGTATGGCGGTGCGCCCATCAAGGGCCTCCACTCGCACGAGGTCGGCATCCGGCTCATCCTCCATGCCCTGACGAGCGCGGCTGCAAAGTACGGCTTGACCATTGAGCCGCAGCTGTCGCTCTCGATCGACTTTTACTGCCGGGTGTTCGTCAAGGTGCGTAAGTCGAGGGACGCGGTCAACTACCAGGGCGGCAAGACGATGATCATGTACAACTGCCCGGGATGCTCGGCGTGGGAGACGCAGCCGATGGTCCGGACACGGCCTGCGCCCAAGAAGAAGGGGGGCTACTTTTACAAGCACGGGCTGTCGCAGGGCCCGCCCACCGACTCGCACTGCAAGCACTGCGGCTCGAGCATGCACGCCGCCGGTCCGATGTACAGCGGCCCGCTGCACAACCCCGACTTCATCCAGAGCATCCTCGACCTGCTGCCGACTGTCGACAAGAACGTGTACCAAACGACGTCAAGGATAGAGGGCATGCTCCAGACGGCCATGGAGGAGTACCTTCCCGGGCCCGAGCCCGAGCACGCGGCGGATCTCGACGCAAAGGACAAGGAGCTGGCGAGGGTGGACCACTACCCCTTCTTCGTCATGCCGTCGAGGCTGGCGGGTACTCTCAGCACGCAGCAGCCGCCGGACGACATGTTCCGTGGCGCGCTCAAGCATCTCGGCTACCGCGTCACCCGCAGCCACTGCCGGCCTGGGAGTGTCAAGACGGACGCGCCGTGGGAAGCGATCTGGTTCATCATGAGGGAATGGGTCCGCCAGAAGGCACCCGTCCGCACGGATCGCATCAACTCGCAGATGCCGGCATACAGACTGCTCGGCCTCGACAAGTCGGAAAGCAACGGCGAGGCGAAGGGGTCTACAGGGAGCAACGCAGAGGCTCAAGAGGAGGCCGAGTCCAAGGATAAGGACGAGCAGGCAGCACTTCCACGGGACACGCAGGCGCCCGCCGACGTCGAGATGGAGGGTTCTGCGGAGGAGGCCGAGGCGACGGACAAGAGCGAGGAGGAGCTGCGCAAGACGCTTGTGTTCGACGACAAGCTCGCAAAGCTCGGCAAGCGCAAGGAGCAGAGGAAGCTGGTCCGATACCAGATGAACCCGCGGGAGAACTGGGGTCCGATGACGCGGGCGAAGGGAGCGTAAGGAGTGGGCGGGACGAGGGCGATCCATGTGGTGAGAGAGGGAGGGAGAGAAAGAGAAAACAACATGTCGGGTTTAGTCGAGACGATGTCTCACAGAATACCAGAGATGAAAATGTGCGCATTGCAAGGTAGCTGTTGTTCCTGTCGACATGTCTGTTTCTGCTCCTGTTGCATGTCTGTTTTGCTAGCAAGCCTGGACGCTGACTCTGGTGCTGCCAACCCAGTTCCGCAGCTGCTTGAGGGACCGACCGGCATCCCATCTTCCGCCAGGCCGACCAATCTTATGTTTTTGTCGGAAGCAATAGCCACCCGGCGCGCGCTGGTGAAGGAGGTCGCTGTTCCGTCGGGCGCGGCGGACCAGGCGGAGCGAAAGATGCAAAGATGTGTCACGCACAGCGCGCACTATAGCCCACAATCGCAGGCAGAATCATCCCAGAACAGGGATATCGGGTGGGATGGCCGAGTGGTCCAAGGCGGCAGATTTAAGCTTACATAAGCTCTGCTACTCGTGAGAGTGCGCGGGTTCGAACCCCGCTCCCATCATTTTAGGCTTTTTGTGTATATGTCCTTGGTGAACATTTTTTATTCTGTGATGGATGTATATGTGTATGGTATATACATGTTAAAGTGGTCTTTTTCTTTTTCTTTCAATTATTATTAAATGTGCATCTCCTAAAGGGTCTTGCTTCCCTTCTTCCCTGATGTTATCTCCGATATCCAGGTTACCTAGCGCTCATTTCCAATGCGGCTAGGTATCTGCCCCGCAGCCGCGAAATAACGCAATCGCTGGCTGGATGACACCTGCCTCACAGCGTCCGAAGGTGCCTATAGGTAGTAGGCATGCACGACACCTGGTCCGTCTGCTGGCCAGCATGTCTGCTTACAATCTATGAGGCGGCGGCGGCAGTACGACACTCACCACCTGCGCTTCCAGCGTATCCGGTGTGATTCCTGAGCAAGACAGCCAGCCAGTGACTGGACTGGAATACATCTGACGGCCGCCCGCCTGAAGACCCTGCCTGAAGAAGACTCCTCCTGTCTCCAAAGTGGATGCCCAGCTGTACTCTCGACCTCACCTTCATTCCCTAAACGTCAGCGTGTCTGATAAGCCACCCGCTGACGTCGAATCCTTCCTCAACACCGCCCCGGGACTGGAGTTGACACAAGACGCCCATGAGATACGATAAGAGGACTTGCGTGTCTGTACTGTCTGCGTGTCTGCATCCGCATCTACCCGTGATATTCCCCTCGAATCACTAGCCGGTTGTACAACGAACATGGCCATCACGGACGTCACCGAGCCACTAGGCTTCGAGCCCCGCGACCACGGCCTCGTACCTCGCCGTGCCCACGACACCGCCTTTGCCGATGGCAAGCTGACCTTCACTTCCCTGCGCGGCACTGAGTCCGTCCGCCCGGAAGAAGTCGTCTTCATCGTCCCTGCCCACAAAGACCTCGCCTCGAGCCCCATCATCTGCGCTCTCAGGGAGGACCCCGAGTCCAAGGATTTCCCTTATCAGCTTGACATTCTTGTCGTCAACGGCCAAGTACCTACCGAGCTCACCGACGGCCTCTTGCTCTCACGCTTCCCGGAGCATCTCGGCCCCAAGCCCGGCAGCCATGAGGTGCACTTTGTTGTGTCCACCAAGTCCGGCCTGGGCTATGCGCCAAAGTTTTGGGAGGGTGTCATCCAGCCCTTGGTTCTCCTCGCTGGCCAAAAGTTGCCCGGGGGCCAGCCGTCTGCTTTTGCTCCAGGGCCACCTACCCAGGATATCAATGACGGCAAGCCCAGATATAGTCTCTTGGTAACTGAGGACGCAGACAGCGTCCGCCGCTTTGCGAAAGAGAGGTGGGCCGCAAGACAACAAATCGCGTCGAACGGTGCCTCTCCCACCAAGACCGAGACCATTGTCCTCCTGAGTGGTGACGGAGGCATCGTTGACCTCCTCAACGGATGCGAGGAGACGGATTCCGTAGCGACTCTGCCGACCCTCGCCCTCCTGCCGCTGGGTACCGGAAACGCCGCCTTCCACTCTCTCCACAAGCCCCTGTACGCCGAGACCGGCCCATCGCCCGTGGTCCTCGGCCTGCGTACCCTCTTCTTCGGCGTCCCGGCCCCGCTTCCTGCCTTCCGCGCCTCCTTCTCCCCGGGTTCCAAGCTGGTCTCCTACACGGCGGACCCGGGCGCCCACGGCCCCGAGCATGTGTCCCGCCACGACACGAGCGTCGACCACCTCTTTGGCGCCGTCGTCGCCAGCTACGGCTTCCATGCGCAGCTCGTCTGGGAGAGCGACACGCCCGAGTACCGCAAGCACGGCGACAAGCGGTTCGGCATGGTGGCCCAGGAGTTGCTCAAGGAGAGCCACGCATACGCCGCCAAGGTGGAGGTGCGTGGTCCAGATGGCGTCACGCGTCCCGTTGCACGGGAACAGTTCGCCTACGCCCTCGCGGCGTTAGTATCGAACCTAGAGAAGACGTTCACCATCTCCCCCGGCAGCGGGCCGCTGCAGGGCCGGCTGAAGCTCGTGCACTTCGGCGCTGTCGGCGGCGAGAAGACGATGGAGATCATGATGGCGGCCTACAACCAGGGCTCGCACGTGGGCATGCGGTGGGCCGACGCGGAGGGGAGGGAGGATTACCTCGGGTACGAGGACGCCGAGGAGCTGCGGGTGACGACTGGGGAGGCCGACCCCCGGTGGAGGAAGGTCTGCGTCGACGGGACGATTGTGGAGATTCCCGAGGGCGGGTGGATGGCCGTTTCCAAACTGAAGAGGCCGTTGTTCAACATCCTTGCCGACCGATCGATCTTGTAGACGGGAGGTTTTGCAAAAACCGCCGACGTCAGTGAGGCGGGCGGTAACGAATGACGACGAGGATAGCCAGGCGACACGTCTCGACGGTGACGATATGCTGCATTCCTATAGATGATGAAATGACAAATCGAACGACTGTTCCAACCATGAACGAGGTCTATCAGCGTCCATATTAGGGTAATAAGCCCACTGCTTCTGGCTATTCTCAGCGACAAGGTCATATTATATAGATCAGTGCCGCCTATTTCATCAAAACTGAACACTCTGACGTGGAGACATTTATGTGATAGCATGCTCTTAGGAGTTGCTATTTGATTGAGTCGTATGCGAATAGGGGTAATAGGTAACATATATGTATGTTTTCATGATGGCGGTTTCAGTCACTAGAGCAGAGGACCTCAAAGATGTCAGAGCGGAATAGACGTTGCGTTTTCTTTTCGTTTCTACCAGTGATGCGATATCGTGTCTGTATCTAGCCGTTGATATGGCGGCAGAGTCTGTGTTTTGAGGTCAGACGAAACGAGAAACAAAGAGGCTTGCACAGTTGACACTCGACGCAGTCACGAGAGGCGTGGTATGATGGCGATTGATCGCTTATTATAACTTTGATTCGTTCTTGTTTATAATGGTCCTCGACGTCTGTAGTTTTGGACCACAAGCCGACCATTCACAAACACACTGCTCATACATAGATAGACCTTGCAAGTCAACCCTTGCTATCACTCCTCAACCTCTCTGGTAGGGGTTGTCATCGGTGCAGAATTGCGGAAAACTTTCATCAAATTTGCAGACCCAAGTCAGACGCCGCTCGTCTCGACGCCCCAAGGCAACTGAAACATGTGAAATGATGTTCATGATTCTTCTCTTGCCTCTATGCTAGCCGTGCCTTTTGTTTTATCCGGGTTGTGTAGTTTCCAGTCTGAGCGGTAGCCAGGGTTGTGTGTTCACAACATGGTTGGTGGCTGGCCCGGTTCGCTCGCCAGCCGAACCACACACGGCTCTGGTGCCTGCGCGGATCACGAGTCTGTAGCTGGCACAACCCCGGTCTCTTAAAAAAAGGGATACTCCAGCTGATCGACGCCGACGCAGTCGAGGCCGCCAAAGCGGTTGAAGGTCGCCTCCCACCACGCGGACTCGACCATGCCGCGGTTGCAGTAGGCGGGGAGAGTGAGCTTCCAAGTGAGCACGCCGTCCAGCTTTGGGTGTGGTCCGCACCACGGCCCGAAGACGAGCGCGCAGCTCGGGAAGCGGCGCAGGTTGTCCCACAGGGCGCCGCACGTACTGGTGATGTCCGGGACCGGGGCGCCGGCCTTGCTCATGAGCCCGTAGGTAGTAGCGACGCTTACCAGCGGGAAGTTCACGTACTCGCAGAAGGCGCTGTTGCCGTGTGTGGGGTTTCTATAGGGGTCACGAAAGCTCGGCAACTCGGCTGATTTGTTGGCGGCGAGGGGGGAGATGGAGGTGGCGTTGGCGCTGGCGGAGGGGACGGGCGCCAGGTTCTCGGGCAAGGCCGCCGGGGCGGCGTTGGCGACGAAGGCGAGGCCGAGGGCGGCGCTGAAGACGCCAGCCGTGAGCTTCATTTCGCTTGTTGAAGAGGTTGGGGGGGGCTGCTTGTTTTGTTTGTGCGAGGTTTCGATAGTTGTATGATGTATGATGAGCTAGTTCAGGCTTTGCGCGAGGGTGTGGGATCCGCGAATGGGCTTTTGGGACACCAGAAGTTGAACTGATGATTGTCCGTCAGAGTGTGTAGAAGATTGGGAGAGAAATGGACTGCCAAGGGGCAAGGGCTATCTACATATACTGCAGTCCTCGACTTATTCCTCAGAGTTACCGGTCTGGGCTGGTTGTACGTATGGTGGAAGTCGGAAAGGGTACCTACTACACACGTTCTCCGGGTGACTTCGTCGTCATCCAGGTACCGAGTGTTCTCAAAGGCCGTTCCGTAAGATGTTGGATGGGAGTAGGGGCCAGAGCAGGTGAATCACTAGCGGCGGGCGCAAAGGCTTGTAGCACAGAAGCTGCCGAGAGTACGGTAATCTGCTTCAAACTCAACGGCTTATTTCGAGGTAGCCATGTTAGAGCATCTGTATGTCTATTACGTTGGTGCAAGACGCGGGAGGCTGTTGGAAAGTGGAGATGGCTTGAGAGCCGCCGAGTCCAGAGCGTGCGTGAGTCGACGTCGAACTCTTGAACACCCTCATAGACAAGCAGCAATGGTAGACTCATTTTTACCACAAGGTTCTGAGTTCTTGTGGCGTTGTCGAGCCTTTGCTTTGAACTTCTTTCTTGGATGCCCCTAAAAATAGTCTTTGGTAGATGGGGGTTTGCCCTAAGGACATTGAGGTGTTGGTTACTGAGAGCATATGTAATCTAAAGAGGTATTCAATCCAATCGCCTTCCTAGGGCTCTGAATGTTGCGTATAATCGTCGGCTTACATCTCAGAACCGATTCCCATATGCTTTCTTATCCTCAGTCCGCGGCATGTCTCATGAAAGCGCGAGAGTTAAATCATGGGAAAGGAAGGAGACCCGCGTACTCCCTGTGGTGTAAGTCATACCAACGACTTAGAGACAGGATCAAGCCGGGGGGTAAACCGCACACAGTGAAGTGCGGGTAGAAGCAAACCCACGCCCGTTCTCATGCAACAGGACTTTCGCTTCTTCACTCTTGCAATAGGGTATATCTGAATACATACGTATAGTACGCGTAGTTGTCGCACATGTCGTAGCATCTCTGCCACCCCTGAGCTACAGCATGACGCACTTTGGCGTGAGGATGGAGATTTCAAAGAAACCGAGACTTGCCCAGAGCTAGTCCATGTCGGGAAAAACTTGATAGCTCTTGGTGTCTGCTCAAGAATGTTATAAGCACATCGATTCACAGCTGTAGTCAATGTACCAGAATGGGAGACCTCGCCATACAACTGCAGTTTCATGTGTTGGTAACCCATAGTAGGGTACTATCAAACCAATATTTTGCTGTAGTGGTGCGCCTCCGGAACGTCATATCTCATAACGGCGTCTAGAAAAGTAGAGGGGGATAGGGTTTTGGCCACTCAACCAAGTAATGGCCACCTCAAGCGCAGCCGTCGGTGAAGCAAAACACAACCAGGCATCAACACAGACACTGCTTCCTCGGTTTGGTGCTGAAGTTGCGATTTTATAGATCACTGCCGTCCCAAACCAACAATTGTGAACAAGAAAATCATGCGCCTCGGCCTGCGCAGATTAAAGATGCCAGCCGGATCACTTCTTGGCCCAACATAATAAACACAAACCAGGTTCTCTTTCAGCAACATAATCACGAGGGAGACATTGACAGGTATCACGCTGACCATCTCCAAGTCCGAGTAAGCGTGAGGAATACGAAACTTGACGGGGGTGGACTCTCCTCCTACGAGTAAAATCGCGAGCACGTTACAGACGGCTGGCCAGACAAACCCGAGGACTATTCGGTTAAAACTGGTGCGGCTCACAACTAACCGAGAGTGGATGCTTTCAAGACCTGCGAGGAGAATCGCGTTTGCGGCGTGGCGAGCAACACTTGCTGAAGCTGCGATGCCTCGTTGGAAACCTGCGTCGGCCTGTGTGCTGGCCATTGCGTTGTTGGTGCCGTCGCCAACGGACGGGACGAGTTTACCCCTAGATATGATCCAGGCTACACACTCCCACTTCTGAGCCGAGCCGGAGTCTGTTGAGTTACCAGATTGAAGCTCTTGACCTGAGTGGGAACAGGCTCGATTGCAAGCTTTTGATCACTAGAAGCGACGTGCATGGCAATGTTGCCACTGCCAAGCCGCAAAATAAATTTAAGGTTGCCCCGGGGCGGAAACGAGTGCGCAATTTTTTTCTATGTTGGAAGGACTATAGATGGGATGATGCATCAACAAGGCGTAGTTGCAAAAGGCATGAATTCTCTAAGTCCAGTGGTCTGGCCGGCTGGAAATGTGGCCAGTTATATAGACCTTCTAGCGACTAACTCATGCGCATGAATATGGGTGAAATGACATTCGGACAATATATATATATATATATATATATATATACAAGGCGATGGGATCACCGTCGCGGGTGGCGACCAGGACGGCCATGGCTGCAGAGGCGGGGGATAAGGAGCCGTCCCTAGTCCGAGACGGGCTCCCAGCGCAGACGCTTTGCCCGCCAAGAATGGCCTGGACATCAACACCAGAAATAATAACAACTCCAGAGTCGGAGATCCAGCCTCGGGAGTAGGACATGAGGCAATGTGCTTGACGATGGCGACGAATACTGTTTGCTTGTCACCCTTGTCACCGGCAACCACAGTTTGCGTGGTGGGGACGTACCCAAAAGGTCACGCACGGGAGAGTGAGCCGAGAAGGCTAAAATAGAAGTGTTGTTAACGATCCTTCCGGGATCAGAATACGAAGCTCCATTCCAAAACTTCTCCAAGCCCTGCTGGAATCCCCTATCAAGTAGACACTACTATCATTAGATGTACAGAATACCAAAGACCGCCGCCCACCTCTATTGCCCCCCCATTGTTTACAACATGGTATCTTGTCCCCCGACCGAGTTCATATTGGTATCATGCAAAAAGAAAAGACGGCAAAACTACCCGCTTAAAACGCCACCGCAAAGTTGGTTCCCCGGGAACCGCCGGCACCATTTTCCTTCCCAAACGTGGAGTGGCGCTCCATCGGCAGCTCATCCGTTCTAGTGGCCAGAGTGCTGCTCGGCGACCACGCCGTAGGAACTGTCTGGCATCCATCGTCCGACTCGCTTGTCGACGCAGTCGACATCGAACCGATACTCGCGCGCCTCTTCCGCGGCGCCTGGACGCATTGATAGAAGCCCTCACGGTCCTTGACGGGGCGGGGAAAGTTTGTGATAGAGTCACTGCTGATGCTCCGTTGATGGTGCTGTCCTGCTGCACCACTGGGGAACAGCCAGCTGGAGACGCGCGAGAATGATTTCTTTTTCCGCAGCGGAGGACGGAGAACGAGTGGCAGGGGCGGGGGCGGGGGTCGAGTCTCCCTGCCACGGCTCCGGGGTGGTGTGATGAATGCAGCCGTGTCGTCGCCGCCGAAAACCATACCGCGGCGGGGAATGTGACCCGGTGACTGGGGTGCTGTGTGAGGCCGCTCGACCCCGGGGTTTAGGCGCTCGGCGAACGATGGCGCTGCAGGCGGCAGGGCTGGGACCGTGGGTAAGGAGCCGCCTTCTAAGCTTGTTAGCACACGTGAAGCTTGCTAGCTTTTGGTTCCCGTCTGAGCTTACCGTGCATCGTCAGTGCTGTCGAATGAGATGTCGAAGGTCGACTGTTGGTATAGCAGCTCTGACGCCTCATAACCAAGTCGATTTCATGCTGGAGCTTGTCGACTTCCAGCATGGCGCAAGCAATCCGCTCCTTCATCATTTCCGTGCTGCTAGACGTATGGGACCGGGCCCTCGACTTGAGGGGGATTCTCGGTGGCGTGTCGCTTGCTGTGGTGGTTGATGGCGACGCCGAAGGCTTTCGGGGTAGGTGGAACGACATGGGCGAGTACTTGGGTTCGTGTGAAGGGCCGAAGACATCGTCATCCGGGTTCGGCTGGAGCCGAGCTGGCGGCGGCGGCGTAATCATGTCGAAGTGCGGCAGGATCGGCGAGAGCTCCCCTTTGGGCATATATATGCTAAGTTCAAGGGGTCTGAATGAGATAGGGCGAGGCCGTGGTAGAGGACGCGGCGGCGGAGTCCGGCCTACGTGTCTGAGGTTGGTATACTGAGGAAATTGAAAAGATTCAGAGTGAAGATGACGAAAGTTAGTGGGGGCCGAGATTTGTAGCCGTCGCTGTGATGGGCCTGAGCGAGATCGCTTTCTCACAGAGAACTGCTCCCGGAGCGATGCGAAACTTCTCCTCATCATTCCTTTCGACCTCTCCTGTAGCCGAGGACGAGGCCCGGGTGGCTTCTGCACCGGCCCAGCAAAAGGCGACGGCATAGGCGCAGGCTGTGTGTAGGTTATAGTAGGTGGCATTTTCTCGTAAATGTCAAGGTCGTCTAAGCGGGTAGGTCAGCAACTCATGGGTGATATATACTCCACGGACCCCAAAGACTCACTCTGACGCAGCTTCTTGTCCTGGTGGGCAGAAAACTGAGCACAGCAACTAGTGAAAGGCGAAAGCCATGTCGCATAGGCGCTTGCAAGCATCCCGCTCAGACCCGTCATGCCTGCTCTAGAAGATGCTTCATGCCGGACAATGCTGGAGGCGGGGGAGGGAGAAAGGGAAAAAAAAAAAAAAAAACCAGAACGAGGGACGACCAGCGATTTGACAAACCGGAAGAAGAGGAAATGCAGGAGGGCGACAAAGCTTAAAGATTGAGCGGCCTGATTTAATTATAATACAAGGTGGCGGATGGCGAAGCTCGAGGGGCAGTAAGAACATAGGCAACGTGATGTGAGAGGAACCCACTTGGGCGTGGACGGCTTCTTTTTACGATGCCCTGGCAGATGGGATCCCAATTCCCACTTTAGGCCAGAGATCTAGCTCAAGTGGTTTGCTTAATAGGTCCAGCTGAGAGCAAAGAGAATAATGGAGGGACAAGGGCATGCCAAATATCGGCGTGGTGTGCAGTCAAGTTGCATACGGGTCGTTCTGATAGGCCGGGGATGCAAACGGGGCCAGACACGGCCGGCCAACCGGCGCTTAGGAAGCTGGGGTGTTGTCGGATTCGGATGGCTGGCGCTACACCCAAATCCTGCACCAGATTGCAGGAGGTCCACCAGTCGTGTAAGATGAAAACGATGGCACAGCGAGTCGATGTCTCACCTCTGCCTTGCTCTGGTTACTCGAAGCGGGCTTGACCAGCAGCAGCTCGCCACAAGTGCCCTCCTTACGGGGAGGGCCGCGTGCCAGGTCGTGAGTCGTCATGGTGTGGTGTCCGTCACCGCCCCTTGTCATCTTTCAGGCCCACGAACTCTGTCGGAAAATCTTGACAAGCAGGGCTACAGCCTAAACGATATCTCGAAACTCAGAATGCGTGTTTCCAAGCAGTGCAGCAAAAACAGACGGAACAGCCAATCCCTAGGCCGTTGCCGTTTGCCTGCCCAAACGGAATCCCGCATTCCCGCATTCCCGGCCGGTGACATGTCCAAACGTGAGCGGACGGGAGACAGTGAGAAGAAGCTATTGGCATATGCATGCAAGGCACCGCAGGTGGCATGGAAGGAGACGCGGGAAGCCTACCTGCGGGTTGGGATGCGTTGTGCCGTCACATTGCCCGTCGTAGCCCCGCCAGTCTCCTATCGCAGGACAGTATCGCCGTTGAAGGGTGGTCGTACGGCGATGGCGAAGCCGATGGACCAGAAATGACAGACGGCGCCGAGTGGATGGGCTCAAGAGAGGGTGGTGGTGTGCACTCACTCCTCAGCTCTGCGTTTCAGTCGGCTCCCTCTTCTTTTCCCTCGGTGCTAATCAAAGCCCCTCGGACAATCAGCGTCACTTGACGTCGGCTATGAAGGTTGCCACCGTGGTGGTTGCAACCGTTCAGCGGATGGAAAGGAGACGTCTCCGGCGTTGGTGATGACTCGAGCCGAACAAAATTAGTTTCCGACAGTTGTAACTTGATTTGTGGCGCAATTCTCGTCATCATCTAGTGTGGACGAAACTGGTGGACAAGAGCTTTCGGCAGAGTTCTTGTGCGACTCTAGCGCAACCAGAATGTCTCGGGCAACACAGCCCGCTACAGTGCGAACTAGGTACAGAGTACGGAGTAGATAGGATGCATACCGTAAGCTTACGCTTATGTAAGGACCGAGACGACACCGCTTACCTCATCGTGCTGGATCATGTGCGACAGCAGGTGACAGTTAAGTAGGTACCTAGGTACATCGAGCTAAAGTGTGATCTGAGCGTCCCCTGTCATCTTATCGATAAAGGTAACGGATGCCGGAGAAAGAGACTGCCGAATATGACAAGGTCCAGTTAAGCCGGAGCACCTGTACCCACCCCTGCATGGGTTTTTTTGGAACAGAAGTGAACACCTGGCTTGCTTGCTGGTCACTTTTGTTCAAAGACCCAGAGCCCACGACCACTGCAACTCCGGCGACCAACCTCACAACCATCCAACAAACCCGGATCTCTCTTTTCGGGCCACTGTTGTCCTCGTCGGATTCCTCCACTCCGCCCGCGGCATCTTGACAAAGGCAACCCGATTCCTCCTCACATAGTTTTATTTTTTACACTCGCCCGCATTCAAGATGTCGATGCCAATGTCTGGCCCCATGCAGATGGGCCCCAACGGGCAGCCCATGCCCTCGCCTGAGCAGATCGCAGCCATGCGCAGACAAATAGAGGCAGACGCTGCAAAGGCCGGGATGACTGTCCCCGACTTCCTCAACCATCTCCGACAGCAAGCTATGCAGCAACAACAGCAACAGGCGCGACAGGCGCAGCAACAGCAGGGCGGCGAGGGCGGCGGCGGAGAGGGCGACCATGAGCATGGCCCTGGCCACCAGCACCCTCACCCTGACCAACAACCACATCAACAGGCGCAGGGCCAGCCTCAGCCCATCCATCCTGGTCCCCCCAACCCCGTTGCGCTGGCAGTCGCCAGCTTCCTGCGCAGCCAGGACCTGAAGCCGCGTACTTGTATCCTCAATGGGGAGCGCAAGGACATGTTCAAGGGTGAGTACTGGGCAATCCCTCTGCGCGTGTTGAGTTATATCATGTTGACGACCAAGTCATAGTGAAGCGAGCACTGCGCGCTCTTCAGTCCCCCGCCTACGAAAAGGCGCGTAAGAAGAACCCCGCTCTTCCCGAGATCACCGACCGTGCCTCTCTCGAGAATACCTTCAAGCTGCTCCCCATGTCGATGCTTGCTCTGCGCGTAGCCAAGATCGACCCGCACGAAGGCCACAACCACGGTCCGAAGAAGACGAAACGCATCAAAGGCCTTTGGACCGTCCGCATTGAACCTCAGCAAGAGGCCAAGGAGGAAATGTACTATGCATGGTTCTGGGAGGGCAGCCAGGTCAAGCGCAAGCTCTACTCGATTCTCGCCCTCGTCCTCATCTTCATTGTCGTTTGCTACCCTCTCTGGCCGCTGAAGCTCCGTCTTGGTGTTTACTACCTCAGTTGGGGATTCCTCGGCCTGCTCGGTCTATTCTTCCTCATGGCCATCTTCCGTGTTATTCTCTTCTGCGTCACCTACTTTGTTGTATCACCCGGCCTCTGGTTGTTCCCCAATCTTTGGGAGGACGTGTCCTTCGTCGACAGCTTCAAACCCGTATGGGCATGGCATGATGTAAGTTGGGCCAACATACCTGGAAACCGCACAATGGATATGCCGCTGACGAATCAACAGACTGCTCCTAAGAAGGGCAAGAAGAAGAAGTCCGCGTCTGGAGCCGCAAACGCTAGTGGCACTTTCGCTGCTTCTACCGGTCAACCTCTTCCGGCTTCTGCGACTACGACCGCGACCGAGACTCAGATTGCATCGCAGCCGTCGCAGCGCCCCGGCTATATCGCGCCAGCCGTGGAGGAGCTTGGTGATGACGAGGAGTAAATTTGTTGTCGAGGTGTAGATTCGCATCACACAGGCGTTGGGGGCTTTGTCGGTTGAAAGGTTGTTCGGGTAAAAATATCCAGCTTTTAGCATGCTGCTGCCGTCTGGGCTCGGGGGAGAGGGGTAAAGTGCCCATCTTGGTACATAGTCTTGGTCAAGTTGGCTCTTCTTAGAGCGCTCAATGGAACAAAAACAAGTTATGGCACCTCTTCTCCCGATGGAGATGACTTATACAGATGTGACCCGGATAACAGCCACAACTACAATGGTAGACGAATCCAGCTGCTCAGGCGCAGGACATATTACTCATATCACTTCACTATACTAGTGGTGTATTTTCTACTGCACCGATCCCTCGGCGCGCTCGTAGTACCAGACAGCGCCCTCCGTTGTCGCGCAGTTGGACACGCGGCCCCCGTTGATGTCGGCGGACACAGGGACGCTTTCACCGCGCTGGGGCTTTCCGTAGACATAGAAATAGTACCAGGCTTCGCTGAGCTGGGTGTATCCATTATCGAGAGAGCCCTTGCCGGCCTCGGTGGTGTTGTACCGGGGGCCGGAACACCCAATGTACGGGAGCGCGCCGTGGCCCTCCTTGAGAGCACCCTGGAGGTCGGCGAGAGAGTAGGCGGTCGCGTTGGAGGGCTTGATGGCTTTGTCGGAAAGCCACTTCCAGGTGGGAGTCTCCTGGTAGTAGTGGACGGCGGTCTCGAGGAAGTCCACAATCTCCTCGTGCTCCTGGTATTTGGGGCCATAGCACTCGACATCGAAGGTGCTGAAGCAGGTGGCGTGCTTGGAGAACTCGTGGGCCCAGAGTACCCAGTTGGGGGTGTACTGGGCGATCCAGAACCTGGAAACTTTCGCATTAGGCTTGGAAACCAGAGTGCTAGGAAAGCGGACCCTTACTTGTTCATGTACTCCAACAGGTCGAACCTCTCGAACGGCTTGACAAATGCGTCGAAAGACGAGCCGTTCCACGCCGGTATCGGGGTGCCGTCCGGCGTCCCAGTTGTGGTGTTGGGGGAGGGGATTGGATCATACTGGCGGCTCAGGTCGCAGTACTGAGTGTAGGAGCCGTTGCAGAAGTCGGGCCACAAGCCGTGAATGCCCCAAGCATCCTGGGGAAGCTTCTGGCCCTCGGACTCGAGACCGGTGTGCGTGTTCCAGAACTGGGTTGCGAGCTACGAAGACGAGCTGTTATTTTCAGGTTCGTTCACATAAACTGGCAAGACAACATACAAGAAGCCCGCCGAATGTCTCCACACAGCAGGTGTCCACCTTGTCAGGGTTCGCTTCAGAGGAGCAGGACAGAACAGGCTCAACTATGGAAGGGAACGTCAGTCAAGTCCACAATGCCCAGTCGACCACCGAGTTCGTACCGAGAGTGCAAGTGTGGTTGGCGGTGCTCAATCCCGGGTAAAGACCGGCAGCAGCGGTGCGTAAGAGGCCGGCGGCCGCGAGGAGAGCAGCCGTCCGAGACATGCTGGACTGGCGCGCCTTGAAAATATTCACGTGAACGGAGAGATCAGAGGTGAAGGCGACGACATGGCGGCACTCATTTTAATTTGCGCAGCGTCGCGACGCTTTATATGAACTCGGCCCTCCATATAGCAAGCTGCCCTCATCCAAGTCCCCACACGGGAAACGGTGTAAACATGCTTGGCCTGAAGAGGAAGCTGGCACGTCGGCTACAAGTGGTTGGACAGGGCATTGTGGGGCTGATATACCGCCTGCTCAAGATACGGGACGTGAGAGGTCAATTTGTCGCGGGGCGATAGTCGATAGTCGGCCGTCATAGTTCGCAGATTCCGAAAGGCGGGAGGTCCAGAGGAGCGGGTGCAGTAGCGCGATGGGACTCGCAGGTATCGGCTAGGGATGGGACGGTCTGCGGTGAACTATTTGGGAAGTATTGCCGTTGTGTTCGGCGAGCTCCGAAGATCAGACTTTTTGGTGACGAAGACAAACAAGAGTTCTAGAAGCCTATGAAGGGTGGGGGCGCTCTCAGGAACCAAGATCCCAAGTTCCCCTGGCCAAGAGGGCAAGCATTAGTGGCTGTGCAGGCCAACAGCAGCTGTGGCGGAGGCTTCTTCTCTCCGGAACACGTGAATAATGGCGGGCCTGAGGAAGCCTCTGCACAGGCCACATCAGTCACCAGCGCCACAGCAGGTGCAATCGTTTCATAATACCTTCCTGCTTCATTCTCAAGCTTGAGCGTGTTGGGCAAGAGTGTCCCAGGGAGTATTTTTTTCAACCACGCACTTTGCCTTCATTCATCAGCGTCCACCGAGGCCACCATCTCATTCTTCTCCGTTCAACCTTGTCGTTGGTATTGTATTGTGCTCAATCATCTCCCCGAAATCTCGGCAATTGTAAGACGATTCTTGGGCCCTCTATCCGGGTGCGAGGAACTCATTCATCTAGCCCTCACCTCACCAGTCAGCCGCCAGGCTCTGTCCCCTACAGTAAGCTGCCTTTCACTTCTCCGTTACCCTTTTATGCATTCTTAGTACATTACCATGCTTTCGTTATGGGAGGTTAGCAATTGACATCAGACGATGGCCATAACGTGGCTCATGCCGTGAGCGATTCACTCACATGGATTCAAGACCGCTTTGCCGATGATTCATCGTAACCAGCAGCGGCCCTGACTTATAGCATAAGCAATCGCTGTTTACTCAAGTCTCTTCCGTTTACTCGTATAGGCGCTTTTTCAGTTGTCATCCAATTGCCAACCATTGCTATTCCTTGCAGGTCAACTAACACCACCCAATAGAGATACCCACAGCCAATCAGCCCGACATGTCGGACGAGCTGCCGGTCCCCGCCGTCAACGGCGATACCGTGCCCGCTCATAAGACCAAAGACGAGCCTCAAAGCGACGCCCCTTTCTCATGGCTGTAAGTTGACTACTTCTTCCCCCCCTTCGAGTCTAACGATTACCAGACAACCCCACCCAACCTTCCTCATTGTGCTCGTCGGTCCCGAGGAGAAACCGTTTGGCATCCACAAAGATTTTCTGTGCGCCAGGTCAACATATTACCGGGAATTTTTCACGAAGCAGGGAAATGCCACCTCGGACACTGTTGAGCACGTGGTGAAGCTCCCTCACACCACACCCGAGGTGTTTGGCTTGATGCAGCTTTTTCTATTCACGGGACAGGTTTCGGAGGAAGTTGACACCTTCCCGTCCTACGAGGCACTTATTGGAGTTTGGAAACTGGGACACGAACTTGGCATCGACGGCCTCTGCGACAAGACCCTTGAGGCAATGAAGGAGTGCAGACGGCTTACTCGGCAGATTCCCGCCACCCCTCTCCTCGTTCAAGTATGGAAGGACACCCCGGAAGGCTCAACCATTCGCAAACTCCTCCTCTCGTGGGCAGCTGAGTACATGCGGTCGTCCGATGCTAGAGCCGAGTTCGCCAAGTCGCTTCCTCAGGAGGTCCTAAGCGAGCTGGTCGTGGCCATGAGCTCCCTTGAGAATCAGCCTTCCCCGCCGGCAGCTCCCGCCGACACAGCCTCCGCCGAGCCCACCCCCCGCAAAAGCGTGCACTACCTGGAAGAGGATAGCGATGATGAGCGAGAGCACCTCTCCAAGAAGAACCGGCGCGCTTCCGCGCCGTTACCGTCCTCACAGAACAGCAGCTCCAAGTCGCTTTCCCGCGCCCCAGCCCCACCAGTACGCAAAGCTGCGGCTGCGGCTGCGGCTGCGGCTGCGGCGGCACCGCGTCCGAAGCCTGTGGTCCAGAAGCGCCGCAGCATCGCCTCGGTGCCTAGCGGTGAAATCAGCACTGAAAGGAAAGTTGAGTTCTGCGCCGATCTCCTCGACAGGATGCTCTCGGGACCTGGTATGTGCTCTCAACCCCATCGGGCGACCGATAATGCAATGCTTATCAAGGTGCTGACCATCACAGGCTTCTGGACCAGACTAGTGGGCCCTTTCAAGGAGCCCGTCGACCCCGTTGAGGATGGCGTTCCCGACTACTTCGACAAGGTTAAGAAGCCCATGGACCTCAACACTGTCAAGGCAAAGATGGCGCGTCATGAGTACCAGACGGAGGATCAGTTTGCCGCGGATGTACGCCAAATCTTCGACAACTGCTACACGTACTGGTCCAAGGGTGACCCCATGTGGGCCGCTTGCGAGAAGTTCCAGAAAACGTTTGAGGAGAAGTATGCGCAAATGCACAAGAACATCTCCAAGATGATGCGCGAGCCGGTCGATTGAAGCATGGTTTTCGACATTCGGCAGCCGGTGGCAGATGGAGCAGAGAATATGGGTTGAGAGCTCTGGGTGTATATCATTCTATGGAGGGACAAACTGGCAACTTTATTGCAATTTCTTTGGGCGGATTGTTAATATTAATAGGAGCGAGATGAGAGCAATGTTATATAGTGCTAGGAGCGTTCGAGTGCGGAGAGCGAGGCGGGGGAAAAGTTGCTTTGGTAGAGGAGAATACCCAGACTGGCCACGGAGCATCGCACGTGCCTTACTTTTACCATATGTATTCAACCAGAAAGAAGTCCAGCAAGGACGGAATGCCAGAATTCTCATCATACTTTCATTTTAAACTTGCCGGGGTTGATGGCATACCCGATATATGCCAAGTGCTGTGTGGTTTGCGACTGCCACCGCCTCGGGCGCCACTAAGTGAATCTTGGGCGACGGTCAAATACGGCACTGGGCACCAACCTGAGCCATGTTATCGCGGCGTCAGGTCTCTCTCTCTCATTTTTTTTTCTTTCTTTTTTCTTTTTCTTTTAATGGCGTCGGCGCCCTAAAGTTCTTGCTCTCGGCCGTCTACCGCTCCCCCCGCCTCTCCGAGACCCGTCGAGGTCAAGCAGTCTTTCCAGGCCGTCGGCTCCGTCGTCGCCCCGCTCCTCGCCGTCCGCGTCTTCTCCCACGCGGAGCCTAACGACTTGTCCAAGGTGCAGTGAACGTACCTCGGCATCGCGGCATCGCGGCATTTGTCTTCCTGTTCGGTAAGCCCCCCCCTGCCCTGCTCTCCTCCGCCTGATAACACGAGCCAGCATCGCAGTTCATCTCCTACGCCATCGAGTCCGTCGGACTGTCGCACCCCCAAGCCAGTGACCGACCGGTACGCCATCGGCCGTTTACGTGTTTGCGCAGAGCTACCGGAAGATGGCAGTCGAGAATCTTGGTCGAGGGAGAGTTGTTGAGGGCATGAACAGTCTCAGATAGGTGCCTCAGCTCCGCGCCTACTACTTTGCAAGTCGAGATAACCATCAAGGGAGAGGGCTCTCGATTTGACAAGGTTTGAAACAACCTCAGCCTCACCTGCCTCAGTTACCAATTCCGCACTGTTTCTCAGATGGACGAGTCTTGTGCGACTGCGCGTCTACCGGGCAGGTTGTATCTACAGAACGTCCTGGAACGCCGTGAACCGTCGTCCGAGGTCCTCGAGAGTCTCGCCATCGCGCTGGTACCATACTCACAGAAACAATGCGACCCGAGGATTCAGGCGGATGACACGGTGAGCGGGCGGGCTCGCTCCGGGTGGCCTTACCGGGGCGCTAACGGGGCGCTAATAAGGCGCGAAGAGAAAGGGAGTGATTGGAATGAGCTGCAACGACTGGTGATGCCCGGCAACTGGTCTCTGGGAACATATCGACAGAACGGAACACGATGAGACATTCAACGGGGCGCGCTAGAGCGGCAGCGGCATTAAGTCAGCTGCTGGCTGTAGCGGACTCAAGCGGCGACTGGCGATCCCTTGGACATGCTTATTCGTGCGGGGAATGTCATTTGGGCTCGTCGGAGATTGAATGTGACGATATGGTCATTGTATAGCGCTTCCCTCATAAAAGCGGCAACGAGGAGGGAGGCTCTTTTGGTTTGCCAAGGGTAGGATCCGGAAGCGAACATTATGTACTCTGTACAATTTCTTTCCATAGGTATTCGCTCGGTGCATTGCACCATCGGGAGCGCCGGGGGGGGTGGAAGAGGTGGGAGAGATGGAAGAGACGCTGCCATTTCATTCGCCCTCTTCGCCGCAACGCTGAGATAAGTAGGTAGGTAGGTACCTACGGATACACTACGTTTAAACACTGAGCCCGGGGAAGGGAAGGAAGAAGAAGAATAAGAAGGGGAAGAAAGAGGCTCGGATAAATGGGCGAATCAGCGTTTGGAAGCCACCTGAAACGGCGTTCGATGGTTCGTCAGATGGCCAAGCCGGTGGGGCGACTGCAGAGGATCCTACTCTTGTTCCAGCGATTGGCGGCGGATGATGCACATCTGGGGCTTTTGACGCTGCAAGGTACCCGATGATAGCGCTAATCCATATCGGGAATAGCGACACCCGCATGAAAAGCACCGGTCCAGTCAAAAGCCCGGTCCTCTACTCTCTTTTGGGTTCTGCTTGCTATGCGCCGAGCACGGCCCATATCTCCTGAGATTTGAGCGAGGAAATGCTGAGATTGGTAGAGGGTCGGGCTTGGGCTCATTTCCCAGGAATCAAATGGTCTCACGCTTTGGACATAGTATGATCGTCGACTCTGTTGTATAGGTAGATACTTACTCTGTACTACGACGGGTACATGTTCCCCGGGCCAACAGGGCTCCCTACCTCTCTCTCTCTCTCTCTCTTGTATCCCGGTGACGGTCAACTGTCATCTTGTGGGCTCCGTCTCTCCACTATGTCCAGGCAGGCCCCCCCTGAAAGTTCGCCAGGTCCCCGATGGCATCGTGGAAGCATTTGTTCTCTCTGTCTGTTTGGAAATGACGGTCAGCGAAGTCGGGCCACCGCTGCGGTACCACGAAAACTGCTGCTGCTGCTGCTGCTGCTGCTGTGTGGCTTGTTTGCATCGCACGAGAAAACAGATTCATGGGTTCGCATAATGGATCGACCCAGTTCATCACCCTGCTTTCTTCTTATCCTCAGCCACTTGAGACACTGCCAACGGGTCTCAGTGCCACCCTCTCTAAACAGTCCAAAACAGGAGGAGTTGCTTCAACTGGCCCAACCGTCCTCCCCCGGCCCTGGGAGCGGTCTGCCCGGGCGGCACAAGGACTGGAGAGAAGTTGGCCCGAAGCGTCGCCAGATCCCCAGGGTATCGCGGCTGGCCCTGTCGTACCAAGCGGCTCCAAGTGGTCGACGACGAGGCAAATGAAATTAAAAGGAGGATCCTGCCGAATCGGTGCTGAGCGCCCACCGCAAACCCATCGTGCCCATCCTCTAGACAGCCCGGGTCCTCCCTGCACCTTCTGCCCCGTCCCAGAGACCGGACCGTGCTACACTTCGCCTGTCAACACCCCCCCGACTCCTACAGTCTCCCCATGTCCTCCTCTGCCTTTTTCGCGACCTCTCTTCCCACTCTTTCTCCCCACTTCATCTCCTGTCTTTTTCGCTGTCCCTCGTTTGGCCTCTGCTGACTCCCTGCAACACCCCCCTTCGCATAGTCGCGCGCTTTTTAGGTCAGGCCCCTCCAACACAGTCTCTCTTTTTACCACCTCTTCGCCGTCGTCGTCCTAGTCGTAGTCGTTACGAAATCTGCACTCGAGTACTCGTACTTCTCTCGTTCGTCGATACTCTACGTCGTCACCGTCGTCGGTCCACGCTCATTCCATACACTTGCAATCGCTCACCAACACGCGACCATCCATTCGTTCGCCTTTCCAGCTCTCAACGCTCACCCGACTGACCGACCAACCCGTTCCGATCGCTATCCATCAACCCCCCGTTTTCGCAATGCAGATCCGCTCGCTCGCCTCTCTCGCCTACGTGGCCTTCGCCGCCCAGGCGTTTGCGCAACAGACCAAGGTTTTCAAGCGCAGCATCACCTTCGGAAGGGACTTGGGTTTCATGCGCCGCGCCGACGGTGGCTACCAGCCCGCTGACGAGCTCTGCAACAAGGGCGGCAACACTTGCGCCGAGGCCTGCGGTGGTGGCTACCAGCAGTGCAAGTCCACGGATCAGGCTGTCCACTGCTACAACCCGGCCGCCGGAGAGACTTGCTGCTCTACCACGTCCGGAAGTAAGTCGTCTTCGCGCGCATGGCATTGCCTCGTCGCGTAGTCGCTAACATGATTGTCCAGACTCGTGCCTGTCGTCTTTCTACTGCACCCACGACCCTAAGGCCGACACCATCTGCTGCCCCAACGGCATGAACCTCGGCGACTGCGCCGCCCAGCACGGTGTCGCCGGTGCTCTTACCTCGGACGTCCCCGTCCCCACCACCACCTCCGTTCCGTCCACCAGCCAGAGCAGCACCGTGCCCCCGACCACCAGCTCGGCGCCGCCCACCACCACCACCAGCTCGTCCGTTGTCGTCACCACCACCACCAGCACCTCCAGCAACACCAGCACCATCGTCTCCACATCCGAGGTCCCCACCAGCACAGAGGCCCCCACTAGCTTTTCCCCCAGCGCCGGTACCAGCACCGCCTTCTTGGCTCTTAACGCTACCACCCTTGCCACGGGGTCCGCCCGTACAAGCGCGAGAAGCACCCTGTTCCCCTCGGCGGCCGCCACAACCACGGCAGCCTCCGCTCAGAGTGCCGGAAACAGCAACGGGCCGGCCGGCATGGCCGTCATCCTTGGTGCTGCTTTTGTCGCTGCCCTGCTCTAATAGTTCGCGACTGACCCACCTGGAAGCGCTGGACGGGCCATTGGCACTAATCTCACACCCGCCACTGCCCGACCAGCGTGCCATGCGTCACGAGTGTAATGAAGCAAAGCAGCAAGCAGTATTGGACATGGAGGATTCCTGTGCTCTGTTGGGATGTTAATGTTGGCCGGCTTTTTATTTCATTTTGAGAAGCTTATGATTCCCCCGATCACCTGAACGTATGGAGCGGTTTGATGTCACTTATTTTTGTTGTACTTTTCTGCAGTGGTGTTCCTGAGCGAGAAACGAAGACGCACAAGGAGAGGCAAAGACAAAAGAAGGAAGGCTTGGTGACATTTTTGTTCGAAACAGCGTTATATCCCCGTTGTAAACAAAGTTTTTTTCATTTATATTTTTGTTGTTTACCTCTTTTACTGTATCTACGAACCCCCCCACCCCTTCTTGTTCGGGTCAAGGCTGAGGCCGTGTGACGTATCGTTCCCGGCTTCGAGCTCTCACCTTCGACCCCCCCAACGAGTAGCATAAACCCTAATATTCTCCCAACAATAACATCACGGCATTGCACGCGCTTCGCTTGCCGACATGATCGGTTGACTGATGTGATGTACTGGGTCTACGAAGGGCTGGGCTGTATGCTTATCTTCGGCCGGCTCGCAGTTATTCGCCTATGCCAAATGCCAAGTTCGAACAAGAAGAAGAAGAAAAAGAAGAAGAAAGAAAGAAAGAAGAAAAGGCCCGATTTCTCGGTGATGAAGTCGGGGGGCATCGGCGCCCACTCGGGGCAGGAGAAAGTCAACAAGGGGGGTACGACGGCGCGAAGGAAAAAAAAAAGGAAAAAAAAAACCAGTTGCGGGGCCGGGCGACGAACATGAGCGCCGAATGCGGGGCCGAGAGCGGACGACCCCCCGGATTAGAGGCTTGAGTGACGGGTTGCATTTTCTTCTTTTGTTCCCTCTCCCCCACGGGGAACGGGCGTCCCGTTTGTCTTTCGGCTTCCGTCGGTTTCTTTGTCATTTGCACTGTCCCCCTCCCCCTTCCGAGAGAAAGTGTACCGAGGGCGCCAGAGCAAATCACGGTTGGCAAATTTGGCACAGCGGAGCCTCAAAAAGGAGACGACATTGAAAAGATGGTGATTACGCGGGCCTGCTAGCCAGGTGGATGAATCGACACGCGACCGGGTATCATAGGTGATGCGCTCTACTCTAAAACAAGGTGCCTGCCTATTTTTATTTCACTTTTCCCTGGGGGCTTTTTTTCTTTTTCTTTTTTCTCTCTTCCTCCTATTTTTTGCCTACTTTTCCTCCCGCCTGAGCCCCTCATTCCAAGGCCGCCAGAACTGGTTTCTAAACGTCGGCATGCACTTGACCATCTCTGGCGGCTCGAGCTGCCAGTTGATGCTGGGCGGCGTCCCCGAGTTCTCAATCACCGTCCACGACGAGGCGAATCCCCTCTCTTCCTTGATCTGTCTGCCGTCCTTGACGTTGTACGCCAGGCTGACGCTTGGCACGACAGCGATCTTGCCGTAACCCAGATTCCACAGGTCTTTGCACAGAAGCGTCGGTTCGCCCGTGTGGCACTCGCCAGGGTACGACCTCCGGAAGTCTAGCTTCTTGCTCAGGAAGGGCTCGCCCGTCATCGCGACGCCCCCGTTCCAGCAGGCAAACACTTGCAGCGGCTTCCGGCTGAGGTAGCGGTCTTGGGAGTACGGGTGATTCCAGAACATGTTGGCGACGTCGCTCCACTGCTCTCCCTTGGGGGTCCGGTCGGGGATGGGTAGGAATGTATCGCCGTTGATGGTTCGGGAGATCCACGAGTCGTAGAACGAGGGCTCCCCGTTGTGCGGGGCGAAGCGGAGGAAGTGATAGTCCATCGCGCATGTCATGTCGGCCCCTTGGACCTGCTTCTGGTACGCCAGCTCGAGTACGTCCTCGGTGCAGGCGGCAACGTCGTTGAGGAAAACAATGGTGGCCTTGGGATCGTAGGCGCTGGCCTCTGCCATCATGGGCTCCAGAGCGAGGTTCCGGAGCTTGGCGAGTTTGCCGATGCGGTCACCGCTGTGGGAGTCGATGTTGCTAGTCTGCAGGTAGTACGCAATCCCCATCTTGTCCATGTGGGCTTTGAGACGGTAGAGGGTCTCGTAGGTGCCGTCGGTCGAGATTCCCTCGACAACGGAAAGGGCACAGTTCTCGGGCCCGATAACGTTCATGGCTTCCAGGACGGCGCCAATGAGCTGGGGCAGTAGATCTCTGACTTGTCGCAAGTCAAGCGCGAAGAAGTAGTGGCGCTTATCCATGTTCTCGGTTGGGCGCAGGACCCCATAGCGAGTGACATTGGGCGAAGGACAGTTGACGGTGGGGAAGCCGCCGTTCTTGGGGTCCAGGATGGCTTGCACGTACTGGCTTGCTTCGCCAGTCTTGTCGGGACGGCCTTCGTACAATGCTGGCTGGACCCAATTGGGTGCCGAGTCGTTCATCCAGCTGCCGCCATATTCTACGAGATAACTAAATCAGTACATGCCGATGCTTATGGCAAGTTGGGCTCGACTTACGTTCTGCGGTCCAGGGAATTACGAAGTACTGGACAAGGGGTTGGTGGAACAGCAGAAAGAAGCCGGTGATCAGGATGAAGACGATGATGGCGATGAAGGGCATGCGAAGCCGTCTCGGATTATGAAAGTTGGCGATCATGATGCATGTACCGGTCGCCCCGCAGAATTGTGTATATACCGAGCTGGTGTGGAGAGAGAAAACGAGAGGTTGAATGCAGCCGTGCCTCTTTCAATACCCCTTAACGCCAGAGATGTAGGGAGAACGGCCAAGCGGAGATGCAGGCCGACACACACAAAGACAGGCGTAAACCAACGAGGTTGATCCTTCAAGGTTTTCGATGGGATTGGGGATTGCTAGCTCTCGTGCGACGGATGAGAAGATGCCAAGGCGACCAGAATGAGAAGAAGCAACAAAGTTTGGTGTAAGAGGCGGGGGGATTACAAGCTCATATCTGCTCTTAACAGGGAGGAGCACTGGTGCCAAGCTAATGGTCAACCTAAACCTCGTGGCGGTTCGCGGGCCCTGATCTGTGTCTGAAATCGGGCGAAATGGTAGCAGAGAAGGAAGGGGTAGAGGTAAAAGAATAAAGAAAGTTAGGGCATGACCATCGAGCAAGAACGGGCGGGCGTGGCTATAGTTGGGTGTGGCGATGTCGTTGTCGAACGCAGGCAGGACAGGTGAGAACAGGTCACGGATGGCCGAGAACGGCGTTCGTAGATGGGAGAGATGGTCTTCCCGCTGACTTTCCGTATGGAATTGTTTGGGAGACGAGATGGAGCCCCGAGCGAGACGAGGCGCAGCGGTCCAAGAGTACCTCGGTAGCCTTGGGTATGTAGGTAGGCACATAGGGCAGGTAGGGCAAAAACAGAATGACGAGTTTGGGGAAGAACTCGGCAGGCAGAAGGGTGAAAAGAAAGTACATACTGTGCGGTGAGCACCTTCTTTCTTTCCTTCCTACCTACCCACCTACCCGCCTACATATGCAGCTAACTTTAGAAAGAACGGGGGAGAGGTAAACTCAACTCGCCCTGCGGGTTGGACGCGCCTGCTTTACACAAGTTGCACAGTTTAGTTAGGTAGTTCCCACTTGCTCGTCGTCAGTCAGCATGGTCCAATTCTGTCTCTGCTATGTGTCAAAAATCGGCCGAGTGCGCCTCAAGATGCACGCGTACTTTACCCAGCGCCAGGGTACCTACGTCAATGTATCCGTACAGACACTACCTACCTACCTACCTACCTACCTTTGTACAATGTATGCTGCCTATTTCCTGTGCAAGAAGGACAGAAAAGGGGAGGGAACGGGCCCGGTTCTGGCGCCAGCAGTTTGATAATGGCTCATCAGCGCCCACTAACATGACAGCCTCCCCTCACCTCACCCACTTGCGCTAGCACCACGAGCGCCTTCGACACGTCCCCGGCAATGCGGCAACCTGTGTGTTTACACTCCACCGTCTACGACCAACCATGTTGTCTGCCCAACGTCGCCGCCATCCTCCGTGCAACCTACCTAGGACTCGAGACGCGTGGGAGGTATGCGGTCTGGCCTGGTCTGGTCTGGTATGTCTGTGAGCGCGGGCGAGTACATACATACAATATACACTACACACACCATTCCCTGAGTTCCACGTCCTTCGTCGCGACATGTTTCAGTTTCTCAAAGTTCCATGATCCTTTTGCTTCCGGGCTCAGGCGGCGGCATTCCTTGAGAAACATCTAATTGATGGACTGTCCATACGAATAATACGCATTCGATCGGCACCACTTTTTCCTGCACGCATTCGCCAGAACTCTCAGGGGTCCCTCAGATCCCAGTGTAACCAGAAAGGGGACCGACGATGGTACTGGCACTTTGCAGCTGCCTTAGGTTAGGTGGTTTGGGCCTAGTAGCTGCCGCCACGCCCCGTACGCCAGCTGACTGACTGGTCGGTAGTGTCCAAGTTGCATGCCTACCTTAGGTAGATATGTATCTGTCTGTACGGATACACAAAAGGCACCGGCGAGACTTCTCAGACACGCTGCGCATATACATTCAACCCAGTCCAAGGTCCCGGCCCAGTCAAACACAAATGTTTCCGTCCGTCTGTGCCGACTTCGCATGGGTCAAACAAGCCCGGAGCCTCAGCGCACGCGAGATGAGAGTGGGCTAGGTACCTGCCAATGCACATTCCTTAAACCTTCCGCCCCCAGACATGAACTACTTAATCTACTAGTCCCGGCCCGTGCTCTGCTAGTACATGAGGGAACAGAAACACGCTCGCTCACTGCCTAGGTACCTAGGTACAGCGTCGACTTTCTCGTTCACTACCCAAGGTATTAATCCGAATGCGGTCTCTCACTCTGCAAATAGTGTAGATACTGTCTTCCTCTGTCATGGTGTGTGTGATCGCTGCCGGGCTGTCTGTCCCCACCTTCCCCTGTCCTGCTTCCGAGATCTTCGCTCAATGCGACCCAACCCATGTGCGGCATTGACTAGTGTACCGGTAGCCACAGACGCGACGACAACGACGACGGCCACGAGAATCTGTCTCTAAACCCCCCTTCCCCCCCCCCCCCCCCCCCCCCTTTTTATATATATATATATATGATGATATAGCTGCGATCCCCCCTTTGACCTGGCTGGCCGCGCGCTGCCCATCGCCCGACTTTGCTTGCTACGGCTTGGCTCATCACTCAACTATTTGGTTCTGTGAGGGGGGAGGGGGAGGGGGAGGGGGGGGGGGCACATGTCGAAGTGACATCTGACAACCTCCCGAGCAAGCCAATGAGAAACGTTTTGCCCGACCTGCGGTCCTCTCTGCTCTGCTCTGCTCTTGACAGCCTCGACCGTACGCTTTTTTTTATTGCTCGTCTCCCCTCCTCGTCAGGTGGGATACCCTTTCCAGCCCGCTCTGACGCTTTTTGTCGAAATCGTCGAGTCTTCGGCCCTTGGGCCTCTCAACGATCAATGCCACCGGTTCATGCGAAATGATGCAACAAAGGAAAGAGATGAACAGCTGGAGTCGACCGCCTGAATTCCGGCAACCCCCCCTTCCCCATACCCAGAAAGGCGACCATCCACTCGCTTGCTTGATCTTAATGTCTTTCCGCTGCCTCGAGTGAGAGATCGAGCACGAGACCGACGGTGGTTCAGCTCTGCGCCCTTTGTCGACCACAACCCGGCCGCGAGACACGCAACATAGTGGGCACACCTGGAAAACGAAACGGTCTCGTTCAATGTTTGTCGTCTCTAGGTCTTGAGCAGCTTAGCCACTCTTTTCGCAACGCTGTCCTCAAATTCAGTCACACCACCCTCTACGCGTGACAAGACCCCCGCCCTCAATTTGTACACAAGCCGTCGCCTAGACACCGCTTCCTTCTCGTCCTCTTCTTCGCTGTCGACTTCCTCGGCCGAGCCTTCGACAGCCCCGCGCATGAACCATCGGTCGTGGCTGACGAGGACCACCGCCCCTTCCCATTCTCTGAGGGATTCCCGCATAGCCGTGACGGTCTCGTAGTCGAGATGGGTCGTCACCTCATCGAGGATGAGGCAGTGCGGTCTCCGCCAGAGGAGCCGCGCGAGTTCGCATCGCACGAGCTGGCCGCCGGACAGCTTCCCGAGGGGTGTGTCGGATGCAACGCGGCCAGGCAGACCGAGACTGCCCAGGATGCCACGGAGCTGGCCTTCGTCCAACTCCCCGGCGACCTCTTCCGTGAGCAAAGACAAGGCCGTCACGGACAGGTCAGCCCGGCCTTTGTCTTGCAGAGCTTCGACGGCATTCTGTGAATAGTACCCAAGCCTCAGCCGAGGGTGCGTCGTCACTGTGCCGGATGTGGGCTTCGTCTCGTCGACAAGAAGCTTCACAAGGGTCGACTTGCCCGCTCCGTTCAGACCGAGGATACCAACGCGGTCGCCCATGTGGACGGAGAGGTTGATGTCCTGCAGCACAGCCGGCACCACCGGTTTTGCCCTGCTCCCGGCAACGGGGTAGCGAAACGTCGCCTTCTCTATCGATAAAAGAGGTCCAGGAAACCGGAGATCTGGTGGCTCCGGCAAGGTGAGGCTCACTGGTCGCTCATCCTGTGGGATATCGATCTCGTCTCTGGCTGTCAAGTGGAAGCCGGCGAGATCACGGTTCAGCTTGAACCGGCCGCCCTTGGAGCTGACCTGAAGACCCCAGCGGTCATCGAGCTTCTTCTGACGGGATTTGGCTTGTCGAAGCTTGTTCAGATCATCGTGCGCTTTGCCTGCCTTTATGTTGTTGACTATGCTCTGCTGTATATGGGCCTTCTGCTTGTCCTGGGAGTCCTTCATCTTGGTCAGCCACATCTTGCGCTCCGACTGCGACGCCTCGTAAGTTGGCAGATCGCCGTGGAAGTAGGTCAGCCCCTTGTCCTTTAGGATGAGAAGGTCTGTGCAAAGCGTGATGAAGTTTCTGTCGTGCGAGACGAGAATCAGCGTCGGGGCATCATCCACATCTTGGAGGGACTCTAGATGGCGCTGAAGCCAGATGATGCCCAGCAGGTCGAGGAAGTTGGTGGGTTCGTCGAGAATGAGAACGTCCGTCTCTTGAAGCAGCGATATGGACAGTGCGGTCCGCATCATCCAGCCACCAGAGAGGCTTGATACCGGCTTCGACATGTAGGCTTCGGTGAAGCCCAGGCCGGACAAAATACGCTTGGCTTTGGACTCGATCTCGGCCACCTTGGAAGGCTCAATCTGCAACTGGAGATCTGCCAACATGTCCAAGGCTTCTTGTGTCTCCGTATCGAGAGTCTCGGCCGAAATCTCATCCTGAGATTGCTCCATACTGGTTCTCGCATAAGCAAGCTCCACGTCAGGCCAATAAAGAGGGAGAGGGGGGGGGGGGCCTACATTCTTTGTGACTCGGCAACTGTCTTTTCAAAGGCCCTGAGGGCCTTCCTTGCCGCCAGACCTCTGTCTCCGCTACGTAGTCTCGCGTTCTTGTCCTCTCGGAAGAGGCGCTTCTGGTTTCTATCATGGCGAACTGCGCGGATGGCACGCACGGGGCCGTACGGGTCGGTGCTGTCGATGCCATCGGATAAAGCTGAGAACAGTCAGTCACTATCGCTCAGGCGTGCACGTGGGATCGCACCCCTGATCTCTTGCTCTATGTGCGACTTGGCAGTCGCCTGCTCAATCACATGCTGCAGAACATCGCGACCTTGGCCAGATTCAGCTATATCGGTTGGGTGCTGGCTGGGACGTAGGTCTGAGTTGACATCGGTTAGGTTGGTCTGCTGCAGAAGAGAAATTCGAGTTGTCTCGGGTATGCCCGGAATCAGCTTCTCGGCGATAGCCTTGAGAAGTGCTGGGCACGGGTCAACATGCAAACAAACAGGCACGACCGATGCTCTCTGTTCTTACTCGACTTTCCAGATCCATTTCTTCCGACGAGTGCATACCGCTGGCCGGCCTTTAGACGCAGCTTGGCGTCGACGAGGATCTCGGTGCCTTCGCTTCGGGCTTTGGCCTTGCCCTTTGAGCTGGACTTCCCAGCCGAGGCGACAGTGATGTTGAGGCCATCAATGTCCAACTACGTAAGAGCGGCTCAGCTGTCTGCGACGACAAGACGGTTTGGGCAAGGTAAAGTGGGCACGTGGGATACCTCGCGAGGGTCGGCGTTCTGGATGTTGAAGCGCGTCTGCTTGCTGGAACAAAGGATCGTGACCACAGATTCGGAAGCTATCGACGTCATTGCTGGATAGGTAGGATTGCAATCGTTGAAACAATGTAGGACGCTATAAGAGCACGTCGAAACTGAAATGGCAAGCAGCTATAATTAAGTTCTCAACTTCCTGTATCGACACAACAACGCCTTAGCCTTAGGCCTATGGTACTGCAAAGCCCGAGAGGATACCCCAGATATTAAATGGCCCTTGAGAAACTACCTAGGGCCTCTATCTCCTCGGGGATCAAGAGAGCTGGTTGGCGTTTAATTTGGTGGCGTTGCACCTCCTCGCTGTAGCACAGGTACGGATACAAGTAGGTACAATAGGTTGTGGTACGTACTTGTTTCCCTCTCTGCAGGACAGCCGAGACTGAACCCGTTCCCCACCCTGACTTATGCCGAGTGACTCACGCCGAATACTGGACGGTGCACTTCAAGACATACTGGCCGGGTACGGGAGTCTTCCCCGAGGCCACCCCGTCTCGTCGGCGTCGCAACGACCGGGATTGACTCAACGCTTCCCGGTCGCTGGCCCCCCCTCGACGTGTTCGCCCAGACGCCAAGCGAACGAACCGTGTCGGCTGAAAAATGGAGGCGGACGAGGCAAGACTGAATCTGTCTTTCACCCCCTTCCCTCTCACAACAATGGGAGCGACTCCAGGAACGCCCTTGTTTCCTTGGCGTAGCGTGACTGCGCGTCCGCGATCTCGTGCACCGCCAGCTCCTTCCTCGCCCACCGCCTCGCCGCGCCGAACTTGCCGGACCGCGACGCCGCGTACGCCGCGTACTTGTACGCCTTGACGAGGTAATCCGACAGCCCGACCTCCTCGACGAGCCTCACCAGCTTCTCGGCGTCCGGCTGCACGTCCCTGCCAAAGTCGGTCCTCCCGAGCTCCGCCTCGATCACGCCCATCAGCCGCCTCATCTCAACCCTCTGCTCGTCGTCATCCCGCGCCTCGCACGCCGCGCAGTCGCACGTGAACCCCCACTGCGCGAGCCGGGCCCGCCTCTCGTCTGTCGTCTGCGCCAGTGGCGCGTAGGTGACGGTAACCTCCTCGCCGGCGCGGATGTCCCGCGCCGCATAGACGATCCGCCTCGCCGGCCCTTCGTCGCCGCTGCCGCCGCCGCCGCCGCCGACAGTAGCCGCCCCGGCGTTGGGCCGGCACGAGTGGTTCACCTTGGCGACGCGCGGGAAGATGCCCACGGTGCCGCCGGGCATCGTGTACGCGTTGGTGCGGAAGACGAGCGCCTCCCGGCTCCACGCGGCATCGGCCTCCAGGTCGCGGTGCTCCGGGCACGAGAGGAACTCGGCGCGCGCCGTGGCGTTGAGCGCCGCGAAGGCCTCGTCGACGGCCACCGCAATGGCGGCGAAGGAGAAGCCCTGCCCGCTGACGAGGCTGCCGGGGTCGATGGTGAAGAGCGGGCTCTCGTCGAGGATGCGGGTGCCCGCTTGTATCGTTTGCAGGGCGAAGACGCCGAGGCCCTTGCCCAGCGAGGGCTGGACCTCCCAGAGGCCGTCGTCCGATCTTAGGCCTGTGATGAGGCTTGAGCTTAGATGGCCGCCGACGGCAGTGACAAATGTAGGTATGATTCATTTGGGGGGGGGGGGGGGGGGGGGGGAGGGTAGAGAGAGGAAGGGATGGTCGGAGGTGCTCGTACCAGTTCCGAGGCGTATGCGGGCCTCCTCGAGATCGCCAAGACCGTCCGGGATGCTCCCATCCGCGGGAGAGAAGCCATCCCCGAGGGCTTCGACGTAGGTTTTGTTGATCCCCTTGGCAAGCGGTCCCGATACGCAATTGCGCTCGCGAATCTGTGCCGCCTCGTCGATCTCGGTCAGCCCAATGTCGAGCACGCTCTCGCCGCCGTCGCAAGCGAGGGCGACGGCGAGGCATGTCCATGCGAGGACACCGGATGATCGCATGGCCAATGTGCTGCTCCCTCCTTCCTTCTTTTCTTTTTTCCTTTTTCAAATCGCGCGGGTGATCCTCTGGAGCTTCACCGTAGTTCAGACGAAGTTTTCGGGTTCTAGTCGTCCGGGCGGAGTCTGCAGCGTGTGTGGCGGACGCGAGCTTTTTCCCACGGGATGATGGTGTGTGGTGGCGTTTGGGAGACGAGACGAAAAATAAAGATATGGCCACGGGCTCCCCACGCCGCGTTGTGCATTTTGGCATACCTGGGCTGGCTGGTTGGTGCCCGTGGGGGAGGGGCGACGCAGAGCTCGAAACGGGTTTGCTGTCACAGGATCGTGTCACCGCGACCGTGGCGTTCCAGGGATCGTAGCGGCACGATGAAACACGCAGCTCCTTTCCACTCTCCCTGGGGCTTGCCACATTCCCCGGTTGCCCAGCGCTGCAATAGTTTACAAAAATGTAGCGGACTGCTGTGAACCACTCTGATGATGTTGGATATGGAATCGGTTTGCTTTATTCTTCCATCACCGTACGTGGGATAACAGAAACAGCGTTGTTGATCGAGGCCCCCACCCCCCTATACCGCGTAATTCTTCACTGTGAGGGGAGATCGCCCAAGTCTTGGACGGGGGTGTCGTGTTTCGGCACCTGCTGGGTTGCACCCCTCAATCGGGCCATCTGCCTGCACTGCACCGAAAGACTTGTTGGTACATCCGTATGTACTTGGCGTGGTAGCGTGCCGTATAATCAGCAACAGAAGCCTCACCCGGCGCCTATCGGCCCCGTAAATTCCGTACCGGGGCTGACCTGCTCCGCAACGAATACGGATCCGCATGCCGTCCATCCCAACGCGTGACGACCTGTCCCCAAGCCCTATAAGAGGCTCCTGTAGTTTATTCCCACTAACTAAAGTACTTTGTTCATCCCATTCACCTATCTTCACCCTTGCTTGCCATCCGTTTACCCCTTTAGAGCATCCTGCTGCTTTCGCCTCTACCAGACGTCAAGCTCGCGTCCATACATGGGCAGAGTGCTATAGTCAGTGTTTCAGAGAAACCGATGGGTTGCACCGAGATAATGTAAGCCCCAAGATATCGTCTCAGCATAGTGTTGTGGTAAGATACGTCTAAAAAGAAGTTGCTGGTAGGATTTAAACGTCAAAGATCTCACTTCTGGAGGATGGAGTTGCATTGGCTCTGCTTAATGGTGGTCTTTTTTTTTTTTTTTTTTTTTTTTTTTTTTCACTTTGGGCCTGAAATTTGTCTCAGGTACCTTGCGGCGCTAGATATTGGCATCCGGATCGATGAATTGGACATTGCATGGTCCGCCTCGACTTCCTAATGGACTGGGACTTGGTGTTTGCGGGCTTCCAAGCAACACTCATTTCAGATAGAGACTATTTGGGACAATACTGACAAGACTGGACTGCTGCCTCAGAGACCTTTTCACGACCGATATCAGGGACTGTGGTGTGATCAACAACAAGCCAATACTTGGTGATGGCCAATCAAGGATTAGACGTACTTGGCCATGGGTTAGAGTCAGAAGGAAGGGAAATGAACTAGGCTACCGTATTCAGCCATTTCTCGCCAGGACCCAAGATGCCGAATTGCTCACGCTACGGACCATAGAGAGTAGGTTACTAGAGAAGCCTATCACACCACACATTTGTCTTTCGCATCGCATTTCACCTGATGAACAAGTAGCCTAACGCGATGATATTGGGTAGCTTGTCTGAAAGCACCTATCGGAATAGGTCATCATTGCCGTATAGAGCTTCAACGCACAGTCGAAGGCTATATGCTTTTTTCTATACATATCCGTAGTCCTTAAACTGCCATAACTGATATTCATCGGAATGCTAGAAGAGCTCGGCGATGCAGTGAGCCCGAAAGTCTAGGGTTTAGCTGCAGATTAGGGAACAAGTATGCCGATTGGCTGTATGCCAGCTTGTCAGTAGAATCGTTCCTCATCCTGAGTACAAGTAGAAAGTCTCACTGCTTCGCTCTCTGTCGAGAAGAGACATCCTGATTATCATGCTGAGTAGGTTGCACGCCTAGATGGGCTCCAATACCCGGACCTGTTCAGTTTTATCACCTGGTTTGTGGAGCTATTCGTGACCGACAGCGGCCACATCATGGCAATGAAGAGCGACATAGGTGGGCAACCATGGCTCTTAATGGCAATTGATGACGGTCGACGGTTTCTAGGAGGAAATATTGGAAGCTTATTAAAACCTAAGTGAAAGTGTGTCTCAAGTGGGTGGGGTTTGCTAGAGTAAGTTCCGACTTGATTGTGTGTAGTCTGTAGTGAAAAGACTACTGTTGTATGTTTTTTGCTCCTTTTAAAGAAACATGTCTCTTACAATATAATCATCTTACCAACTGGAATCACCACATACGACCATACCTACTGGAGAACTCGGGATCCCGTCCGCTCTCCCATAGATAAGCCAGTGAGGGCCGGATTAGTAGTTGGGTCGGTGACGACCAGCGAATACCTGGTGTTGTATGTTTTTGGTCCCTAACCTTTTTATAAGGTCTTTCCCATCCGTCTGCCGAAACCGTGTTTTGCTACCGTTTTCTAACCTAGATTATGCCCTGCCCCCTCCCCCCCCTCCCTACCCGGCTTACCATTATCATTCTCCTTTTATATCTTCATTGTGTTCCCCAGAAGCTATGTTGAATGCGACAACAATTCCAAGTGATGAAAACAATAGCCCGGTTCTTCTCCAAGGCTCTCAGAAGACCTGCATCAAACCAAGGGGATCAATGGCTTGAGAAGAAGGGCGGAAGAACTATGTCACTCCTATGGCCTCCAAGGTTATTCTCGATGGGCTCATTGAAGTCTGACACCTCTCTTGTGTAACACCAACTGATGCAAATCTCAGCTATTATCGCAGCCCAGTACCAGGATTCATTAAAGGGGTTTCCGTTTCCATTTTCGACTGAGGAAGTTTCAGATTCACTGATATAGAAAAAACCAATTGGAGGAATAATGAGACGAGTCGGTCCGTAATGAGCGTTGGACAGTTCGTAGCATCGGCAAACAGCTTGGGGCCCAACATATCGATTCGTCATTTCGTCTTGAACCTAATAACAGTACTGGTGTACGACCGTCCAAGATGTTCGTCGCGTGAGTCAGCAACACTTGAACTCATGCCCAACGGCTATCTCAAAGTTCTTTTTATAGCGTACCGACGTTTACTCCGGTCTAGCTATTGATAATAATTTAGAGAAAGAACGCAAGAAGCTGGTGCTATGGTAAAAGAGCCCCATACTCAGAGCCAGCCTTTTGAGCCTAAAAGGTACGAGACGTACGGGCAGACTTGATCCAGCTACATCAGGACTTGACCGAACCGAGTAGTTTAGTCCCGATATCTCAGAAAGACATGGAATAATGCTTTAATGCAAACAGGGATACTGGAAATTGAAGCATAGTCTAAAAGTCCCGGGAATAGACTCTTCAAGACAGTCGTGTCGAGTGCCCCAAGCAGAGCACCACAGGGTGGACAGACCGGGTCCCTCGACGACCACGCGGCTACTGGAACCTCCATGCCGGGCATCCGCACACAGGTTAGGTGGTGTCAAGGAGACAAGACCCAAGACTCGCCCCCAAAAGAGCCCGGCTTGTGATGTTGCTTCTTCGAGTTGAAGATGAGATGTCGAGCATCCTCGGGGCAGGAAGATGATCTGGGAGCGTCTCACATGTCGGCATTTAACCCCGGCATCAGCCTCATCATACCCGTCCTTATGAAACATTCACCCACGCAGCGTTTCCCTTACGGGTAGGTAGACGATGAGATGGACGCCGCCGTCACGAACGTCTTGAAAGGGATTCCCCCCTCAGACGGCACTGTCATCCAGCCCTTGGAAGACTCCAAATTATGCGGGCCTCTGCATGCTGAGTAATACTACTCCGTATAGGTAACGTAGCCAAAAGCGGCAGGCAGCGGTGGACCATACATGAAGCTTGGATGGGCACTTAAAGCGGGAGATTGTCCTGAAAGAACGATCCCCATCGCACAATCTGGATCGCCAGCCATTGTATTGCCGGTTGCCCAATCCCGAGGTCGGTATTACCAACCAGCAACTTACCGACCCGCTGGGAGACAGAGTGTCAGCGGTGGATGGCCCCACATGGGCCAGCCACCATCATGTCAATGTTGGTGCAAAACCCAGCTATGCGGGGCTCGAGATATCGTGTAACATGTCGCCTGCACCTCGACGATGGTTAGATGATGGTTCAAGTCCCGGACCGGTTACAGGGAGCCACGTAAAGGTGGCGCTTCTGTCAGAAGCATTGAAGGTGCGTCAAGCACAAGAGAAATGGTGCATCAAGGCTTGGAGTGTTGCGCAGCTAACATGCGGGGTACGTCCGGTGTGTGGGAAGTTGACAGCGGAAGCGGTCAAGGTGCCTAGGCATAAGCAGTGAGATGGTACTGATGGAGAATGTCGATTACAGTGTCAGTGGTGCATATTCCATGGCTGTCTTCCGTGGTTGGATATGTTTCACTGGCCAATGGCTTCTCAGCCATTGACCAGTCACCGCCGGATGGGATTGGGTATGTAAGCCGGCACGCGTTGGACTTCTATTGGACCGGTCGAATCGCCACAGGTACGGATAGAGCGAAGAGGAAAAAGAATCGGGGGGGACGGGCAGGGTTCATGCATGGTTCGGTGCTGAGGCATTGAGATGGCAGATTTGAACAACAGATGGGATATCCGCTCTAAGCGCAACACGGGGTCGGGTGTGTTTTGATTTCGATAGCAAACGCCTTGGAAGTTCAAAAGAAAGCACAAAGGGAACCAGGACAGGGCAGCGAGGGCGGGATCTGTTGCATATCTGGCAGAGACTGGAAAACTGGGACGTCAGCCTCCCAGTCCCACCAGCAGCAGGGAAATAGGGTCCATGCGTGCAGCGACTTGCGTTGTCAACTTGTCATGCGCAGCCGGGACGGATCTTGTCAAGTGGCTGGCGGCGGACGTGTGACTCGACCGTTCGCTTCGAGATGCGCTGGTGGTCTGGTCCGACCTGTGATAAGGAGGAGATGGCAGACGACAGAAAACGGCCACCTGGACCATCTATCTGGTACCGAGGCCGTTCTTGTGAAAAGCAGAAGCGCACCCGCGAACACGGTGGAGCAGCCGGTAAAGATTTCCCTCAACATGGACGGAAAGGTACGTCTACGTACACTGCGGTCTACCTGCGAAGAAGCAGCGGAAGAAGCAAGTGGCAGGCTGCAAGCTGATCGATGGCTGCCGCGCTGAAGCAACACGGGCAGCAGGAAGGAGCTTGGCACGGCCCTTCTTCCTGTAGCGAGTGTATGATCTGCGCGTCCAATGGAGAATGAATGCAACAGGACACACATATCTAATCAGATCTTGTAGCTACCTGCCCACGTTCTTTCTTTGTCCAGTCAGTCGTCCCTGCCTTTCGTTCCAGCCTTCCTTTTGTTACTCTCGTCCTCGGGAAGTGTTGCACTTTCCCCTCCGCACCAAACGGGAGGCGCCTCACCTTTCCACCCACTCTTCAGTACTTGCCTGCATACCCAACTACCTTGGTATACCTAACTATGCAGGTATAGTATCTACACGAGGTAGGTACTGCCAGGTACGTAACTGCCCGCGCATGTATGGATACATGTACGTCCCTCGACGACTCCCAGGTCACGCACGGGCTTGGCAGGTTCCATCAACGGATAGGGCCGACCGGGACGGCGATTCAGAGACGGCTTAGCCAAATATTCGTTATTTGGCAATACAAATATCCGTACGGATACTGGCTGGCAAATGGAGAACGAGGGACCAGGTATTCTTATACCGAATTACCCTTGGTCTCAGTGGTCAGTGAGTGGTGCCATCCCGCTCTGTTCCGCCCAACCCCGCGCAGAGATCTGCGAACTGCCGAAGAAATCAAGTTTACCGGACTGCGCGAAATAGGAATGCGGGCTTGGTCATGAAAAGGAAAAGGAAAAAGGAAAAAAAAAAGGAAGAAGAAAAAGGGGGGAGGGGAAGGAAAAAGGAAGAAGAACAGCCTGAGATCCCTCGGGAAACTCTCGCAGACACCACACCGGACACAGGCCCCTTCTGGGAAGCTAAACCCCAATCCATTCGGTTCGGGTCTTTTAACTCTTTTCTCTCTCTTCCTTCTTCTGTTCTCCCGCCTCCAGCGCAGCAAGGGATCCCGGCTACACGCTTTCAACGACGTGTATACCGTACCATCCGCGTTCGTCACCACCCGTCACCCTCCGACACCAATGTCGTGTTGCTACCTAGCTCCCGCTCCCTGGAGTGTCCCCGCCAGTCTGGTTCCCACCCGAGTACATTAGCGTCTCGTCACTCGTACCTACCTAATACCTAGTTTAGCGGCCACATCGCATACATTGAATCATACCCACCCGCCACCCAACTCGGACGACAGCCACCCCCACCTACCTAGGAACTAGGGTAGTGTAACTGACCTGACTGCCATGTCCGACTCATCAGTCCAAACGAACCACAACAGCCAGTCCATTCAAGTCTCCAAGAGAGTCCGCGGTCCACAGTCCACCCACACTACTATTCTTGCTGCCCCTGTCGCCTCCTGTTTCCACCCCGTCGCTTCCTTCTTCCTACCTGTCTGCGCCGACTAGCGAACAGCCATGAGCCTTAGGAAGGCACCTGGCCACAAAAGCAAGCCTGCGGCGTCTTTCCCTCCCGACCCTGACGCCGATACGGTTGCTTTGGCCCTAGAACCTCTGCCTCTTCTTGCACCTGCAGCCGGTTCCACAAACGATAGCCCTGCCGCTGCCGCTGCCGCTGCCGCTCCCGAAGCCGAAGCTGAAGCTGACGCTGCCGATCCTTGGACTCCATCGTCATCCGACCAAATCGCCTTCGACCCATATAACACGACACACCACCCTCGATCTCGCCTTTCCACTCTGCGAAGCCGTCCCTCTGCCCTCTCCTACACCTCCACCACCGCTGGCGAACATGGTGACGATACGACCGATCCGACCCCAACATCTCCCGCCCCACAACTAGACGACGGCCCCATGCCCTCGAAACCATCCCTCTTGCGCTCCGCGCCCAACGACGCCCCCTCCTACGGCGCCGTCTCGCAAGACCCGAGTCGCAATGTCTCGCCCACCGGTAGCGATTCGAGGACGGGGAACGCGCACCCGCTCCGATACGTCTCCGACACCTCCAAATCCACTTCTTCGAGGTACTCTGGCGCCTCGAGAAGAGAGAGTTCCCGCCTCTCCGAGGACCTCGATGCCGCCGCCTTGGCTACCGGCTTGGAGGGTCGCTTCGGAGTCACCCAAGCTCCCGTGACGACCAACATGCTCGAGGATGCCAAATCCGACGCAGCCGAGGACGAGGCAGAATACGACGACTACACGGGGAGCGAGCCTGATGACGACCCCGTCGACGACTCGCCCCACGAAGTCATCCGCGCATCAGTGCCGCCGACGGACGATGTCACCTTGTCCATCAACACCCCGAGGATGTGGGCACTGTCGTTTCTGTTCTCGGTTCTAGGCTCTTCTACCAACTTGTTCTTTTCGTTACGATACCCCAGCGTCGCCATTACGCCCGTCATCGCCTTGTTGCTCGTCCACCCCCTTGGCCTCGTGTGGGACTACGCCCTCAAACGCCGGGACGATCCCCCCGAGGAATTCTTGGATGGCGTTCTTCTTTCCGGAGGCGCAGATGACCGCTCGCCCCCGAAACGGTCTCTGGCACGGCTGCGCAGATGGCTTGCGCAAGGCCGGTGGAATGAGAAGGAGCACACCTGCGTCTACGTCAGCAGCAATGTGTCGTTCGGATTTGCTTTCGCGACCGATGTCATTGTCGAGCAGTCCAAATTCTACCACCAGGAAGCCACCATTCCCTATCAGGTCCTCCTCACTCTGTCGACTCAGACCCTGGGCTACGCCTTTGCAGGCTTGACGCGCCGGTTTCTGGTGCGCCCTAGCGGCATGATCTGGCCCGGCACTCTGATGTCGGCTGCCATGTTCGGTACGCTCCACAAGGAAGAGAACAGGATCGCGGATGGTTGGAGGATTTCGAGGTGGAAGTTTTTCTACCTAGTCTGGTTTGGCGGCTTCGCCTTCTACTTCCTTCCAGGTCTCCTGATGCCCTGCCTCAGTTACTTCAACGTCATCACCTGGTTGGCGCCCAAGAATGTCGTTGTTGCCAACCTCTTTGGCGTTGTTTCTGGGCTCGGACTTTTCCCGTTGACCTTCGACTGGGCGCAAATCACGTACATCGGCTCGCCCCTGTTGGTGCCTTTCTGGGCTGCAGTGAACGTCATTGGCGGTCTTGTGATCGTTATGTGGCTCATCGCGCCCATCGCCTACTACGCCAACGTCTTTTACTCGTCGTACATGCCCATTCTGTCATCAGCCGTCTTCGACAACAAGGGCCAGGTCTACGACGTCAGCAAGATCCTGACCTCGGACTTTCTCTTCGACAGGGAGGCGTACAGCAAGTACAGTCGAGTGTTTCTGCCCATCACATACGTCTTGAGTTATGGCGTGCAATTTGCTGCTTTGGCAGCACTTCTAACACACACAGCCTGCTGGCATGGCAAGGACATGTGGCAGACGTGGAAAACGGCCCTCGCAGAAGCTCGCAACGAGGGTCAGGCAGTCTACAAGCCCGTGGCGGCGAGTTCCGAGTTTATTGCGCCCCGGTCATCATTCAGCAGTAGTCGAGGCATTTCGACGCCCACGTCCAACCTCGAAGGCATGATGTTTCGCGAGGACGTCCACTGTCGGCTTATGAAGCGGTACAAGGACGCACCACTGTCATGGTACCTGACGACGTTTGTCACGATGCTCGCGGTGGGCATTTTCGTCGTCGAGTAGTAAGTGAAGCCCCGTCTGCCAGAACGTGTCGAAATGCAAGGCTGACGGTACAGCTACCCGATCCACCTCCCGTGGTACGGCTTGCTCATGTCACTAGGCATTTGTGCCATCTTCTTCATCCCGAACGGCATCGTTATGGCGGTCACGAACCAGCACAGCAGCATTTACCTGATCTGTCAGCTCATTTGCGGCGCTGTGTTCCCAGGTCGCCCGATCGCAAACATGGTGTTTGTGACGTACGGGTACATCTCGTCCGCGCAGGGGATCAAATTTGCCTCGGATCTCAAACTTGGCCATTACATGAAGATCCCTCCGCGGATCATGTTCTCGGTCCAGATGGTGGCCACGATGGTGTCGTCCCTCACGCAGATCGGGGTACTCAACTGGATGTTTGCCAACGTCAAAGGTATCTGTACGCCAGAGGCCGTCAACGGATTCACGTGCCCCATTGCGCGGGTACACTTCAACGGCTCTATTCTGTGGGGTGTGGTTGGACCAGGCGAATTCTTCGGGCGGAACGCGACGTATCGTGGCCTTGTGTGGTGCTTCCTCGTCGGCGCCATCGCGCCGATTCCCTTGTGGCTCTACGCCCGTAAGAAGAAGCACAGCATCGTCAGGAAGATCAACCTTCCGGTCGTTTTCGGATCCATGGCCTGGATTCCACCGGCGACGGGACTCAACTTTTCGGTGTGGGCGGTGGTGTGCTACGTGTTCAATTATCTGGTCAAGAGGAAGAGGAGCGCATGGTGGGCAAAGTACACAATGACGATGAGCGCAGCATTAGACTCGAGCCTGGCGTTTGGCATTGTTGTTATCTTCTTTGGTTTCATCTATCCCGGGCACATGAAGGGCTTCAAGTGGTGGGGGACAGAGGTGTACAAGCAGGGCTGCGACTGGCAGGCGTGCTCATACAACACGGTTCCCGAGGGAGGGCATTTCGGCCCGGACTCGTGGTAATGTGTGTGTGTGTGTGTGTGTGTGTGTGTGTTTTACGACAAGAAACGAGACGAAACGAAACTACTTTGACGGCATGGGTGCATAACATACC